TCCGTGGCTTGGAGGCCAGCCACACGTGCTAGGGGAAAAGGGAGCTCAGGTAGAGAAGGGAGCACCAAATAAAGGGTGTTGTGAGGATCCTCCCAGGGTGGGAGAAGCATGCTGAGAGTAGACTATAGACCAAACATGATTGCCACTCAATGCCTCTTTTGCAAACCACAACACCCCAAAGGAGAGAGAAAACAGAGGGGAATGCCCTGCCACAGAGGCAGGGGGGGATGGGGGGTAGGAGGGATGCTGGGATCCGTGGTGGTGGGAAATGGGCACTGGTGGAGGGATGGGTATTTGATCATTGTATAATTGAAATCTAGCACAAAAATTTGTAAGTCTATAATTGTACCTCATGGTGTTTCACTAATAAAAAAAAAAACCTCCCAGAAATAGATATAACAGGGCCAGAGTGACAGTACAGTGGGTAAGGCATTTGCCTTGCATACGGCCGACCTGGGTTCGATCCCCAGCATCCCGAATGGTCCCCCGAACACCACCAGGAGTAATTCCTAGTGCAGAGGCAAGAGTAACCCCTGAGCATCTCTGGGTATGACCTCCCAAAATAAAAAAATATAATAATAATAAAAAAATAGGTATAACAAAGTCCAAGTTTATTACTAAGAGAATAAAACCTGGATAAAGATATGTGAGATCCAAAGAGCCAGGGGGGAGATCATCACAGTGTGGAGACTGCATGGGAGAAGATGGCCAGTGGCTCCTAGGAGCAGAGAAGGTAAAGGAAAGATGGGGAAGCCAAGAGAAGGCGCAGAACAAGGTAAGGCGGAGGATGGACACGGGAGGGCAGAGGGGAAGGGAATGAGGTGAAAGTGGCCCCAACCTCACTGGGAAGATGCAGGACCACTGACAGACGGCTCGCTTCCAGGCATGTGATTCATCCTGGCTGATGACCGCAGCAGCTGCTCGGGAGGACAGACAGAATCAAGGGCACCAGGAGAACATTTATAGAACCGGAGGCTCGCTCTATGGCCGAAAAGACCCCCGGGGGAATGCCATGTGTTTAAAAAACATTGAAAGCTAGTCTGGGGCTGCAGCGATAGTCCAGCGGGGAAGGCACTCACCTTGGATTCCTCCAGGTTCCATCGCAGGCACCACAAATGGTTCCCTGAGCATCGCCAGGAGTGACCCCCTGAACACAACCTGGGATAGTCCCCAGATCAAACCAGAACTGGATATTCAGAAGGGGAAGTAACCAACAGAATTTGAAATCAAGAGAAACTGCAAGAGGCAACACTCTTGACGTATGTAAACAGACGCCCTTGGCGGAATTAAACTGCCTCGACACTGTCCGTAAGCAGAAAATGACCACAACTGAAAGCTCCCGGAGGCAGCAGGATCACGGCCACCTTGCTGTTGGGGACTGAAGCCTGCGCTCCAGCGAGGCCTACATGGGGCTCCCAGGCTCTTTACCCTTTGCCCAAGAAATGCTATGCACGTGAGCACGGCCAGAGGGACCTCCGATTATTTTTTTTTTAATTTTTTATTGTGAGATAGACCAATAAAAAGCTGTCCATGATTGGAGTTCAGTCATAGAGTATTCCAACAGCCATCCCTCCCCCAGTGTACATTTCCAGCACCTGTGTCCCCAGGTTCCCTCCCATCACCCCCCATCCCTTGCCTGCCTCTATGGCAGGCTCTTCTCTTCCTTCTTTCTCTCCTTTGGGGCATTGTGGTTTGCAATATTGATGCTGAAAGGTTATCAAGAATATCCCTGACCTACTTTTAACCCTCGGATCTTGTCCAGTGTGATCATTCCCAGATATTATTGTCATCAAGGGGACCTCCGATTCTTTACAAGGTTGTCTCTGAATTCCTTTTTGGTCACTGCATGTTCAGAAACCTTTCAGAAGTTAAGTGCATTTAACTCCGACCGTCCTGGCCCACACAGGTTGAACAAGTGTAGCTGGCAAGGGCCGAGGGGAGACCTGCTCTACAAGAGCTCCCAGGCTGTGCTGAGTCACAGAGGCCCGCTGTCAGCACAGCTGCTGTTTCCTGGGCCCAAGCACAACAAAGGAGCTCGCTCACTTGGCCGGCTGGTGGGTTTGGCTTGGGGGCTACACCTGTCAGGGCTCAGAAAGGACTCCAGGCTCTGGGCTCAGGGGCAAAATTTGCAGATGGAACCAGGATGGGCCGCGGGCAAGGCATTCCTCTTTCTACCTCTCGGACCTGGCCCAGCCCGTATAGTGCTTCCTTCGAACAGAACATTGCCCAGTTAGTGCTGGGGAAACTGAGACACCAAGGAGACCACTCACTCGCCACGGTCACAAAGCCGGGAAGTGCCAGTGTCCGTCACACCAGCCCAGAGACACACCAGCCCAAAGATACGGGTGAAATTAAGAGATAACTGGATTAGGTCGATGCTGCCAATTTGAGAGAGTCGAGAACAAAGAAAGGAGTGTGAAGCAAGGCGTGAGGGAAGGGGTCCAGAGGCGCCGGGTCCGAGAGAGGGGATAAACTGAGAGACTCAGGAACGCGGGACTGCAGAGAGCAAGCCAGGTCACGTGGGAGCAGAGAGCAAAGGGTGAGGCAAGGCCTGCAGAGGCCACACACCCCGATGAGCCATGAGTGGGCTGGAGGGAGGGGAGAGGCCAGGCCGGAGCCAGCAGGGCGGCCAGGAACCGCAGGCTGGGAGCAGCACCAGTGCCCAGGAGAGATTAGGCTGGGCCGCTCCCCACAGGGCCAGAGCACGGATCCTCAACTCCTCTCCCTCGGTGCAGGTCAAGTGTTCTGTGTCCTGCTGTGAAGACGGTCGGTCCATAAGCCAATGGACTGACAATAAGCTGATTCAGAGCAGCGAGGGGCCAGGGCCACAGAGCCAGTACAGCTTATATTGCATGCAGTCCACTTGGGCAACCCACACAGGTCCCCCGAGCTCCGCCAGGAGTGATCCCTGAGTGCAGAGTCACAAGTAAGCCCTGAGCATCACCCAGGGTGACCCGGATACTAAAAACCAAAACCAAACAAACAAAAAGAACCATGAGGGGCTGGAGAGATAGAAATAGAACAGCTGGGAGGGTACTTGCCTTGCAAGTGGCCAACCCTGATTCAATCCCTGGCACCCCAATATGGCCCCCAAAGCCCCGCCAGGAGTGCTCCCTGAGAGCAGAGCTAGAGGAAGTCCTGAGCATAGCCAAGTTTGGTCTGAAAACCCAAACCTCCAAAGCCCCCAAGTTGTCCCCAACCCTTTTCTGCCCACAGTAAAGTGGGATCACAGGAATTGGGGGGGGGAGGGGCGAGAACTTAGCTCCAAGGGGAAAATGAAGGAGGAATAAATGTCTCAAACAGGTGCAGAGGAAGCCGGATTCTGAGTAGAAACAAACTGAAGGGCTCATCTGCCACCTGGCAGATGGGAAAGAGAACAGTGTGGGTCCTCCAGGGACCAGTGATCACTCATTTCCGTTTCCCTCCAGGCCACATGACCGAGGCCCAAGATCCCGTCTTCCCTCGTGGAAACAGAAGCACTGGGAATCGTTCCAAGTTCCCACAGCCTAAAGCCCACTGGACCAGGGTTCAAAGCCAGCACCGGGCCCCACCGGCAGGGGTCCCGTTCAAAGCAGGTGATGGGAGGGATCCCGGACTTCAACCCCACAGCCCCACACACCAAACGGGGCTGCAAGCCAAAGGGGGCTCCCCACGGCCACCCCGCAGGGCCCCATCCAGGCGAGATGGTCGGGTCCACTTCTTCCAAACACCGCACAGGTGTGCAAGTGCAACACCAGGATCAGGAATACAACAGATCCGGATGTGGCCAACAAGGAACGCAAGAACCCCGACGTCCCTTCTTATAAACACACAGCCCAAGTGGACTTCACACCCAAAGAAACTCGCTCTGCGGAAAGCAGGGGTCAAAGTGGCACCGAGGGGCGCGCGGTCCAGCCGTAGGGGGGGCTGGCGGTCCCACTTCTCGAGGCTACGGGAGGCTGTTTTAGCTTTTACTTCATTTATGGGGGGGAGGGTGCAGCAATATGGGAGAGGGGAATGGAATCGGGGTCATCGGCAGGGGCTCAGCCCAGGGCCCAGAGGCCCTCTGCACCCTGCACATTTCCAGCATTTTCAACACGCACGTGAGTGAGGCTCTTGCGAGGATTCTGGAGGCGGTGGGGGTGGGTAACGACCCTCTCCCCCGTACTCCGGGGTTCCGGGTATCCCCAGAGGGCCCCGGGGGGCGCTCGTTCCTTTTTTCTTTTCTTTTTTTTTTTTCCGTTGTAGCCCTTAGGAAGCTCTCCGCTCCAGACTCGCCCCGGGCCGCTGCAGACCCGGATGCGCCTGGTGTTCGGGGCCCGCAAGCGACCGAGCGGCTCTCGGAAGGAACAAAAACTTTCTCCTGGAAGTTTTCTTTGTTTGCTGGGGGGTGGCGGTGGCGGAGCTCCCCCTCCCCCCCCAACACTTCCCCTGAAACTTTCCGCTCCCCGACAGCACGCCAAGACTTTTGCGGGACGGCGAGCTGGAAACCAACCGAGCGAGCGACCAACCAACCAACCAACCAACCAAAGGTAACAATGTATCAGCGCGGGGCCGCGCGCCGCATCCGCCCCCGCTACCCGCCAGGGGTTCCCCCGCCCCCGGTGATGCTCGCGTCGGCGGGGTCGCCACGCAACCGCCCGGCGGCGCGGGGGGTCCCAGCGGAGGGGTCGGGGTTAGAGGTCCCCGCTGGGGGGTCCGGGCTGGGGGGGGGGGGGCGGGGAGGTCGCAGGGGACCAAGGTGGGGGGGGGCGGCTGCTGCGGAAGTCATCAATTGGGCCCTATGACCGACCCCCCCGACACACACACATACACACAGACACGCACACAGATACACACACAGGCGTACACACAAACACGCACACACACACACAAATACAGACGCACGCACACACACACACAGGCGAGCCGCCCACCCCGAGGGGCGACGGGCGGGACACACACAGACACAGACACACACAGACACACACACATACACACACGCCCGAGCCAAGCCCGCCCCGCCTCGCAGCCGCACTCACCAGGAACTGGAGCATGGCGTCAGCAAGGAGGGCACCGAGAGCCGCAGCAGTTTGTGGGCCGCTCCCGACCTGCGTCCCCCCCGCCCGGCGCGAGGGGCGGAACTGCCCCTCGGCTTCCGGGTCACGCCCCGCCACGCCCCCTCAGCCGGAAGAGCCGCGGAGCGCCCCCGCGCCCCCTAGCGGAGCACGCCGGCAGCCGCGCTTTGAAAGGGATGGGCCCGAAATCCTCAGAGCTGGGACCAAGTTCCCACAGCTTTGGATGTTCAGATTTCGGGAAGCCAGATGGTTAAAGGCTGAGTTTCTGTCAAGCTGGATTGGGGCCTACAGTTTGTATTATTTACCAACACTTTACTTTTTTTTAAAGTTGTTCGCAATAATTGATTACATTCAATATTCCAACACCAATCCCATCACCATTACACTTTCCCACCACCATTATTTCAGATTTTACCAACCACCATCCAAGCCTGCCCCAATAGCAGGTTCTAAATAATTTATTTTGTATTGCTTGCTATGAATAATTCACTAAAGATGATCAAAGAAGCTTTCTTAGAAGAAAGTGTGTGGAGATTGTTGTATCTCGCCCTGGAGCCATTAAGCCCTTATATAAGAGATTACTAGCCCGTTGTTACAGGTTGATCCTGTGTGCTAATATATATTTTTTTTTACCGAGATCGGTTGTCTTCTACTTTACATCCCATCCAATGTGGTGTGCTATTCCTGGTACATCAGAGGTGTAGAATATGAGATGTCCATGCTCCAGGAATTTATTTTAAATAAGGGGATGCAGCCAGAATTAAATTTTAAACTGGATGGTGACTTTAGGGTTGGGGAGCATCTCTGCAGCTTGTTGATCTCTTCTGAGATTTATTTGTGATCTGGACCATGGCCATTAATGAGCTTATATGGCACCAGAGGCAGTGAGTGGGCATGACTGTCAGGCTTCCGGAGAACAGGGGAATGTGGGGAGGTCACCCATCCCGGACTCTGTGTGAGTCTGGAGATTTCAAGAACCAACACTTTAAAGGACATTCTGTTAAGCAGCCCGGTTTTAGGCCACCAGACCTAAAAAGGCTGCATGTGGCAGCAGGTCCCATGACTAAAAGCAGAGCACATCACCACTGGTGCTTGTACACAATCCTGGAATGTCAGGAGAGGGTGTCAGAATGTATTTTTCAAAATGTCTGTGTGTTTTCTACGTTAACCTGAGTTGAGCAGCTTCTCGATTAGATTAGGTGCTTAGGTACTTAAGACCAAGGCAATGATACAGCCAGTGGGCGAGGCATTTGCCTTGCATTCTTCATGAGTTCAATCCCCAACACCCCAGATGGTCTCTCTCCAGGAGTGATCCCTTAGTGTGGAGTCAGGAGTGCCTCCTGAGCACAGAACCAGGAGGAAGCCCTGAGCACCACTTGGTATGGCTACAAGACAAATTTCATAAGAGTAAAAATTTTACTGGAATGCTTCTCAAGCTTTAATGGGCATTCAAGCTACCCGGAGATTTCACCACCTGGGTGAGAAATGCTGACTCGATGATTCTGAACCTACCATTCTACACTTCTACTGACACCCACGTGATCCTTTTACTGGTCCTCATAAATTTGTGAGCTACAGGAGGATGAGGGCTTGGGTTCCTGACTTGTTCCTAGTCCCCAGCAAATGTCTAACATGATCCGTAAAGACAGTAAACACTGATGGGAATCCCTGGCATAATGCCAGCTCCCCTCCATACAGTGAGTCTTACATTACGAAGCCTGGCTTTTCTGCACGGTCTTTACAAAGGCTCCCCTACTCCGAGATAAAGCCAAGACCTGAAAGACAGACCTGCAACCTTCAGACTATTCCTTAAATGTCTGCAAGTAAAATAGCTCCCTTAAGATGGATGTCTTCCTTTGACCTCCATGATGCTTTTATCTGACTTGGCAGGCCTCTCATTCATACAAGGCTTTGAAGTCTGACTAATGCCTTTTAGTTCCATGTTATCCTAATCAAGCGTGACTCCAAATCCATACTTGTATTGTGCAGAGTTTTTATCTTCAGTGATCTTGGTCCTCATGTCTCTTCAGAGCCCATTACCATTACTCCTAATCCCCTGTGCAGTCACTTCTTGGATTTGCTACATCAGCTAAGTATTATTCTCTAGAATCCCACTGGAATCCTGAACTCTGACCTGAGCCAGATCTCTGCTGTTGGAAACTCACAAGCATTCATTCCTTTCTGTTTTCGTTCCTTTTCTATCATATTGACAGGCCAAGGTAGGTAACTAAGCAGAACTGAGACTACTATCCTCAAATCTCCTTAATATGCTATTATTTAGCTTTTAAAATTCTAATTCTTGGTCAGTCCTTTTTTTTTTTCCTTCCAGTCCACTGGTGATTCTGAGCACCAAATGGAGGAAAAGAAGCTGCTTCAGGGGCTGGAGTGATAGCACAGCGCATAGGGCGTTTTCCTTGCACACGGCCAACCCGGGTTCGATTCCCAGGATCCCATATGGTCCCCTGAGCACCGCCTGGAGTAACTCCTGAGTGCAGAGCCAGGAGTGACCCCTGTGCATCGCTGGGTGTGACCCAAAAAGAAAAAAAAAGTTGTTTCAGCAAATGATATTGCCGACTAGGTTAATTGGAATAATTTTCCCTACCTAGGAAAAATAATACTGGGTTCCTAGATCATACTTTATTTGCACATTTAATCAAAACGAAGCAAAAAACAGAAAAATGTTTAATCTAGCAGAAATTTAAATAATTTGCAAAATTATTTAAAATTTTACAAATTGGGACTACAGGGATAGTACCGAGTAGGGTACGTGCCTTGCATACGGCCGACTTGGTTTTGATCCCCATATGGTGCACCAGCCTGCCAGGAGTGATCCTTGAATGCAGAGCCTGAAGAAAGCCCTGAGCACAGCAGGGTGTGACCCCACAAAATAAAATGAAACTTTCAAATCGGAAGTTTTTTCACATGCCCAACAAGGTATAAATGCAGAAGCCATACAAGAGTGATAAAAGACAGATCAGAGAGATATAGCGCAGGCTGGAGCGATAGCACAGCGGGTAGGGCGTCTGCCTTGCACGCGGCCAACATGGCTGACCCGAGTTCAATTCCTCCGCCCCTCTCGGAGAGCCCGGCAAGCTACCGAGAGTATTCGATATGCCAGACACAGTAACAACAAAGTCTCCAATGGAGACGTTACTGGGCCTGCTCGAGCAAATCGACGATCAACGGGAGGGCCTTTACCTTTACCTTTAGGGTTTTTGCCTTGCATGCGGTTGAGCCGAGTTCCATCCCTGACACCACAAATGGAACCTCAAGCTCTCCAGGAGTGATCCTTTTTTCTTTTTTAAAGTAAAACTGATTTTATTTGGAGGGTTTTTTTTTGAAGAAAAGGAGGAAGAGAAAGTGGGAGAGAGTGGAGAGTAAGAGAGACAGAGTAACATGCTCTAGAGAGTATGTGGGCTTTTTCAAAGACGGAGAGAGACCCTACACGTATCCCAGCGTTAGACAGGAAAGCATGAAAGGACACATCTCAAGAAGGGAGATGCGGGCGACACGTTCTCAGGCACTGTAGGTACTTGGCCACGCGGACGCAAGCAGCACACGGACACGGGCAACCTATGTGCCCAGAAGTAATCCTTGAGTGCAGAGCCAGGAGTAAGCCCTGAGCACCACTAGGTATACTGCCTCCCTCCCACCCCCACCACCACACACACACACACAAAGACTCCAGGGAGATAGCTCAAGTGGAGAAACTTGGTTAGCATGTATAAGACCCTGAGTTTGAATCACAACACCACAAGGCCCCAGAGCACCAAGCACTGACAAAAAAAAAAGAGGTGTGGTGTGGGTTGGGGACAGGAACTGAAAAGACAGTAGAGCAGGTAGGGCACTTATCTTGCACATGGTAGACCTGGGTTCAATCCCTGACACTACATATGGGCCCTAGGAATGATCCTTGAGCACAGCCAGGAACCAGGAGTAAGCCCTAGGCATCCCAAGTATGGCCCCCAAACAAAAACAAAACCAAAAAATCAAATACATAAAAAAATTTAAATGCACAGGTTAAAAAAAAAAGAAAATACGATTGTAAAACTGGTGACAACTAATTTCCTAAAAAGATCCTGCAAATCAATGAGACTAACAAGCAAACAAATGCGGTATACAGGTATGAACAGCTCGGAGGAAATAAAACATATATAGGAAACAGGTCAGATGTTTCCAAACATATGGAAAAAACTTAGTAGCATTCATACTACGAAAAATGTTTACTGCCATCATGAGGTTATATCTTTCTTCGACTGGGAAAACAACAACAAAAAAATATTCATCTTGGGGGCTAGCGCAATAGTATAGCAGGTAAGGTGTTTGCCTTGCATGTGACTGACTCGAGTTCAATCCCTGACACCCCTTACGATCCCCTGAGGTTGACAGGAGTAATTCCTGAGCACAGAACCAGAAGTAACCCCTGAGCATTGCAGGGCATGGCCCATAAATCTAAAAAATAAAACAAAACAAAATATGGTCACAACTCTCAATAGTAAGAAAACACAGCACCCCCAAAACTGATACGTAATAGACCTTAACAGATGCCTCACTGAAGGCACAGATGGCAAAATGAACATGTGAAAAGATGGCCCCCATCCTATATCCTCGGGGAAACCACTCTGAGATGTCACTATGTCCCATGTAGAATGGCCATTCAGGACACTGTTTAAACACCTGTAAGAACGGAGAGAAACAGGAACTTGTACATTGCTGAGTCTCCCCAGCAAAACAGCACAGCCACTTTGGGAAGAGTTTGGCAGTTCCTAAAGGAAATATACTCAGTCCATACAACCTAGCAAATGCGATCTGTGGCATTTATCCAAGGGAGTTGAAATTTTATTTCACAAAACCCTGCAGCCTCATTCATCATTGCCAAAACCTAGAGGCAAATAAGATGTTCTCAGGTAGGGGAGCTAAAGCTATGATACTATTTCGTGCTTAAAATGAAATTAAAAGCTATCAAGCCAAGAAAAGACATGGAACATTAGATGTGTATTATTATGAGAAACTGATCACAATAGGTGACCTACTGTCTGATTCCAACACTGATGTTCTAGAAAGGCAAACTGACAAGAGATTAGTGGATGCTGGGGCAGAAATGAACAAGCAGGGTACAGAGGATTTTTTTTTTTTAAGACTTACAAATTTTTGTGCTTGGGTTTTAGTTATACAATGATCAAGTACCCATCCCTCCACCAGCACCCATCCTCCACCACCGTGGGTGCCAGCATCCCTCCCACTCCCCCATCCCCCCCTGCCTCCGTGGCAGGGCGTTTCCCCTTGTTCTCTCTCTTCTTTTGGGTCCTGTGTTTCGCAAGAGAGGCATTGAGTGGCAATCATGTTTGGCCTATAGTCTACTTTCAGCATGCTTCTCCCACCCTGGGAGGATCCTCCCAACACCCTTTATTTGGTGCTCTCTTCTCTATCTGAGCTTCCTTTTCCCCTAGCACGTGTGGCTGGCCTCCAAGTCATGGAGCAAAATTCCTGGTACTACTCTCAGCCACTCCTGGGTGTTAGTCTCCCATTTTGTTGCTTTATGTTTCCCAGATGAATGCAATCTTTCTGTGTCTATTCCGGTCTTTCTGAATCATTTCGCTTAACATGATACTTTCCATGCAGTACCACTTGTATGTAAATTTCATGACTTCATCTTTTCTAACAGCTACATAGTACTCCATAGTGTAAATGTACCAAAGTTTCTTTAACCAGTCATCTGTTCTCAGGCACTCAGGTTTTTTCCAGATTCTGGCTATTGTAAAGAGTGCTGCAATGAACAAACAAGTGCAGATGTCACTTCGACTATACTTTTTTGCCTCTCTGGGATATATTCCCAGGAGTGGTATTGCTGGGTCAAATGGGAGATCAAAAATGCTCTATATTAAATGATAGAAACATGTCACTGTGTCCAAACAGGCATAAGACATACCACCAAGAGTGAACCTTAAGGTTAAAGCAGTGTAAATACACATAGAAGAGAGAGAGAGAGAGAGAGAGAGAGAGAGAGAGAGAGAGAGAGAGAGAGAGAGAGAGAGAGAGAGAGCACAACTTGCTGATAATCCTGAGCTAGGTTAAAGATTTAGGTAAGAGTTCACCACAGTGTTCTTTCAACTGGTGAAGTCTTGGCAAAGTCGGAACAATGGACAATTTACAAAAAAGGCTGGAATGGAGATAGCTCAGACATACACATTTAATCAATTTATGAAAAACTACAGTAACAATGGTCTGGAGTGATTGCACAGTGTGGGTAGGGCGTTTGCCTTGCACGCAGCCGACCTGGGTTTGATTCCTCCGCCCCTCTCGAAGAGCCCGGCAAGCTACCGAGAGTATCTTGCCCGCACGGCAAAGCCTGGCAAGCTACCTGTGATGTATTCGATATGCCAAACACAGAAACAACAAGTCTCACAATGGAGAAGTTAATGGTGCCCGTTGGAGCAAATCGATAAACAACGGGAGGACAGTGCTACAGTAACAATTAAAAAGAGACCTCTTTTGAATGAATCACTCACAGAGCTGATGAATGAGTAAAAGCAGCACATTAAGATCTTGTACTTATTATCATTGTATAGTGTTTGCAGCATAGGGAACTGTCCTTTCAATGCTAATTTTTTTTTAAGCTTTGGGACCACATCTGACAGTGCTCAGGGGCTGCTCCTGGCTGAGCTCAAGGGTTGCGTCTGGGTTAGAGGGATTGTGTGGTGCCTGGGATCGAAGCCTGGCCTCCGGTATGTAAAGCATGCACACTAGTCCCACTGGGCGATCTCCTAGACCCCTAAGTCCCTAAAACTGTCCATCTTCCCCTTGCTTTACTAGAAAGTACATGCTACCCTTTGTTTCTCCCTAGGCCCCAGGAAAAATCCCTTTAGAAAAGAGTCAGTTTGACTTTCAGAGACATCTTCATAATACCTTATTCGCTGTGCTGGGCACAGTGTTCTATCAAAGCACATGGCGAAAGCTTTACTATCCACTTTTCCCCACATAGTGGCCCCAAGTAATAAAAATGATAATGTAGATGCAGAAGGAGAAAATAATATTAGAATTCCAGAAAATAACCATAAATTTTAGCTTTCAGAATAATACCCTTGGGGAGAAACCATATCAATGGAATGTATCTTCGTTGGCTTCCTGATAAAGTCCATTATTTTCTAGAGATAGAAAAGAACAACCGTGTTTTATTTTCTTAAAAAGTATTTACTTTCTTAATAGGGAGAATGGAACAAGGCTAAGAAGTTTACAGAAAAGATACCCATATATAAAGAAAAAAATAGCAAAATATTTTTTGGTCATAATTTAGAAATAAACTAATTTATAAAAAGGAGACAAACTTCCCCAATTCATCTCTTCCCCAGAAGAGCAGCAGCATGAGCTCTCAGTTCCGTGATATCCTCAGCAGGCCCCGGATACGTCTGACAAGGGCCTGTATGAAGCTAGAGCGAGATCGAACTTTCGAGTACAATCCTTCAATGTCCAGAAGTTTCTTCTGCAGAGATTCCCCGAAAGCGTTGATGGCATCCGACTGGAGCTAGAGGCGACAGAGATGACATTTCATTAGGAAAACTCAAGTCTTTGGTACTTCCTCTGTTCTATAAAACGTCTTTTAATTTCTGCCTTTGTGTTATCTCAGGCACCTAGTTAACTAAATAGGCACATTTCCCACCCTGGAATTTATTGGTATAATACAAGCATTTTGTCCTTTGCTCACTTATATATAAAAATGTAAGGTTACGAATCTTGCACGAAACTCTTGTGTATGAGTGCAGAATTTATATAGCAACAACCATCATGGCTGAATTAAAACAACTTTTCCACAACCCCCCAAAGTGCCTGGCTGCCATCCTGCTGAGGCACAGACCAACACCTGAACGCTTCCTGATGGCCTGTCCAAGCAGCTGCTGAGGAAGGAGACCAAGGGGGGGCGGGGGAGATTAGAAAGAAGCCTTTCCTTTTCGCTTCATTTTGCAATGTCACTTAATCACTTAATCACTTAACTTCCCGTTAGTCGTCGATTTGCTCGAGCGGGCGCCAGTAACGTCTCCATTTGTCCCTGTCGCGTGCTAGTGTAGCCCAATGGCATCTGTTCACTCCGGGAACATGAAGGGCCTCAGACCGATCGTTCATGATCTTGACGAAGAAATCTGACCATCTGGTAGGTGGGCGGCCACGTGGTCTTTTGACATCCCGTGGAATCCAGTCAGTAACAGCTCTGGTCCAACGGTCGTCTTTAAATCTCATTACGTGACCAGCCCATCTGATTTTCGACACCTTTTTTTTTTTTTTTTTTACATTGCAAAATGAAACCAGTAACTACAACTGGTCTCATTTTGCAATGTAAAAAAAAAAAACATTTGCTTGCTTTCACACTCAAAACCAAAAAGTGGAAGGAGGGGAACCTGCCTTCTACTTCGGAATTCATCATGTTTGAGGCTGTGCCTGCAGTTTCAGGGGAATCTTTTTTGACAAACAAAAAAATTGGGGGTCTCAGCCAAGCAGAGTGAAGTGATGAACCCTTTGTTTCTTCGACACTCGAACAGACCACTCTCCCGAGAACAACAGTCAAGAACCGCAATGGCTGTTTAGCACAAACGTCCTCCGGACAGTATCTTTACTGGCTACTTCTGCACGGGGCCTCACCCCACCCAGCAGCCCCAAGCCAGCGGGTGATGGAAGGGCTCTGATGCCAGCCACGAAGGGAAGGGAACTGTCAGGGCTGGGTGAGCCCTGCATGTCCAGGCCAGCTAGTGGCCCGCGGCCCGGAGGATGCTGGATTATCCGTGTGTGCGTGCGGGAGGGCGACTGCAGGTCAGGACACTCGATGCCCCGAGCAGAGCCGGCTCTGACTCACTCCTCCTCCTCCATGCCCAAGAACATGACTTGTTCCAGTACTATCTAATCTCACCGTGAGATTTTTTGCTTATTTATTTTTGATGGCCACACCTAGGAGCTATTTCCCGGGCACTGGTGAGAAGGATACTCCTCGTCCTCACAGTGCGGGGGCACCGGGGCGTGGGGTGGGGGACTGCATCTGAGCCTGCAGCGTGCAAAGCACATGCATTATGCCTTTAAGCTGTTTCTCTCACCTGGAATTTTGATTTTTTTTTTTTAAATTTCATCTGTTGGGGCTGAAGCAGTAGCACAGCGGGTAGGGCATTTGCCTTGCATGCAGCCGACCTGGGTTCGATTCTCAGCACCCCATATGGTCCCCCAAGCACCGCCAGGAGTGATTCCTGAGTGCAGAGCCAGGAGTAACCCCTGAGCATCAGCTGGGTGTGACCCAAAAAGCAAAAAAAAAAAAAAAAATTTCATCTGTTTATTTTTGGGTCTTAGGGGGCTTTGGGAGCGATGTCTAGCAATACTCTGCCCCATACTGGTGGACACAAGGTTCGATGATGCCAGGGCCATGAGGGCCACCCTAACACGCTTCTCCCATTTCCATGCAACAAAGAGAGAGCAACAGTTCCAGAGGACCTCGTGGTACTGGGAATCAAACCTGAGGTGTTTGCATGCCAGGCATGGGGTCCAGTCCTTGGAGCGTCACCCCCACCCCTGTGCAATTTGTGATGACCGCTCACTATCTCGCCTTAATTTTCTGAAAAATGAAGTGTGGGGTGAACTTGACGAAGATCATCAAAAAACAAAACAAAACAAAAACGAGGCATTTTCAGATGAGAGAATCTCCAATTCCCGAGCCGCTAACATGCCCCAGGCCTCACCCTACCCAGAGCCTCAGAAGGGAAGTGAGCGGTTCGGGGTCACGCAGCTAGCCAGTGGCCAGGCGAGAATTCCGGCAGATCTTTGCTGAGAACCCGGAAAACGATGCTCTAACGAACACGTGCGGCTTTCCTTTCTCACTTCCAAACAGAAAGACACCGGCGAACCAGGGCAGGTCCTTACCTGGTCCAGGTCGTGTTGGCTCACAATCGTCAGCCCACTTCTGAAATCCATGTTGCTTTCAGACGTGAAGGAATCTAGAGGGAAACAGCGCAGGGTCACACCAGCTCTGCAAGCGCACGTCTGCCACGGAGGCCACCTCGGAGCCCCAGCAGATGGGGCAAAGACAAGCGGGGAGGAACGACCTGCGTTCCGTGCCCAGCACCCCCCAGGGTGCCCCGAGTGCCCCCTAGAGTGATTCCTGAGCACAGAGCCGAGAGGGAGCCCTGAGCACCGCGAGGTGTCTCCCATAAACCCAAAGAAAGTCTGGAGACTTGGCTTCAGTCTCTGAAAAGGAAAGCCGGGGTTTTCGCGAGAGAGGACCACGGGCCTCCACGCATGCTGCAGCTTCAGACCAGACATCTCTGGGAAGAACTCCCAGGGCCTGGCCCAACTTGCCTCTGAAAAGACATTCTTCCAGAAAAGTCAGGAGGCCCAGAATTCCAGGAAACAGTCTGTTTCCAAGGGACACTGAAGCTGGCCAGCCCGAGGTGGCAAAAACCTGAGGCCTCGCAAAGATAATCTGAGGCCCTATAGCATTTACCAGGGGCAGAAGTAAAATACAAACCAAAAACAAACAAAAAAAAAATATGCTGAGCTGTGCCCCATAGCTCAAGCGTTCTGGCTTGCTCGATCCACCCCCAGGAGTGTGGGAAATAGCTAAAGATGTAACTGGTTTTAAAGGCATGCATAGCTGCTATTTCTGGAGATTTTACCTTGCAGTCGTCTGCTTTTAAGAAAGGACCTGGAGGCAAACAGGGAATCTTGCGAGTCCGTCGGGGTGCAATGAAGCAAGTAGAACTCCAGGTGGCGCCACAGAATAAACAAACATGTCTCCACGATGACTGCGGGCAGAGTACAATGAAAGGAAAACCTCTCCTGGAGGAAGATGGGATTCTGCGACCACTTAGAACAGTGGCCAGAGCCGCGGTGTGCCAAATGCTGGCCTCTCCCCAGAAAGCAGCCAAGTGAGCTGAGGATGGGGGTGGGGACCCGGGGCTTAGGACCCCCATCATCCCCAGTATCCTTGCTGCCTGTCCAAATAGAGAGCCTGGGTTAACTACCAGCCAGGGAGATTGAATCTGCTTGTTTCTTTTTCTTGGGTCACACACGACATGGCTCAGGGCTTATTCCCGGCCCTACACTCAGTAATTATTCCTGGAGGTGCCAGGGATCAAACTTGAGAGTTTGCTGCGTGCAGGGCAAGCGCCCTACCCACTGTACTAGCTCCTAGGAAAGATCTTGCTTGTTTTATTTGGGGGCCATATACCGAGATTCTCAGGACTTTCTCCTGGCTCTGCACTCAGGAATTATTCCTGGTGGCTCTCAGGGGGCCCATGTGAGATGCCAGGGATCGAACCCAGGTCGGCTGCGCCTCAGGAGAATGCCCCACCTGCTGTACCATCTCTTGGGTCCCAGTCGAAGCTTTTTAATTGGGATACACATCTGACATCACTAGGAAAAGTGCTAACCAACTCCTGCCTCAGTCTGTCCTGCCAGGCTCCGGGCACCAGGTAAGTTACTCAGACCCTTGGCCACAGCGATCCCCTGTCCAGAGGATCGTCAAGCCCAAGAACAAGGACTGAGTCTTGTTCTTCGACAGGCTGCCCACTCAAGCCCTCCCCAAAGGATACAGGAACAGAGAGACAGCAGCTTCGCCCGATTGTTGATCAGCTTCACCAACCGCCGGCGCGCCAGGACGTACTTCTGGGCAGTGGAGATTTTATCGACACCCGCAGGCATCACAGACTGACACAGCTGCGAAGGGAAACACACACGGCATGAGGGGCGCATGGTGCAGCGCTGAGGGGAATCGACGCGGGAAAGAAGGTTCCCAGTGACCGCAAGAGAAACACCGACGTGCTTTGACATCAGCCCAGGTGAGGGCCTGTCGTCGAGTCAGGAAGCCGGGAACTAAAATAAACCATGTCTAACCAGCAGGGCCCGCCAGCCCTGAATCTCCTGCCACAGGAAACAGTAGGTTTTCCGAGCAGAAGGTATGGCAATCACAGAGAATTTTTTGCTCGTTTGCTTTTCAGCCACACCCAGCAGTGCTCGTGGCTTATTCCTGGTGCTCAGGGGGCCTTAAGGAGTCCTGGGGATCGAACTGATGTATGTGCCAGGCAAGCACCTTACCCACTGGACTCCTGCTCTGGCCTCTACCGTAGAGAACTTCTCTAACAACGTCTATAGCCGCCAGGTATCATCTGGGGGAAATGCGGATTCTAGAGCTTAACAAAAATGGGCTCCAACAACCCGAAACCTTCCCTAACCAGCTCTCAAACCGCCTGCCTGGAGACATACCCAGTTCGGGGGACCACGGACACAGTCCGCTGTGAGCCCCACAACTGAAGGGTGACCCAAACCTAGTCACCAAGTCCTGTTTCAGCCTGTCCTGCTGGGTGAGTTACTCGGGCCCTCAGCCGCAATGATTCTGCTACTTAGACGGAACATAGGGTGTGAGGTCGGGGCCTGAACACCGGAAATGCTCACCGTGCGGGCTCTGTGATTCTCAGGGGCAAGGTAAGGGAGAGGTATGCACTGACAACTCCTAGGGGGTTGCCGTGACATGGAGCACATGGCAGAATGACTCAGGCTCCAGCGGAGCACAGGAGCTTCTGGACAGGCGAGGGGAGGAGGTCGTAAGCTCAGCTGTGCCAGACAGGAAGGAGGCGGGCCAGCAGGGGGCAGGAGATCCGGTCAGAGGGGCCAGGCCACTTGTCTGAAAATTCTTCCCCAAGACTGTGAAACTGGGGGCAGAAGCAATAGCACAGCAGGGACCGCGTTTGCCTTGCATGCGGCTGACCCAGGTTCGATTCCCAGCATCCCGTATGGTCCCCTCAGCACCGCCAGGAGCAATTCCTGAGTGCAGAGTCAGGAGAAACCCCTGAGCATTGGTTGGGTGTGACACAAAAGGCAAAAAGAAAAAAAAAAGACTGAAGCTGTTGGTGGAAAGGCACTCCTTCCTGGGGAATCTGTCATGGGAACTGCATTCATAGAGGCAGAGAGACAGCACAGCGGGCAAGGTGCATGCACTGTAGGCCACCCCTCAGGTTTGGTTCCCAGCATTCCACCAGCAGTGATCCCTGAGTACAGATTGGGGGGTGTGGCCCCCCAAAAAAAAACATAAACAAAACCAAAAATCATCCACAAGAGAGACCAGAGTCTCTCAGCACTGATTTTAGAGTTACCAAATAGTGTTGTTAACTGTGTCCAATTTGCAGAGGCTGTCCTAACGGCAGGGGGGCATCCGTGAGCAGCAGGGAGCAGCACCCCTCACCCCACCTCACACGGGCGGGCTTGGTGGGGGGCTCGGCGACCTCCACCAGTCCTACCTCTTTGATCTCGTCCGGGGGCAGCTGCTCCACGTTCTGCAGCTTGTTGACGCTCTGCCGATGGCTGTCGTAGTAGCTGAAGAAATCACTGGCGCTCTGCTTCAGCAGGTAGACAATGATGCCCAGGCCAGGCAGGCGCCAGCAGGGGACCACCGGGGCCGGGGCGTCTAGCATGGCGGATGATGGAGAAAGGAGAAGAGAGAAAGAAAGCTTCACTTACCAAGACGCTATGACGTGTCATTTTCTGACAAGCGATGCCCAGGAATTTACGGGCAAACGATGACGGAAACCAACCAAGGCTACTTTTAAACACCACCGGCGGCCCAAAGGAGTGAGGAGCCACTTCTACAGACAGGTATGGACACAAGGCTGGCAACTCCAGAGACTAAGTAAAACTGAGAATTGCCCCTTTATATGGCAAAGCCCGCCTTGAGACCTCTAGGAAACCAGAGACCCCCCCCCCCCCGCACCCCATGCATGGCAACATGCCAGCCTTTACACAGAGCTGGGGTTTCCCGAGCCCGGGTAAAGAGCCCAGGTCTCTCTCCACAGATTGATTTCCAAGCCACTATTTTTTTTTCCTGGTTACTTAAGTCACAGGCTAGAGCAATAGCGCAGCGGGTAGGGCGTTTGCCTTGCGCACGGCTGACCCGGGTTCAATTTCTCCGCCCCTTTAGGAGAGTCCAGCAAGCTACCGAGTATCTCGCCCGCACGGCAAATCCTGGCAAGCTCCCCGTGACATATTTGATATGCCAAACACAGTAACAAGTGTCACAATGGAGACGTTACTGGGCCTGCTCGAGCAAATCGATGAACAACGGGAGGACAGTGACAGTGACTGAAGTCACAATTGACAGTCAATTCTTCCAAAGGGATAAGATATAAACAACAAAAGAGGGCTCAAGTCTTTTAGCACAGTTAAGTCCATTTGGGCAGCAAAACAAAGTGAACTTTCACTTGGCTATCTTCTGATAAAGTTACAAAAAAGACAGAGTGATGCCAGCACGCTGTCGGGGAGGGAAGACCGAGGAGCAGCGTCAGACACTATTCCCGGGAAGCCTTGGAAGGGACAGCGAAAAGCACGTCCCGCATCTGCCCGAGGGGGGACAGAGAGAAAGACCAGAGTACGTCGACTGCCAGCTAAGCCGGAAGATCAGCTCTGGCTACCCAGGGCTGGACATGAACAAGGCGGGCAAGATGGGCATTTGCTCCCTGCGCTGCCATCTCCCTTCACTTGGCCCCAAAGTCAGGTCCCTTCCCTCCCTGCGAAGACAGAGACTAGAGTCTGCACACCCAGCCCCGACTCATCTGCTCTGCCAACCCTGAGTAGGGAAGCGCAGCCTTTACAACGCTGACGATGGCCCGACCGAACCAGGACCTTGGCCCCCAGCGGGACTTGTTAATCTCCATCCGGTCAGCAGCTATGCCTGGAGGGAAAGGTTGGCCACTCAGAGACCCCCCCGAAAGGCACCTCCCCTCCCATACACTCACTTGCCCAAGTCTAGAGAATGCTCCAGGGTGCCAGCCCTGGACTTCCCGTGAGGATGACTCATGAGAAACCTAATTCTAAAAAGCTCATGGAGCCAGCAAAGCAGAAGGGTGAAGGAAAGCGACTCTGGCTCACAGGTCACAGCTAACTGCAGAGAAGGAGACGGGCCGGGACGACTAGCGCTAATGAAGGGAGGGAGCAAACACCGGTGCAACACACCGGGGCAGGTGCCCGCTCGACAGAAAGCACTTTTCAGAGAGTCGCACGTTTGAGGTGCGGAGCAATTAGTAATTCACTGCAGAGCTGGGCCCGGCTTCCTCTCTAAGGGTGCTGAGATACAGTGAGAGGAGTGACCAGCAGAGGTGGGCTCAGAGCGGCGGTTCATTGGTCGCATCCTTAAGCTACACCTTTATGGCTAAGGACACAGCCGTATCCTTAAGCTATATATATTATTGAGGAGGGGACGCCTCGCAAAGCTTAGAGACGGCTCCAGGTGGACGTGGGGGGCCGGGCAGTGCTGGGGATCGGACCTGGGCAAGCGAAGCCCAAGCCCCCGTCCTTGGAGGCGTCTCCCTGGCCCTAATACCCTGAGCCTCCCGCACACCTCCCCACTCTGTCTGAATGGAAAAGAATACGCTTATGAACGCTTCCCTTTCCAAGTCTGAGGAGGGGCAGGAGCACATGCTTCGCCTGCAGGAGGCCGGGGTTCAACCTGGGGCGGCACGTGGGCCCCTGCCCAGAAGCACCCAGCCACAAGGAACCCCAGTCGCTGATACGGGTGCCCCATGAAATGGAAAGTTCTATGGGGGAAAAAAACTATAAAACTCACACACAAAGGCGTATGTGTTAAAGAGACACACTTTCCCTCTCCACAGAAGGGGACAGGTTAAAAGATCAACTTGAAAGCAGAGGTAGCCAAAAGGAAGTGTAATAATAAGTGGTCATTATTCAGTAACCTCGAACAATGACTCTGTTAGCAGAGGACTAAGGATCTTTGACATAAAGGAGATGAAATGGCCACTGAGTTGGGAAATCTTCTGAGAGTTGAAGGGGAGAAAGCATCTCCCTCAGGCGAGAGATCTGCGGGGATCAATAGGGAGATTCCTGTTTCCTTGCAAACTGCCCAGCAGAAAGGGACAGGCCAGGTTAAAGGCCATGCTGGGAGGCAAGAAAGGCCATTCTAAAGAAAGGGCCCGGGGCCAGGTTCCCCTCTCCCCTCTGGTCTGCCGACTGTGACAGTCACAGTCACGGGACAGGAGAGAACATTCCCCCCAGGCTGCCAAGGGCAATCAGGGACAGGAATCTACCTGGAGGCACTTCTGCTTTTTGAGTGTAGGAGAAAGGGAGAAAACTGTGTGGCATAATTGGCTCACCGGAGGAACCCTTTCAGACTCCAGCCAGAATGACTGAAGGAGCTTACCCCACCCAACTGGAACTCCTTAGGGCTATTGTTCTATTTCTTTATATATATTCTCAGCCAAGAATGACTAGGCTTTGAATGAATCACTGCATTTCTAAGCCATTTTACTAAACACTAAGGTGTTCTCTGCATATGACAAACTCAGACCAAGACCAGACCACAGCCCCGGCCCAGGGCAGAAAATGAAGACACCGAAATATCATGCAGAAACAACTCCCTGAAGGCACCAACACAGGAGAAGGCCCTACATCCACCTCACTGATGGGTCCATGAGCCACGCTGTCTGCAGGAAACGTTCTCAGAAAGCCCCGTCTGGGGCCGGAGCAATGGTCCAGCAAGCAGGGCGCTTGCCTTGCATGCAGCTGTGTGGGGTTTGAATCCTGGCACCCCATCTGGTCCCCAGCGCCTGCCAGGGATCTCTATTCCTGAGCAATCTAATCCCAAGGGAATCAGATGTAGGAAACCACCGGGTGAGGGTTTGACACTTCCTAGGGTGACACTGAGGGAAAACAAAATATGCTCACAGATCAGTGAAAACACATAGGCAGAGAACAACAAAATGGAAATTCTGAAACTGAAAAGTGCAGTTCTGAAGTAATAGAAAAGTCACTGGATATATTTGCAGACACATGAATCTGTCTGAGGAAAGAGTACATGAACACAAAGTCAGAAAAGCTAAAAATATTCAAGAGAAAGAACAAAACATGGAGACAAAGACCCTCAAAAAAATCAGGGTCACAAGATCAAATGCAAATGGTAGGGCACTGGTCTTTCAGGCAGCTGACCCAGGCTCCATCCTGGCACCCTCTATCACCCCCTGAGCCTGCCGGGGTGATCCCTGAGACCAGAGTCAGGAGTTAAGCCAAAGCACCACTAGGTGTGGCTCCAAACAAAACACTAAGGAATAAAATGCAAATGAGGAGGGGAAAAAAGGGAAAAATGCAAAAAGGACAAGAAGAAAATTAAGTCAGGGCCCACAGCACTGCAGACCAGCACTGCAGGTCTGAGTCTCTGGGTGAGCTCCAGTGCTACATAAAATAAACAGCAGGTTCTGGTTTTGTTTTGGTGCCACACCCGCTGTGCTCAAAGCTTACTCCTGGCTCTGCACTCAAGGAGTCACCCCTGGCAGTGCTCAGGGAACTGTATGCGGTGCCAGGGACTGAAACGCGAGCTGGGCACTTTGCCCACTGTGTTATCTCCCCAGCCCGATTTATTTTTCATATTAATTTTTTTATTGAGGAAGGGGCTCACACCTGCATGCTCAGGGGTTATTCCTGGCAGTGCTTGGGAGACCATATGAGATGCCAGGGATCAAACCTGGGTCAGTCATGTGAAAGGCAAACGCCCTACCCAGTGTACTATCATTCCAGCCCCCCAAATTTTTAAGAAATAAATTATTCTATACTTTGACTGTAGCTGTAGTGGCCTGAGTAGATAATTATCAAAACGAATTAAACTATATAACTGAGATGGATGGATCTTGTTATAAGTAAATACTGCTGAATTTAAAAAGACCGTTTCATCCTACCAAAAAGGCCATTTTAGGCAAGGATTAGACAGCTTTCATAGTACAGTCGTATTAGAGAACACTATGGTAATAGGGTAGAGATCATTAAATGAATCTATTCTTTACATCATTCTATTAAATAATGCATTTTATGTTATTTAGCAATTCTCAGGGAAACTGAGATCTTGAAGAGGATGAAAACGTGACAAAATGATTCACAAAAATATCAAACAAAAGGCTTCCTGAAATCGCTAGTAGTTCATTCCATTACAAACACCAGGATGGGAATAGGTTTGGTCTGTGACATAACAGGTTTAACCAATCCAAAATCCTGCATCATATTCCAAGTCTTCCTTACTGGGTCATTAAGAAATCACAAGCTGTGTCACACACTGTACTTACATCTATGTTTTACTTTAGTCTGCTACAGACGCTGGGAGCTAAAATCCAAAACTCGATTCAGACACTGTACTTGGTGAAACATGACGTCACAAACAAAACTACCTGACTGTTGCATTTTCACTTCGTTCACCCGGTTAACTCTCAAATCCTAACCCCTCTCTTTGTTTTTTGTTTGCTTTTTTTAAGTTTTAGGGGCACACCCGGTGATGCTCAGGGGTGACTCTAGGCTATGCTCACAGGTATTACTCCTGGTGGTGCTTGGGGGACCACACGGGATGCAGGATGAGCCGACTACACGGCAAACACTGTCCCCACTGTACTATCACTCCAGCCCCCACCCAGACCCCCTCTTCGGCGTCTTGAGTACTACCAAAGAAGAGACCCTCACCACAGAGCTCCTCTAGATTCACTCTCGGGAGAATGCCGAGTTTCTCCATTCCATAGGATACTGCAGCCCACCTGTGGGTCTTATAACACATCCTCGCCACTCCTTGCGAGTGCGGCTTATATGGGTTCTCACCATTAAGTCACTGTCACTGGCCTCCCGTTGTTCATCAATTTTCTCGAGCAGGCCCAGTCACGTCTCCATTGTGACAACTGGTACTGTGTTAGGCCTATCGAATAGGTCACGGGGAGCTTGCCAGGCTCTCCGAGAGGGGCGGAGGAATCGAACTCGGGTCAGCTGCGTTGGCCGCGTGCGCGGCAAACGCCCTACGCGCTGTGCTATCGCTCCAGCCCAGGTAAACGGCATCCAACAGATGCAACCAGAGTGTGGCAATAATCTTCGCAACTGAGTAGCTCAGATACAGAAGAAATGAGCACACTCACCTTGGCGGGGCCCGTCTCTGTTAAGGGTTTCCGAAAGGCTGGGGGTGAAGAGACACACCGAGTGCTGGAAGGTGGGCGAGCTCTGCAGCATGAGCGATTGGCAGTACTCCATGACGTTGGCACAGATCTACGAGGGAAGAGATGCCGCGACAAAAGCATAGACCCCCCAATGTCCTAAAGGCGCAGAAATCCAGGTCTGAAGACCCAAACTAGAAATCCTTTCGTAAAATTACCCGCCCCTGCTATATTCCACTCCCCCCACCACCAATTCTCTGGAGCAGGGCTGGGCCGCGTGCAGCAGTGCTCGGGGGCTACTCCCAGCTCTGTGCTCAGGGTCCCCCCCCAGTCACGGATTGGGGGATCACCTGGTGCCTGGGATACTCAGCTGGATACATGCAAGGCAAGCCCCTGTGCTACCTTGCTGGCATCTTATCACCTAAATTTTTTTCTTGGAAGTTGGAAGTTCACAGATTATAAGGTTAACATAACTTAATTCTTTAGTGATTAAAAAAAAAAAGGTTGTAAGTGGAATTTTTTCTTTTTGGGTCATACCCGCGATGCACAGGGGTTACTTCTGGCTCTGCACTCAGGAATTACTCCTGGCGGTGCTCGGGGGACCATATGGGAGGCTGGGAATCGAATCTGGGTCGGGCGCCTACAAGGCAAACACCCTACCTGCTGTGCTATTGCTCCAGACCTTATCAACTATTTTCATTTTATTTATTTATTTATTTTTATTTTTATTTTTGGGTCACACCTGGCGATGCCCAGGGATTACTCCTAGTTCTGCACTCAGGAATAACTCCTGGCGGTGCTCAGGGGACCATGTGGGATGCTGGGAATCGAATCTGGGTCTGCCGCCTACAAGGCAAACACCCTACCTGCTGTGCTATTGCTCCAGCCCTTATCAACTATTTTTAAAGACAAAAGTCAAGCCAGAGATAGTCAGGTGATTGGGAGCACACACATGGCGCGTGCAGCGACCCTGTCTGAGCCCCAGGAGCACCTCTGGGTGTGGCCCTGGAGGCATCTGAGCACCGGGAGGTCTCCATGCGAGCAAGTGTCATCCATGGGCCACATAGTAAGGAACTGCTCATCCCCGTTGGCCAAGTGTCACAGGAGCAGCCACCGGGCCCCAAGCACTGCTTGAGTGGACCCCCGAGAGGCAAAACAAGGACCAGAGCAGTAGCTGATCTGGGTTTGATTCCGGCAATCCCATATAGTCCCCCAAGCCCCACCAGTAGGGATTCCTGAGTGCAGAGCCAGGAGCAAGCCCTGAGCATCGCCAGACGTAGTTCAAAAACAAAACAAATATTTAAAAAAGGAAAAACACAAATGCCCTATGGAACTTTTCAGAAACAGTCACACACTTCTCACCCTTCTTACCTGCTGCATAGCCAGTTCAATCTCATCTTTCCTGTTCACTCTATCTCCCTCCACGTTATCATCTTGAAATTTAAACTGGCGTAATCGGTCCGAGCCACCAAAGCGACAGAGCAATCCTAAGCACTGGCGCTAAGAAAGAAAAGAATACTTAGTTCACTTTAGCTGAATTGTTTGAAATCAGCGATTTCTCCTTTTGGGAGACCACAGACACGAAAGCTTACTGGCTAGTGAGATCACTCTTTCCAGGGTGTAAATTCTTACATCCCATAGAGACAAGTGAAGCTAACACAATCAAAGTGGAGCCTTTTGCAAATGTATTGATTGGCAGGCAACTCAATAAAAGAACATTGATAATTTTTAGCAGTCAATCCCCAATATAACCACAGTATATGCCAAAAAGTTTTCTGAATCACACCTCCCCCCCACCCCCCAAAAAAGTGTTCAGTAATCCCTATGTAGATATCCATTAAAAAGTACAAGTTGTTAAATAACGTAAAGCAAAGTGAGATGGCAAATGGAAGATGATCTATAATAAACACACCCGTGCTCATTTTTCTATTAAGATTCAAGTATTAAAGATTAATGCTGGCAGCGACCTCTGGGGACTTCACAAAGGGACTGGTTTCATACAAGTATGGAACCTTAGCAGATGAACCGCAGATATGATCCTCTTGAAGTGGTACTTTCCACCAGAGAATATTCCTAAGGTTCTTAGATGGGTGAAGGGCAAGTTTTCCAAAACTGGCAACACACAAAGCAGTTATCATGTGTGCTTGGAATTGGAGCTGTGTATTCTAACAGCAAGTAGAGGACTGACTTGCTAAGTAACCTGGGACAAGTTATTTAACTTTTTCAAATCTCAATGCTCACACTTCTAGAATGAGAATAATGAGAGCAATTCCTACCTTTAAAAAAAATTATTATCAGATTACCTGAGACATTGGGTTGTATTTAAAGTGCTGAACATAATTTCTGCACAATAAAAACAGGTATTTTTTAATATTGGCAACATTGAGCCGGAGAGATAGTACAGCAGGTGGGTAGCTTGCTTTGCATGTGGCTGACCAGGGTTCGATACCTAGTAGTATCGAACAGTCCCCTGAGCACTGCCAGGAGTAATTCCTGAGCACAGCTGGGTGTTGCCCAAAAACCAAACAAATAAAAAAATTACAAAAATTAGCAATACTATGTATGTGTCTAATCTCACACACACACACACACACACACACACAAACACACACACGATGTCTTAATTAAACTGTTATTACTTTAAATAAGATTTGATGAGGCAAAATGCATTAAAGAAACAAACTTATTTCCCAAAATGAAATAGATAATTTTTTTTGTCTAGCTTTTGGGCCCGCTCGAGCAAATCAATGAACAACGGGAAGACAATGACAGTGACAGTGACAGCTTTTGGGCCACATTCAACAGTGCTCAGGGCTTCCTCCTGGCTCTGTACTTAGAGATCACGCCTGGTGGAGCTCAAGGCCCTCTGAAGTGTTGGGGATAGACCCCGGGTCAGCCCTGCCCTCTGTCCTATGGCACTGGCTCCTGAGCTTTTGTTTTAAAAAAGGGGGGTGAGGGGGGTGCCCATAGCCAGTGGTGCTGAGATGACGACGCAGGGCCAGGGTGCCCACTCGGGTCTCCAGCGTGCAAAGCCCGACACTGGCCCTCTCTGCCGTCTCCTGGCCTGCTATCTGTGTTTTGAAAACTTAGAACTACATGTTCGGTACTCTAACAAATTAAACAGCAACACTAATAAAACACCTCCAGACCTCACCTGATAAGAGACCATCAAAAAGATGATGGTAGGGACTGGGAACTTGTGCAGGGGTCAAGGTTCTTGATCTCATGGGGCTGACCCTGATTAAAACTGAGCAGAGTCACGGAGTGTGGTTCCAAAACAAAACAAAGCAAAACACTGAATCAAAACAAAAATAAAAACATAGCAGATAGCCTTGCACATGGTCATCCCCAATTTATTTATCCCATATGGTGTCCCAAGCCCTGCCAGGAATGGTCCCTGAGTGCAGAGACGTGAGGAAGCCTGAGCATTCCTGGGTGTGGCCCGAAAAGTGAAATAAAGAAAAACTGGTGCCAGAACACTAGTGTTACAGGCAGCGTGCTTGCCTTGCATGCGGCAGACCCAGGTCCGATCCCTAGCACGCTACATGGTTCCCTGGGCTCACTAGGAGGGATCCCTTAATGCAGAGCCAGGAGGAGTAAGCCCTGAGCACCATAGGGTATGGTCCAAAAACCAAAGTAAATAAAATTAAAATACTGTATCAAACAATAAAATATCAATTCTTGTACATATTTTTATTCTACAACCAGTCAGATATTTAACTCCAAGCAGACTTGCAGAAAGACTGACAAAATACCAAACTGACAGGTTATCTAATACGTGTGGATATATTTCAGACATACCCAACTGGAAAAAAGTTTGGGAATAAATTAGTAGCAAGTACATAAAATAAAAAAAGAAATGGTAAAGGTAAGGTAAAGGCCCTCCCGTTGATCGTCGATTTGCTCGAGCGGGCCCAGTAACGTCTCCATTGGAGACTTGGTTGTTACTGTGTCTGGCATATAGAATACTCTCAGTAGCTTGCCGGGCTCTCCGAAAAAAAGAAATAAAAAATATAAAATATAAAATCTTTTAAAAATCTGGAAAAAAGTATTACCGATGGATTAAGCATAAATATTTACATAATCATTATAATGATAACATTGATCTAACCAACATTCTGATTTTATTACATTAAGTCGGGTGGCTTGGGGTGAGGAGTGCCCAGAAAAGTTGCTGGGAAATGTATTTATTATAGGGTAGAAAGAAAGAAGTAAAGAAATCTAAACACTCATCTTCCTTGATGGAAAGTTAATAGATGATTTCTAACACTGTAAAACTCAATTGACAGTAACATAATCATTTTATTTAGAGATAGAAACAATTGAAACACAGTTAAAACTGGGTTTGTTCAAGTCTAGGAAGCAGAATGAGGAGGAAGGGTCAGAGAACCATTATATTTTCTACTAAGTTTTTTTTTTTCTTTTTAGCTCATACCTGGAAATGCTCAAGGGTCACTCCTGGCTCTGCACTCAGGAATCACTCCTGGCAGTGTATGGTGGGGGACCATATGGGATGATGGGGATCAAACCCAGGAAGGCCGCATGCAAGGTAAACGCCTTACCTGCTGTACTTCGTTTTGCTCCAGCCACAATTTTCTATTAAGTCATAACAGTCACCACTTTAAAACACACACACACACACACAAAAAAAAAAAAATCAATTACCTGGAATCTTCCGACATGGCCCTGTAGCTCCATTAGAGACCCTTCATTCACATCAACATCAAGCTCACTCAATATGCCTATAAAATTAGGAATGCTTTAAAACAGAGTTTTATCAGCAGCATGATAAAACAGAAGCTCAGAATCATATGGGAAAACGTACCTTTTTAGCAACTGTATTATGTACTGTGTATATATATAATATATACACACACATCATTTTAGACACATCAGTCCTATATTCAAATTGCATATTTTGTTTAACATAGCTTTTTGTCATCTATGTGCTATGTTGCCTTCTACTTTTATTATATTTTTTAAAAAGGTTTTTAATTTTAGACACCATGGTTCACAATATTGTCAATGGCAGGATCACACACACAAAAAGACATTTTGGCACCACACCACCCACCAGAGCATCGACCTTCCTGCACTGTTATATCCCCATGCCTGTCCCATTCTAGCCTATGCCCTGCTGCCCTCCGCTGCGGTCAGCTTTCTTCTCCAGACCAATACTGTTTCTGCTGCCACTGGACACTTGTTATTCTCCTATTTTGATTCTTTATATCCCATATATGAGAGAAATCATGTGTCTATCCCTCTTCTTCCGACTAAATTAATTCAGTATGATACTCTCCAGATCTAGCCACATAGCAGGAAATTGTACGACTGCAATTTTATTTTTTTTGGTTTCTTGAGGTGGTGGTGGGGCCATATGTATATGGTGCCAGGGATCAAACCCAGATCAGTCACGTACAATGCAAGCTTCTTACCCACTGTACTATCACACTGACCCGTTTATCTTATTTCTTCCATCTTCCCTATACTATGTATTTGGAATTGATGAGTAAAAAAAAAAAAAGAAAAAAAATTCCAAAGGCGGGAGGGGAAAAAAATCTCCCCCCCCCCCAAAAAAAAAGGGTAGGGAATAGGGTCAGTCAACTCTATTAGCAGTGGCAATTTTAACGATGCATGTACAGCTGCAAAGTAATAAAAACCTCTCTCCTGGAAGTATGTCATTTGTGAAGAATCATGAAAAGTCCATTCAGTGGAAACTCACCAGGAAGTGCTGCTTTACTTATGATTCCAGTCAGCAGAGCCAATTCCTGCAAAGAGCCAGCACTGCCGTCCTGACAGCGCAGAATTGCTTGGATGGTATCAGAATGTGAAATCAGAAACTGCAACACCTAAGACAAAGACGACGAGCGACAGGAAAAGCAGAGGGAGAAGAACGGAACATTGGGTTATCAACCAAAAATTCACTTTCTGAAAAACACGGAGTGAAGGAAATACCAGAGTCGCAATAATCTTTCGCACTTAATTCTTCAAGAAGCAAATGTTTAACGAAAATTCCCATTAAACAAAAATAAGGATTATTTCAATGCTTAGAAATCAATACATTTAGAGACTGGGAGGGAAAAGAATAACATAACCTGAAACCAAGAGCCTATTCAATGCCTAATTTATTTTATCCAGATCAAAACAGAACATGTTTAAAATCAGAGGGTACACAAGTAACTTACTGAGTTCCAGTTGGCCTATCAAAATCTGCCGACATGGAACCATCCCATAAAAGCTTAGTCAAAATTCCCCTTTCCTTTTTCCCTCTCTTCCTATTTCTTCCCTCCCCCCTCCCCCCCAGTGTTTGGTCTATACTCTGTGATGCTCAAAACTGACCCCTGGCTGTCCGCTCTGGGCTCACTCCTGGAAGGATCAGAGGACCATATGGAGTACCAGGGATCGAACCTGAGTTCACTGAGTGCAAAGCAAGTGCACTGCCCATTGTGCTATCGTTTAGGGCCCCTAACTCCCCTTTTCATGTGCTCAATAGAAAAGAGAGCTAAAAGCTGGCCCCTAAACCGTTCTTCGAAGTTGGCTTTCTCCAGAGCAACCTCAGGAGGAGACCCTAATTCCTTTCATCTAAGGTCTCCTCAACACGATCACAAATGCCTTGATCTGTAATCAAGGCAGAGATTATATCCATATAAATCGAACATCTAAATCACACAGAGATGCCTTAAAAAAAATACCAGATTCTTGGGCTATAATCTGGATATGGAATTGGATATGAAACACAAGTAATGTGCAGTTTTTAGAGCAGTGCCCCAGGAGACTCTGCTAGTTGGTCCCAGAGAGGTATTAAAGAACCAAAATTTTCCATAGATACGGAAAAAAATGGTTTTGGTGTGAAAGGTGTGGTGTGTGCCCCAAGCAGCTCAGGGGACCATCTGATGCCGGAGATCAAATGCACGGTCACTGCATGTCAGGCATATGCTCTTGCTATCTGAGCTATATCCCTGGTACCCTAAAAAAATCTTAATCTCCAACAAGCAGGAACAAGCAAAGTCTATGAGTTTTAAAGCACTGCTCAGAGACCTCAGAACAAATGGATCAGCTGGGACTGAGGCTGCCAGTATAAAATAAGGCAGCACACTAGATTCAGCAGCTCTCAAGCCCAACCACACGGAGGACGGGTCAGATCACCCGTTCTTCCAAGACACAGAACAGAAAAGGTACGATACAAGACTGCAGATATATAATGGCAAGCCCAGTTCACAAGAGGCTAGATTATTTGTGCTCTAATCTTACACAAATGATCGTGTGCGCACACGTGTGTGTGTGTGTGTGTTTATGTGTGTGCATGCGTGCGCTCAGGCTTTGTGGGAAAGCAATGAAAAATTAATTTCTAGTGTTTTAAGAAAAAAATTACTTGGTGGAAAATGAGCTTTAAATGACTTTATTCTCCATCACACCTAAATGTGGCTTTTTCTGCAAGGCCTCAAATAGCATATAATCATCTCTCAAAAAATACTCAGTTAAATGACATTTCAGAAGTCGGCTCATGCCTGTAGAGCTCCTGCTCTCAATCTCGCTGTTTTACCCATTAGCTGTGGAATTTCACCCAAACGAGCAGAGAAATGGGCTACTGGCACCCGGAGCCCAGAGCGGGAACAGCCTTGGCTCCTGATACAGCCCGTTTCTGATGCCAGCTCAGCGGCAGTGAGACTGAGGGACACTCTCTTGCGTTCTCTATACCTGGGGTCTCTGTATGTGGAAAATAAAAATCTGGCGCCAGGCAGTTTTATATTTGCACTGAGAAATCCACATACCTGTCCTGCAGCCTGCAAGTGCTGGGCCATACTGGATGTGAGGATAACCTGGCACAGGCGGAGAGCAGGAAGGAGAATCTGCCGGTAGCGATCCACGGGAGTAGGGATGAACACGGGCGGGTCTCTTATGCTGAACACGCTTCATTCATTTAAATACAAGGAGAGAGCAACAGTCCAACAGTGAGAGGATGTGCTAAATGGCCCTGACTCTCACTGTGGCACCTGAGGTGCAATGTCACAAAGTACAACTCTGCGCCCTGAACTGTGAAAAAATCTCAGTCAAGGAAATCTGCAGAATCCGGAAAGACAATATGTGACATTTCTCAGACATATTTACTCTACGCTAAATGTTCCCTTGGGCCAGAATGGGAGGGCCTCAGCGGGCTTAAATGAACGCTTAGCTTGCATGCTAAGACTTGCATGCTCCCAGCACTACACAGTCCCCTAACCACCAGGAGTGACTTTTTTTTTTTTTTGCTTTTTGGGGTCACACCCGGCAATGCTCCGGGGTCACTCCTGGCTCTGCATTCAGGAATTACTCCTGGCGGTGCTCAGGGATGCTGGGAATCAAACCCGGGTCAGCCGCGTGCAAGGCCAAATGCCCTACCCACTGTTACCATCGCTCCAGCCCCAGGAGTGACTTCTGAGCACCCAGCTGGGAAAGTCCCTGAGCACCTCTGGGTTTGGCATGGCCCCCAAGCCCAGAACTTTAAAAAAGCTCCAGTCCAGCCATGCAGGCTGCTTGGGTCAGCACGTCCGGGAAGCCCCAGAGCCACCCTGGGCTACTGGGGTGGCAAGGGAGATTGTGCTGGCAGGGAGCTAAGTTAGGGCCGAGCACATGCCAGTCCATGAGGGATCTCTGAAAGAATCGCCAAAACCCTAAGTGTTATTTGCTGCTAGGAGATCGCGTGGCTAATCTGGATTCCATTCCTGATATCCCATATGGTCTCCTGAGCCCCACCAGGAGTGATCCCTCAGCAGAGCCAGGAGCAAGTCCCCAGCACTGCCAGGTGTGGCCTGACTACCCCCTTCCCTCGCTCCCCAAAAAGCTTAACTTCAAAAAAAATTTAACTTGAAACTTTCAAATTAGCAAGCGGTTGGTAAAATGATAAAATAAGAAGGAAAATATTCAACTCTAAAATGCTGAGTCACCAGGAATAGGAAACCCTCAACAGTGCGAGACAGGGCCGTGGTACAGGGGTGAGAACAGGCCACACTGGGGCGAGGCTCTGGGTCTGATACACTGGCAAAAAGAAAAAAAAATCAAGAAAGCCCAGGAGAGTTTCCAATTCCACTACAGCACTTTGAAAGACCACGGAGAAAGGAAATTCGTATTTCCCTTTTTCCCCTTTGGAGCCACGCCCAGCAGTGCTCAGGGCTCACTCCTGGCTCTGGACTCAGGGGTCACTCCTGGTAGGGCCCGGGTGACCATTTGTCACACTGGGGGCGACAGCATGCAAGATAAGCACTTTATCCCTTGTACTCCAGTCCCTAAAACATACTTATTTCTTATTGAATAAGTACCTAATACTTAGTAACTGAACAAATCAGTGAAGTGGGGAAGAAAAACATGGGGACTGTACTTCCCTTTGCCTTTTACATTAATGCTTCAAAATGGGTCTCTTCCGGTCCCCACTTTTACCCCTACCAGCGACTTCTATTTATCAAGAAATGAATGACTAACCCATGAAACAGTGGCCAGCTGAAGCCTGAGCTCCCTTTCCCCCGACCAGGCCTGTAGGGACACTCACCCCTGTGAGTCCATGTCCGGCCGCATGTCATAGACTTGGCAATGCGCCAGCCTCACAATCACCCCCGACCTCAGCAACTCCAACGCGCCCTGCTGGATCTTTGACACTCGGGTGAGGAAAGCCTGCAAGGAGGAAAGCAGAAGGAGCATCCTCAGTGCGGAAATCACGCCCGGGGCTCCCCTCAGAGTCGGCCTGCACTTCCAACCCTATTCGGAGCAGAACCAGCACGCCTGCACAGGGAGGCCCAAGCGGCCAGTCCTGCTGGCAAGCACCCCGCCACTCACGGCCCTCCCTGGCATTGGGGGTCACATCCCCAGCAGTCACCTGGGTGAGCCGGGTTGCACTTCCCTGCCGGCCCTCTCAGCACCATCCCAACCCACCCTGACTGAGCCAAAGGGAGGGATTTTCTAAGCCCTGTCCCGAGGCTATGTTGGGCCAGGTAGGGCTGGCGCCTCTGCGTGGTGTGTCTCCCTGGCCTGGCTCCTGGCACCACATAGTCCCTCTAACACAAAGTGGGGGGGGGGGGATCTGGCCCCCAGCATCAACTGCATGGGCCAAAAGTAAACACTAAAGGCTGAGTTTCTTTTTCCTTTTTTTTTTTTTTTTGCTTTTTGGGTCACACCCAGCGATGCTCAGGGGCTACTCCTGGCTCTGCACTCAGGAATCACTCCTGGCAATGCTCAGGGGACCATATGGGATGCTGGAAATCAAACCTGGGTCGGCCACATGTAAGGCAAATGCCCTACCTGCTGTGCTATCAATCCAGCCCCTAAAGGCCGCATCTCTGGGCAGGGATGGTCACTAATTTTCTTCACTTCATCTACAGCACAGCGGGTAGGGCATTTGCCTTGCAAGTGGCCAACATGGCCGACCCAAGTTCGATTCCTCCACCCAGCAAGCTACCGAGAGTATCTCGCCTGCACGGCAAAGCCTGGCAAGCTCCCCGTGATGTATTCGATATGCCAGACACAGTAACAATTATCACAATGAAGACGTTACTGGGCCCGCTCGAGCAAATCGATGAACAACGGGAGCACAGTGACAGTGACAGTGACATCTACAGCCCCGGGAGCAAAGGAGCTACAGGCTGTGTGTCAGAGGGCACTAAAGCCTTACCATCTTGGACTCGTACGTATAAAGAGCTTTGAGGAGCGGCGGCTGCGGGGTGAGGAGGCTCTGCAGAGTCCGGTCATCGTCGGCCAGGCTGTCCACGAGCACCTTCAGGTAGCCGCTGTTGGACAGGTACAGGAGCCACTGCTGCTGCTTGTCCACCGACACGATCCGATCGAGCAGGGCCAGCGCCAGCATCTGCAACAACCACCCAGCTCAGGCCAGGACACAGACCAGCAACTGCCTCTCTCTGGAGGTGTCTGGAACTTTCCAGGTGGAGAGACAAAGCTGCCTGCCCTGAAACGTTTCCACTGGGAGCCAGAGAGAGAGCACAGGGGTTGGAGCCCATGGGACACGCCTGGAGCAGCGCTGCAGCCTCGTTATACCGTCAAGCCCACGGCCCAGTGGGCTGAGCACCCCCGGGATGACCACAGTCCCCCGAGTACTGCTTGGGAGGGCCACTGCCACCACACCACCAAAAATTCCCAAACTTTTCCATTTCGTGCTATGTTGTTTTCTTTTTCCAATTGTGTTTGGTTTTATTTTGCAACTGGTGTGCTTTGTTTTTAGGACGAGCAACAGGTTTTGTATCTATTTTTAAAGGCCCTCCCGTTGATCGTCGATTTGCTCGAGCGGGCCCAGTAACGTCTCCATTGGAGACTTTGTTGTTACTGTGTCTGGCATATCGAATACTCTCGGTAGCTTGCCGGGCTCTCCGAGAGGGGCGGAGGAATCGAACTCGGGTCGGCCATGTTGGCCGCGTGTAAGGCGAACGCCCTACCGCTGTGCTATCACTCCAGCCCATAACCTCAACTTAACTCATAAAGGAAGCAGTTCTTTCATTGCTTGCTTCTTTAACTTTTGGGCCACTTCTGGAGTCCAGGGGACCATAGGAGGTGCTGGGGATCAAACCCAGGTTGGCCACATGCAAAGCAAGCACCCTATTCACTATATTATCGCCCCACAAAGGTAACATTTCTGAAAACAACACATTCAATCAATTACCTCAAATATATATATATATATTTTTTGTCAAAATCTAAGCTTTAGTTACTAAAGAACTTTTTTATTTTCCTTGAAAAAATAAAACACTATTTCTTTTCTTAACTCTAACGTTGTTCATGTTCATTATAAAACAAACAAACTTCGGACTATACATAAAAATACACAATCTGAAAGATATAGACCATTGCTGTTCAGTATTTTTTTTCTTCTGTACATAAACACGCACACAAATCCCAAATATCCGTGATCCCTGGGAGTGGCCCCCAGGTCCCCTGAGCACTGTTTGGGTGGCCTCTGTCCCATATGAAGCTTTAAAACAAAATTCAACAAAACATATTAATAAGCAAAATAGAAATCCCAAATTACAGCAAGTGACCAAATTCACTAAACTCCATTACAGGAAATCACAGCAAGCTCTCTCCGAGAAGCCGACTTGACTCTGTCACGCAGAGTACTCGAGCCTTACCCTTCCGATCTCGTGACCATCACATGCATCTCTGCAGACCACCTCCATGAGGGCGGCACCGTAGCTCTCGATGATGGCTATGTTTTCTCGCTGCAGTTTACTGAACACATCTTCGGGGGCCGTCAGTCTTTCCCACATGGTTTTCTTGGCTACAATGGCCACAATAGGAAAGGTTTAAAACACACACACACACACACACACACACACACACACACACACACACGACCTATTATACTACAGAAAACATTCTCCATCACATATACAAAAAGTCTGGGGAAGGAGAAATCCAAGGACATAACACCATAGTCCATGTAGGAATACTAAAATATAGTAATGACAGGAAAAAAGTCAACTATTCTTACAGAAATCAAAATCAGATACCCTGGTGGAGGGTGTGGTATAAGGATGTGATATGCATAAAACCTACACATTAACAACTCTATTATGAAAAATTCTGTATATCATGGTATCTTAATTTAAAAAATTTTAAATAATTTATTTAAAACTTTTTTGAAAGTGGGGCTGAAGCAATAGTACAGCGGGTAGGACATTAGCTTGCACGCGGCCAACCTGGGTTTGATCCCCAGCATCCCATATGGTCCCCCAGCACCGCCAGGAGTAATTCCTGCGTGCAGAGTCAGAAGTAACCCCTGAGCATCATTGGATGTGACCCAAAAAGCAAAACAAAAAATTTGAAAAAAAGAACTTTTTTTGAAAGATAAACCAATTTAGAAGAAAAAGATGAAAACAATTTTTCATCAGAATAGCCCCGTTGTTGAAGGCTCTGATGTAATCTCAGTACGGTAGGTTGTACTGCTCTTTTTATTCTACACGAGGAGACTTAGAGCCATGCCTGGCAGTGCTCGGGGATTACTCTGGCTCCGTGCCTGGGGGTTGCTCCCAGCAGTGCTCAGGGGACTGTGTGGTGCCAGGGATCACACCCAGGCCTCCTGTGTGCAGGCCTGTGCACCGTGCTTTGAGCCAGCTCCCCGCCTCTTTACTGCTTTCAAAAGAGACTCAATATCAACTTCGCATTTCTAGCAGCTCATCATTCAGCTTTAGTTCACGGTAGGTATAAGTAGGTATATGGAAAACATCAATTTAAATTCTTCATTTTAAGACTAAAAAAAGGTCATAAGGGTATTAAATTATTCCCAAAATAGGCCATTTAAAAAACGGGTTTTTTTTTCTTTTTGGGTCACACCCAGCGATGCTCAGGGGTTATTCTTTCTGGCTCTACACTCAGGAATTACTCCTGGTGGTGCTTGGAAGACTATATGGGATGCCAGGGATCCAGCCCAGCTCAGCCACCTGCTAGGCAAACGCCCTACCCGCTATACTATGTCTCTGGCCCGCCATTTAAAAAACGTCTCCATTGGAGACTTTGTTGTTACTGTGTCTGGCATATCGAATACTCTCGGTAGCTTGCCGGGCTCTCCGAGAGGGGCGGAGGAATCGAACTCGGGTCAGCCATGTTGGCTGCATGCAAGGCAAACGCCCTACCCGCTGTGCTATCATAAAATCACTTTTAAAAAATAAAAATAAAAACACCGTAGAGCTCCCTCTAGTGTTTAAGTGGTGGTTTTGCTAATCCAACTCAATGAGGGGAAAAGGCTCATCACAGTCTAGCTTGGTCAAAAGATGTCATTTTATTTTATTTTTTAGGGAGAGGGGGGGTGGCCACACCTGGCAGTGCTCAAGGGCTATTTCTGGCTCTTGTGTCCAGGGAACTAAATGCGATGCCAGGAACTAAACCACAGTTGCAGCCAAGCGGTCACATTAAGGCCTTATTACAGCGGGCTGGGCGTTTGTCTTGCACGTGGCCGACCAGGTTCTATCACCGGCATCCCATATGGTCTCCCAGTACCACCAGTAGTGACTCCTGAGTGCACAGCACAGAGGCGCCACTGGAGAGGGAAGGTGACCCGAGAGCACACATGTCCACGGGGCTAAGTCTCCTGAGCCCAGGTGCTTCCTTCTAGCAGGTGTGGGCATGGTCCCTTCCCTGCTGTGAGGGCCAGAGGGGACCACAGGGTCAGGCCTCTCTGGGCGGACTTCTGCGGGTGCATCCTGTGGAATGAATGTGCTCTCATCTCCCCAGCATAGAATGATTTTCATGTTAATGTAAAATAGCATCTAAATATAGGGCCAAGGGCTGGAGCTAGAGTATAGCAGGAGGGTGTTTTCCTTGCATGCAGCCAACCCAGGTTCAATTCCCAGCACTCCATATGGTCCCCAGAGCCAGTCAGGAATGATCCCTGAGCGCACAACCCAGGGAAAGTCCTGAACATTGACAGGTGTGGCCAAAGACCCAAAAACAAAATAAAAACCCTCAAATTAAAACAGGGCCTCTAGAAATGCGCCCACTAGTACCTGCTTCCAAGGTGTCTGGCTCATCTGGTCTCTGTGCGATCTGCAGGTAATACAGCAGAGAGCCGTACAGGTGTGTCCGCACGCGCTGGAACCCGCCGCCTAGGGAGATGAGTAAGTGCAAACCCTTTTTTGTTTTTTGGAATTGAATTTAAAATAAATGTCAAAGCTATAATTCATAGAAATCTTAAAAAAAAAAAACACACAAACCTGTTTTCAAAATGAAGTCTAAGAGCTTCTTCAGTATGATGTGCAGTGACGAGTCTCCGATAGAAGCGAACCCCACCACCGGGGTCTCTACCGAGGAGGAGGTGAAACCACTGTCCAGCATGCACGTATAATGAGCCTCTGCAGGCCCCAGCACCAACGGCTGCTTCTGCTCCGTGCGGACCGCCTGGCTTAGGTGGGCAGTGAGTGTGAACACGGCCCCCGCCACCACTGGCATCAACTCCTGCGCGGCTTCGTCGTCCAGGATCTTCGAATAGAAAGACAAGCCGGTCAGCAAAAGCCACTGATTACAAGGCCACAAAACACTACGGATGGACCTGCCTCAGTCACAGGAAATGCGAAGCGCATGTTGAACCCTGTCAGAATCCCCTCAGCAGAATCCCTTCCAACAGGCACAAACAGGCTCGCCAGGACTAGAGTCTCAGGGGTAGGGCGGGGGGTAGACTCCCCCCTGCCATTCTTAAAAGCATTCTCTGGAGAGATGATACACGGCTGATGGCTGAATGCTGGTTCAATCCCCAGCCCAGCGGAAGGTCCCCTGAGCAGCCTCAGGAATAAGCCTGCGCACCCCTGCCCCCAGGGTAGCCCACAACAAAAAGTAAATAAACCAACCGAGTCCTCTCGAGAGTGTTCTAATCCACCCTTGGGCTGAAGAGGCACAGAAGAAACCCCTTTCTCAAGAAAAGGGAACCCCCGAGTCCCGTTCCCAGCTGGGAAAGGGAGAGGCGGGGCCTAAAGCTTGACCCGCATTCGGTCAGCGGTGCAGAAGGAACTGAGGAAGAGCGTCACCTTGTCGTGCACGTCCTGCAGAAGGTCTCGGATGATGAGCTGCCGATCCTCTGTCTGAATGAGGTCCTGGGGACAAGCCGTCAGGATGATCTCGACCAGCTGCCGCCACGACTCGAGCACGTGCCGTTTGGCGTGGAGACACTGCAGCAGCTTGTTTCTCTCGACCACATACTGAAGTATGGTGCTGATCTCCTAAAGCCACAGAGAGAGACGGGACCGAGGCGTTCACGTGGGCGGCATCAGAGCCGTCCACTACCAACCGGGCCCTGCTTCCACCACGGTCAGTCCATCGGACAAGATCCAGGCTAGGCCCGCTGGGAGCCTTCTACATGCGTGACAGTGAGCACGTAACGTTTCATATTACATCGGTTGGCCAGGGCTATGAAAGTGATTATAATAAGGCTGTCTGTGGGGGAGAGAGAGAGCTGGAGAGGGAAGGAGGGAGGATAGAAGGAGAGGTGATGTGGATGGCAACAAACATTAAAAAAATAATAATACAGGGCTGGAGCGATAGCACAGCGGGTAGGACATTTGCCTTGCATGCAGCAAACATGGCTGACACAGGTTCGATTCCCAGCATCCCATAGGGTCCCCTGAGCACCGCCAGGAGTAATTCCTGAGTGCAGAGCCAGGAGTAACCCCTGTGCACTGCTGGGTGTGACCTCCACCCCCGCCCTCCCCCCCAAAAAAACGAGGGAGAATAATGCTACTAGTTATTAGACTATTTTTATTTTTAATTGCTGTGGGAGCTATACAAAAAGCTCTGTGGGCGCCCACAAGGGCCAAACTCCAGAGGGGCGCAGGGGACCGTGCAGCGCCAGGAATCAGACCAGGCCTCCCACATGCCTCGGCCACTTGTGACTCAGAGGCGCTCCACCTCTCGAGTCACATCCCTGGTTCCAGAAATAAATTTTGCCAAAACTCCTTGCTCAATGGCATTTTTCCTGGGTGCGTCTTTTCTTTCTTTCCCTTTGACCCTGCAGCTGTGTTTCCAGTGACGTAGATCTCCCGGGCCCTCCTGTTACCCAAACCCCACCCACGTGATCGCCAACAACACTCTCCTCCCTCAGAGAGGCAGCAAGAGAGAGCCCGGCACAGTGTGGCTGCAAATCCTACACTCGCCCAGCGGGAAAGAGGGATTAGCTCTGGCTGCCAGGCACATATTTCTGTTTAGTTTATGAAAGTTCTAAAGTCCAAAGTGAAAGGTTCCATGAAAGATTTTTTCAGTCACTGATTAACTAATAAACTCTATGTCAGTTCGTTGCCTCATCTTCTAAATGGCATTTCAGGAGTTCAGGCCAAGGGTTTTCAACTGCCGTTCCACAGAGGGGTGCCAGTTTGCAGGCATAAAATGCTGAAAAGCACTGGACTAGGCACGCTGAAGGTTTGGCACTCACACCGAGAGACCAGGGAGCTGGCAAAGGAGTGAGGAGCCACGCGCTTCCTGGTCTACCCCAGCGCTGAACTATCCAGCCTGGCTGGGGCGGCCCCAGGCCCTTTGAGCACTGCCTGTGGGCCCCCAAGACCCCCCAAACGCTAACATACTTAAGACTTACCTCCATCAGCAGAGGTCTCTGTCCGATGGCTGCCATACCCTGAAGGGCATTTACCTCTGCGACCAGAACTCTATGAAGGAGCTACAGAACGGGGAGGAGAGAAGTCAGACCATTTCAGACACTGGTAGAAGAGGTGTTGCCAACCATTGCCGACAACTGCCCTAGGAAAGAAAAGCTTCAGACCCTGTCCAGGCTCTAGACCACACCAGCAGGCAGGTCTCCCGCACATTCCGGAGCAGACAAATGCCCCGGACATCCTCCTAGTCAGACCATTCCCAGCTCCCTGAGGGAAGTCACTCGTGAAAGACACTGCCAGCCGGGGCTGACCACGGAGAGGACAGGGTGACAGTGTCCTCTTCGAGTCCAAGCTGCATGAGCAACAGAAACCACACTCTGCACTAAGGGCAAAAACAACACACACGCTTATACTTTCCCTGACCCCTCAGCGTCTGCTCCACCTGGTACCATGACCCAAACCTGAAAGGAGTCCGGAGTCTCACTCACCTTGACATTGCAGACCGTCTGGCCCCGTAAGTTCTTGTGTTCACAGTTGGCAATAACTTGCTCAATCTGAGCCCGGTCAAAGAAATCCAACTGCAGAGGCTCAGGGATCTCCTGACTGAAATCGATGGAGTCGAGAATACTTAGAATTTTCCTACGGACTAGAAATAAAGAGCAGTTCATTTTAACAGGGACATGAAGGAGAGCAAACATGGAGCTGGAGCAATAGTACAGTGGGGAGGGCGTCTGCCTTGCACACGGCCTACCCAGGTTCAATCCCCGGCATCCCATATGGCTCCTCAGTACTTTTAGGAGTGATTCCTGAGGGCGGAACCCTGAGTAACCCCTGAGCACAGGCTGGGTATGATCCAATACCAAATAAAATTTTTTTTTTTTTAAAAGAGCAAACCATCATGCTTGGCACACTCACAGAGAGTCTCATATTCGGGAAGGGCATTAATGTAGGAAAGGAAAACTGTTTGAAATCTAAATTTCATTTGATTTACCAAAAAAAGAGCTCCTACCCATCTTATCATTGGGTGTGAGGGAGAAATGGTAAATATGTATATATTTACATACATACATACATAGATTCATGTATATCTCCTATTGCAGTTTAGAATTTGCAGATACAGGCCTAACAACTAGCTCTTGAAATTTCAAACAATTTAATAACAACGTACTACAAATTCAAAGACCATTACCTTTTGTAGCAGTGTCAAAATGGAGGAATCCAGAAACAGACCTATTTTCATCTTCTATTCCTCCCTCACCATCTGTTGGAACACAATAACGATAGATCCAAAAAATAAATAAATTCAAAAATTCACTGACATAAGTATTTTATTTCTAGGTCATTGTTTCTAGGTCAAAGAGTCCTTTGCAAATGGATGATTAAAATGCAGAATCTGATGAGGGCTTCCTGACAATACTCATCACATTCTTTCCCTGCCGATGGATGCACTTGACAATCGTGAAGAGGATAATCAGAACTTGAGAAGAGGCCGGGCCCAATCATGCCAGGGAGCTGATTAGAAAGGCTGACGCCTCCTTTGCATGTGGAACACACATTAAAATCCTGTGGGCCACTCTTGCTCAGAGCAACAAACTCAGAATATCCGGGCCTCAAAACAGAGTCTACTGTGGGAGCTTCAGACAATAATGCTAACTACGGAGCGACTTAACAATTTTGTGTTTTAAGGTGGGGGAAAAATCCAATGACAGGAAGCGCCCGTTTGCCTAACCACACAGTCTGGGACCAGAGCTGCACATGCACTTGTGCATGGGCTCAGGGCTTGGGCCCGCCCGTTTACCTGAGTAGGGCTTCACCGGCATGTCATCCAGTAAGAGGTGGAGGAGTCTCTGGGTATGTGAGCGCTGGCGATTCAGAGAAGTCACCCTCAGCTCGATGGAGGCCGTTTTCATTAGCCAGGACATCTGGTTCAGCATCGAGATCTCATATTCTGGAAGTGAAATGCGCAAGTTGAGCTTTCCCAAGAAATAACACAACATCAGACCTGAGCAAAAACATCAGTCCTAAGGCATCAGGCCTGTCCCCCTGTGACTTAGCCAGTAAATGCAGGAAACTGAGCAACACAGTGATTTAGCAGTCTGCGACCTTGAAACAGAAAAAGGACCCCAAGGGAGAAGAAACTCGCTGGCATCTGTCTATGAAAGAAAAGCCCAAGGAAATGAAGCAAAAACGAGAAATCGAGTTTCCACTACCTGGATATCTTCATAATGATCTTGAGAACTCTGAATATGTCATAGTAATACACAATTTAGTATTTTTAAAGTAATTCAATTAAAAAAAATCAGTTGGATTTTTACTTCCAGATTTACTTTGGTAATACATTAACAAAAATTTAAATAGGGAAGGAACGCTCCTGCTGCAGAGCCATAGAGGCAGGGTGGGGGAATGGGGGTAGGGTGGTGGGAGGGAAACTGGGGTCACTGGTGGTGGGACATGGACACTGGTGGAGGGGTGGGTGTTGGATCATTGTATGACCGAAACCCGATCATGAACAGCTTTGTAACTCTATATCTCATGGTGACTCAGTAAAATAAATAAAAATAAACAAATTAAAAAAAAACTTTAAAAAAGGGGGCTGGAGAGAAAATATAGGGTTTAAGATGTTTGCCTTGAGTGTGGCCAACCCGTGTGTGATTCCCGGCATATGGTCCCCACCAGGAGTGATCCCTAAGCAAAAAGACCAGAGTACGGCCAGGTGGGGCTCAGAAACAAAAATCAAACAAAACAAATGAAGGTAAGCTTCTCCACAGCACTTGCCTACATGATCCAAGTGGTGCCCGACACTGCAGGCCATGACTGACCATCAAGTTGGAAGAGTCAAGCAGAGAAGCACCGAAAATGGCCCCAAGTCCCCAGATCACTGCTTAGGAGACACCTACCCCCATAAAGCTTCAATCCCATGATCTCAGGGTATCTACTTGGGTAATCAAAGACATCTAGTTTAACATACATTTTAAGTGGTCAGAGTGACAGGACCACAGGTAGGGCATTTGCCTTGCACACGGCGACCTGGATTAAATCCCTGGCATCCCATATGGCCCCCTGAGCACCTCCTGAGTGCAGAGACAGGAGTAAACCCAAGCATCACCAGGTATGACCCAAACAGCCAAAAAAAAAAAAAAAAAAAAACACTAAGTCCAGTAATCGATCACTTATAGCCTTCAGATTTATTATAATTTTTAATTTGCCTGGCTTTAAGCTTCTAAATTGGGACTATATAAAAATATAAAACTCACCAACAATAACTGACTAGTATAAAGCTAGACTGATTTTTAAAAATAAACACAACAAAAAGATATTAACTTTTCTTTCTACATTTTCATTATGTATTTATTTTTGGGTTTAGGGCCATGCCTGACAGTGCTCAGGGCTCACTCCTGGCTCTCTGCTCAGGGACCACTTCTGACGGGGTTTGGGGGACCATATGGGGAGATCTAATCCAGGCCTTGCCAGGCACTGAGACTCTTTTTTTTTTTTTTGCTTTTTGGGTCACACCTGGCGATGCTCAGGGGTTACTCCTGGCTCATGCACTCAGGAATTGCTCCTGACGGTGCTCGGGGGACCATATGGGATGCTGGGAATCGAACCTGTGTCGCCATGTTGGCTGCGTGCAAGGCAAACACCTTACCCGCTGTGCTATCGCTCCAGCCCCAGGAACTGAGACTCTTACTGCTGGTTTTGTTATCAATACTGCATGCTTGTCTAGAAGCCTGTCTGCAAGACGGAGCATTCAAAGACACAAGAAACGAGGCTCTGGAATGTAAAGCCAGGGGCCTGAGCATTGGCTGGTCCCGTCTATCTCTGCCCCACAGCTAAATAAAAAGGCTAACCCCTCAGTTAAAGCTTGAAAGAAAGGGGAAGGGCTACTGGAGCCAGGAAAGAAAAGAGAGAAGGGAGGCTTTGCAACAGGCTTCAAGAATACATATTAGCAGTCCAAAGGGACCAAGCGGATTTCCCTTGGCACAATGCAGAGTTCCCATGTGCCCCTGCTGGGCGCCTTTCAGAAGAAGAGAGATGCTTTCTTCCCGGAACCCGGCTTGGATGCAGAATGGGCCTGCTTGAAGGGGGCAGAGACCAAGCACCAATGTCACTGACACACCGTGGGCGAGTGCCCAGGCCCGCCAGGCTGACGGCTCACGCTGCTGAGAAAACACGGGCCACAGGGCAAACCCCATCACACTTGAATTTTTGCATTTATGGCCACTGAGGAAAAAACAAACAGCTCTCCAGGAGAGAGCAGAGGCCACAGCCGCCCACGCACAGGCTCCTAACTGGGATTCGCAGGTCTGTTTCCATGGAGCCTGGTGCTTCACTGGAACAAGTACCAGGAATGGGAGGGCAGAGCTTTCTGAGGCAAAAGGCCAGTCTCTGACAAACAGGAGCCAGAAGGAAGCAGAGAAAAAGAAAATCTTAGCACGTAAAATAAAGATAGCCTTATTGAGAAAATGATTAGCCATTAGGTAATTCCCAAAAATCCCACACCCTCACTCCAAAAAATTCAATTAGAAAAAAAAAAATTCAATTAGAAGCTGATAATTACTAGCAGTGGGTATTTATTATGAAATTTGTGAGGCTAAATTTCCCAAAACACAGATAATATAAAGCAAGCACCAAGGAAAAAAAAAAAAACTGGGTCAGAGATATTGCTCAGAGAGCTAAGCATAGGCTTTGTATGCAGGAAGCCCAGGTTGCTACCTAGCATGACAAGATCCCCAAGCACCACTGGAAACGCCCCTCTGAGAACCGAGAGAGGAGGAGATCCCGAGCCAAAGAAGAAAGAGAGAAGCATTGAGTGGCAATCATGTTTGGTCTATAGTCTACTTTCAGCAAACCACAGGACCCAAAAGGAGAGAGAGAGAACAAAAGGGAAGGCCCTGCCACAGAGGCAGGGTGAGATGGGGGGCGGGGATGGGAGGTAGGAGGGATGCTGGGACCCGTGGTGGTGGAGGATGGGCGCTGGTGGAGGGATGGGTACTTGATCATTGTATAATTGAAACCCAAGCACAAAAATTTGTAAGTCTATATATAACTGTACCTCATGATGTTTCACTAATTTAAAAAAAATAATAATAATAATAGAAATCAAACAACAACAAAAAATAAAAAAGAAGAGAGAGAGAGGGGAGCCTGGAGAGACAGTCCAGAGGTTAAAGCACTTGCTGTGTGTACAACCAACGCTGGCCTGCTCCCCAGTAACCTACTTGGGGCGAACCAAAACACAGCGTCAGGAGTAGCAGCCCCTTAGTACCGCCAGGTATAGGCTCAATTACTCCCCTCGCCCCAAAAGAACCCAAAAAATCCCCCCTGTCTAGATACGTGAATTTAGAAAACTGTTAAAAACTGGGGCACAGGGGATGGAACCCAGGTTGGATGCTTGCAGGCAAGCACCTTACCTATCGCACTATCTCTCTGGTCCCCACAAACTGTTATAAAACAATTTCCACTAAAGCTTGCTCAGACTTTTATTTTTTGTTTTTGGCTTCTGGGCTACAGCCGGTGGTGCTCAGGGCGTATTCCTGGCCTTGCACTCAGGGATGACCCCTCGTGGGGCTATGGAGTGGCAGCATCAAACCTGGGCCGGTCACATGCAGGATAAGCACCCAGCCCACCATTCTACATTTCTCTGATCCCTGCTTATACATTTTCAGTATTTGTAAAGACAGGAATCAAATTTCATTTTGACCAGCTATTTGAAAGCACTTTTGTTTTGTTTTTGAGCCACACCCTGTAGGGTTCGGGGCTTACTCCTGGCTGTGCTCAGGGAACACTCCTGGCAGGCTCAGGACCATGCGGGGTGCTGAAGGCTGAGCTGAGGTGGCCACGTGGAGGGCAAGTGTCCTATCCACTGTACTACAGCTCCAGCCTCTATATGAAAGTGATTCTTAGGCTAGTAGCTAAATACATTAGATTTCTCAAATGACTAAAGCAATCTTAATTAACAAGCATAGAAACAGAAGAACATCACAAGTACTGAAAAAACTGATAGTCCAAATGTTTTTAGTAATTTAAGAAAAAAAAAAAATCATTCAACAGGGGGCTGGAGCAATAGCATAGCAGTTAGGGCATCTGCCTTGCACGTGGCCGACCCAGGTTCGATTCCCAGAATCCCATATGGTCCCCTGAGCACCGCCAGGAGTAATTCTTGAGTGCAGAGCCAGGAGTAACCCCTGTGCATTGCCAAGTGTGACCCAAAAGGAAAAAAAATTTAAAAAAGAAAGCATTCAACAGAGACTTTGTAAATCTACTTTATGAATAAGGGAAAATATTGTCCTACCTTTGTTAGAAAAAGGTAAATGCTGCAACTGAGAAAATAAAAAATCCTGGCTGGTTCTCAAGTATCTCATAGTAGGGCCAGATGTATCAGAGCAGGCACATAACTGATAGATCACCTAGAGAATTAAAGAAAATCTCCAAGTCAGTTTGAGCTGTATTGCTTTTAGACAAAAGGCAGTTAGATCTTCTAAGACCTAAGAAACTAATATCCATCAACAAGTCAAACAAAACGGATAAACACATTATTAGACAGAAACTCAAGAGTTATCTTCAGTCCACAGCACACCAAAGAGAAGGCTGATGATGTTACTATAAGAACTAATTTGGAAATCAATCTAATGTATCAATATATGCATAGCCAACTAACAAAGTTTAATATTGTAACTATTATCAGTAGCAAAGTAGCAAAGCATTGACTGACAACCACAGATATTTTATCTCAACTTCAGGAAGATAGTAAGTTTACCAAGATCAAAGCAACTGAAGAATTATTTAAAAATCCAAAGGGGCAGAGGCAAAAATCTAACCAAATAATAAATATAAACTCTAAAAAAAATGAACACATAGGGGCCAGAGAGATAGTATAGAGGGTAGGGCATTTGCTGTGGCCAACCTGTGTTCAAATCCTGGTATCCCATATGGTCCCCCAAGCACCACCAGAAGTAATTCCTGAGCAGAGCCAGGAATAATCCCTCAGCATCACTGGGTGTGACCCCAAAACCAAAACAAAACAAAAAATTATAAAAATAGTAGAGAAAGTCAGAGTGACAGTACAGGGGGAGAGCATTTGCCTTGCAGCAGCCAACCCGGGTTTGATCCCTAGCATCCCAAATGGTCTCCTAAGAACCACCAGATTCCTGAGTGCAGAGTCAGTAGTAACCTCTGTGATCCAAAAAACAAAGAAAAGCCAAAAAAAAAAAAAATAGTAACAGAAGTAGAGACCTTTATCTTTAAAAGATAAAAGTTTTCCCAAATATAAGGTGAATTTCTATATTTTAATATATAAAGAGGATTTTTATATATAAATATCAAAAATCCAAAAAGAAAATCATTTTCCACATGAGAAAAAATTAAAATAGCTCATTAAAAAGTATCTAACCTGGGGCTGGAGCAATGGCACAGCAGGTAGGGCGTCTGCCTTGCACGCAGCCAACCCAGGTTCAATTCCTAGCATCCCATATGGTCCCCTGAGCACCACTAGGGGTAATTTGTGAACAAAGAGCCAGGAGCAACCTCTGAACATCACCGGTGTGACCAAAAAAAAAAAAAAAGTCTAACCTTTTTCAATAATGAAAAAAAAAAAAACTAGTAATACAGCAAGTCCATTATGGCAAGTTATCAAAAGCAATTTGCTAAGGGGACTGGAGAGAGTACAGCGGACAGGGTGCTTGCTTGCCTTACACGCATTCAACCCACGTTCAATCCCTGGCATCCCATATGGTCCCTGGAGCCCACCAGGAGTTATCCCTGAATGAAGAATCAGAAGTACATCCTGGGCACAGTCAGTGTGGCCCGAAACCAAATATAAGCATTTGGAAATATGTCTATAAAAATTTTTTAAAATAAGCAATTTGCTGAGCTGTAAAGACAGTACAGCAGATAGGATGCTTGCCTTACATGTGGCCAACCCAGGTTTGATTCCGAGCACCATATATGAACCCTGGGCACAGAGTCAGGAGTAAGCCCTGAGCACCACCAGGTATGGCCCCAAATCCAAAAACAAACAAAAGAGCCTGAGTATCAGGTTAGAGAGACACCTCAGTGTCCTGGATGCAGAAGGTCAGGCTCAATTCCCAGAACCACAGGGTTCCTTCAGCACCGCAAGGAACAAGCACCTAGCCAGCCGTCTCTGAGCACTGCCAGGTGGGGCCCCCAAGCAAATCAAAGTCAGGGCCTTCGCCCTGGGAAAATAAGCAGGGGCAGCGCAGCAGGGCGTCCCAATGAGCCCGTCTCCCTGCCCTCCCACTCTCCCCACCGTTAGTTTCCAGTCTGGCTTCACCGTCTTCCTTCCCCGATTGACTTCTGGAACCGAGACTGTCACCCTGCCCAACTGCTTCCACCTCAGTTTGTCAAATTCTGTCAGTGTAACGCTAAATGCATGGTTCAGTTTGCTGCCCCAGAAAGAAAGGTTGGAACCTCCATGGCGGGGTAGGGGCAGGGGCGCTCCCATGCAGTGCTCTGGGGGCACAGGGGGTTTGCTGGGGAAACCCGGGCCACTTGGAGGACACGTGTTATTGTGATGGCTCAGGCCCAGGGTTCACAAGCACACCAGTGGGGCCGGGGGTCCTCCTGAGCTTTACCTAAAACTCCCCCTTCCACCTCCTCACAGGGCACCAGGGCTGTCCAAGCTACCCGTCCACTCACACGCCCTCGCTGAAACCTCACAAATCACAGAGTCACAGAACTTGCGTCCTGCACCCAGTGACTGGGCTGGGAAAGGGGCAGAGAGGGAGCCCGTGGAGGGGGCTTCACCCTGGCAACCCGACAGGCAGCATCAGAGGGAATTTCTGCATCGCCCAGGCCACGCATTCTGACCCCCTCGATTTTCAAACGAGAAAATATGGAATCTGTGAAGTCCTGGGATTTCCGAGTGACGGAGCTTATCCGTGAGTGAAAGAGGGGCAACAGAATAAGTCTTGACGCAGCTGCAGGGGCAGACCTGGTAGCACAGCTCGGCCAGCTGCGGGGACTCTCGCACGGCCACCGGGCCCGATCTGCCTTCGGTTCCTTTCTCCAAGATGTTCAGGATGGCGTGCAGGCACGTCCGTGGGCAGCCGAGCACTCCTGCGCGACACCAAAGGGAAACGAAGACCCTTAAATGACCCAAGTTAAATTTCAACGGGGACTGGACCGGCAATTCCCCATCGCACATCAATTCAAGAGAAGTGACACATGCTACTTCTGTCAAGCTCAACTTGTCCGGGCTTTCATCTACGTCCTAAAGACTGATCCGCTCCATTGCCTTTGCTCAGGGAAATCGCCCACGAGCCCGTAACTTCTCAATCAAGACTCGCGTCACAACTCAAATCTGAAAAGCACCAAATCTGTGCCCGAGGGCCACACCTGGGTCCTGCAGGTTGGTGGTGCTGACCGGTTTCTTGAGTTCGAAGCCCAGGAGGTAGAGAGCCAGGTTGGGGGGGTTGCGCTCCAAAGAGGTGATGAGGAGGTTCAAGATGTGGATTCGTGTTTCGTGGCGGATTCCAGCTAACTTCTTCTCAAGGTCTGATCCTTAAGGTGGAAATCACAGGACAAAAACAGAGACTCACCTGTGTCAAAAGAAACTTAAGATTCCAGCCCTCTTTATTTTCTTTTGGTTTAACTGCCTAGTCATCACGTTACTATCAGAGTTGACTGAAGAGCTTCCTCAAAAGCCCTGTATATTATTTATACTGCCAACTTTTTCTTCTAGCACTAGACAGCCGACAATATTGAGCTTTATTTCTTTAGGTCAAGTTTTATTTTGGGGCAACACCTGGCGGTGTACAGAGGTTACTCCTGGCTTTGCGCTCAAGATTACCCCCTGCAGGGCTCAGGGGACCATGTGGTAATAGGATCAAATCTAGGTCAGCCACATGCAAACAAGCATCCTACCCCCTGCACTATCACTACCGCCCACTTTAGGTAAAGATTTTATATTAAGTGTAAAATAGACGCACTGGGGGCTGGAGAGTTAATATAGCAAGTAAGATACTTGCCAACCAACCCAGAGTTTGATCCCGGCATCCCATAAGGTCCCGAGACCTACCAGCAGTGATTTCTGAGCGCCAAGTCAGGAATAAGCCCTGAACATTGCCAGGTATGGCCCAAAATTTTAAAAATTTTCAAAAAACAACAATCAAAAATGACATGCTGATCTAAGGTACCTTCTTCTAGACGCACAAATTCTTCTGTATCTTCACTATCCAAACATTCCACAAATCCAGCCATCAGCTTTTGACTAATACCCTAAAGTCAAGAGATCAAAAAAAAAGAGAAAAGATGAATTATAATGTTTCTGATTACTACAGAAACTATAAATATGAGATGCATCTATAATCATTTGCCTCAAAAAAAGACAATATGTTTCAAGTAAGAAATTTATATTACAGTTCTTTATTTGTTAATAGAAAACTCAGATTTTTAACTGCAAGAAATTGGTTGTAGAAAGAAAGTCACTATTTTAAAAGGAATTTGGCTGGGGCTGGAGCTATAGCACAGCGGGTAGGGCATTTGCCTTGCAAGTGGCCAACACGGGTTTGATTCCCAGCATCCCATATGCCAAAAGTAATTCCTGAGTGTAGAGCCAGGAGTAAGCCCTGTTCATTGCCAGGTGTGACCCAAAAAGCAAAAAAATAAAAAATAAAAGTAATCTGGTATTAAAATATGCATCCCAAATTTTCCTTCTCCAAGACTCAATCTAGTATTTTTTTTAAAATGATATTAACATTTCATTGCCTCTTTATAATATCCTTAACACTATGAATTCTTAACTAAAATATAAATTTCTTATTTTCTTAGGAATATAATGAAGTATTTTTGTACTTCAAAATTGAAACATTAGACACCACTCATCTCCCTAACAAATCTAGCAGGATATAAAAGTGGCTAATAATTTATATTAAAATAAACACCTGTCAACTGAAAATCTCCACCTTCAACCCCCTGATTACCAAGTAGTTTCATGAACCTCAGTTAGAACCAGATTTATATTTTACTATAAACAGCTGTCCTCCACTGCGTGACAGTACAATTCCACAGGGCTCTGAGGAATGTCTGGGCACCCTTAGTGCCCTGACCAGCAGTTACTGCTGACAGTCACAGGGACCAGCAATGCTGACATCCAATATTAGGAGTAATTATATACAAGAAGAGGAACTGGTGACACAAAGGCCAGAAAACTCTGTTCCAAACATTGTAAAGAAGCACAGAATAGAATTCTTTAAGGATCTAAACTAGTGATTTCTAACATAAAGATACACTGGGATAGAGGGGAAAAAAATAGCAGATTTCCCCAATGACAACTTTTCAGTGAATGGAAACACAACTACTGTAAACTGGATTTTAAGAAATCTAAAAGCTACCTCTAGTGTAATATCAAAGGAAGTGACCAAACTGGAGTCCACAGATAGCTACAAATTCACAATTCTGTGGGACACATTTAGAATTACAAGGCTCATGCCAGATACAGGCAACTGGGAGGCTGAAATGCAAGATAAAAAAACATAAAGAGGTGGCAAGTCATAAATCTAATCACTTTCCTGTGTTTAGTGTGGCAGAAGTCTCGTGAAGTCCTGCTATCACCTGGTATATATAAACAGACATAGTAAAATCACATGTTCAGTACATGCAGTAGCACTATGAATAGGACCAACTTCAAATATAAATCGGAGCCCAGTGCCTGAACAGGTTTTCATCCAGCATATATATGCAGATTTAGAAAATGTTTCACAAGCAAGGTTCTTTCAGACATAATGATCTCCATGCATGATTTTACACACACACACACACACACACACACACACACACACACACACACACACACAGACTCAGAATGCATGCATGCACTCAAAATATCTTCACTACCTGATCATGGGTGAAATCTCCAACCAACTTTATCTGAATATTGGAGTTGCAAGAGATACAACAGAGGATCTTGGCGCTCTCAAAGGCCAATTCTGGATTCGTATTGCCATGATACAGGTATCTGTAAAAGAAGAGCACACTCGAGGACTGGTTGCTCACGATTTTCAATAAAGAGCATCGATAGCTCAGTGGGCTGGAGCATGTGCTGTCCACACAGGAGGTCCAAATTCAATCCCTCGGACCCAATGGTGCTCTGAGCAATGCACCAGGAAAGACCCTGAGCAGCATCAGGAGTTGGCCCCAAACCAAAAAGAAAGAAAAAAAAAAACTGAGAAAAAAGGGTCAGAGAGATAGTGCAGCTGGCAAGCCTCTTGCTTTTACACAGGCCCACCTAGTTATCGTCCCTGGCATCCCATATGGTCCCCTGAACAATGCCAGGAGTGATTCCTGAGTGCAGAGTCAGGGATAACCCCTAACCATTGCCAGGTATGGGCCCCACAACAAAAAACAAAGAGCACAACAATAAACAAACAAAAACAAATAGCACTTTCCCTTAAATGAAACAAAAAGTTTCTTTCCCCTTCTAAACAGATGCAACCTGTTAAAGAGTTGAACTGTGTTTCTTTAAAATTCAGACAGATACCAAAACTCACAAGATGAACTTAATCAGACAGAAGAACTTAATCAAATTAAGATGAGGACCTGGGATTGGAGCAATAGCACAGCAGGCAGGGTGTTTGCCTTGCACGCAGCTGACCCAAGCTCAATCCCCAGAACCATATACAGTTCTCTGAGAGCTGCCAGGAGTAATCCCTGAGCACAGAGCCTGGATTCAGCCCTGACCATCGCAGGTGTGGCCACCAACCAAAAAAAACAAAAAAAAGATGAAGTCTTTAGGAAAGGCCCAAAGTCAATGCAATGACTGGTATTTTTTTAAAAAAGCCAAAAATGGTGAGACTGGAGAGAAGGCCCAGTGGCAGAACACTAGTCTAGCTGTGCAGTACTCCAAGTCTGAGCCCTGGCATGGGTGTCCTGTGTCTCTCCTGTCCACGTTCTTGCCAGGTGTAGCTCTGGGGGCCCCATGCAAAGCCAGGTGTGACTCCTACAAAGGTAAATTTTTAAGGACAACTATCAAATGTTCTCATTTACCTATAGTATGCAGAACGACAAGAGAATGGCAGGAAACAAGTGACAGATGACAGAACCGAGAATGCCAAGGAAGGCGCAGCTGGGGAAAGTGGGGTTGAGAGGAAGACAAGGACAGACTGGTGATAACGCAAGGCCGTGACCAAGGCCTTGAACATTTTGGTGGTCTAGAGGTGAGGTAAGTATGAGCATCAAGACCGTCAAGAGTTCAGGGCTGGAGCAATAGCACAGCAGACAGGGCATTTGCCTTGCATGCGGCCGACCCAGGTTCGATTCCCAGCATCCCATATGGTCCCCCGAGCACCGCCAGGAGTGATTCTTAAGTGCAAAGCCAGGAGTAACCCCTGGGCATCGCCGGGTGTGACCCAAAAAAGGCAAAAAATAAATTTAAAAAAAAAAAAATCATAGTTCAGCCCACATCCCACAGCAGTTGCCACCTAAGCTCATCCATCAACTCAGACTAAATCTCTGAGGTCCTGGAGCGCAGAGCTGCGAGACACCTCCAAATTCCACAATACCAGCATCCCAGCAGGAACACAGCAAATTAGATGGGAAAGAAACATAGTAGTGAACTAAGCCCAATTTAGAAAGTAACACAGGATAAATTATTTTGTGCCCACTAAGCAGGAAGGCTGGGGGAGAGGTTGGGAAAACGAAGACATGGTAGAGAGAAGGTCACACTGGTGGTGGGACTGGCACTGGAACACTGAATGACCAAAACAACTGTATTATGAACAACTTCACAAATTATGGCATTTACATAAAGTGAAAAAAAAATTTTAAAAACAGAACTAGGAAAAAAAAACAAACATTGAGTCAATACTCTTGTAAACATGAGATCCAAACTACAACCACAATTTAAAAACTGGAGTCTTTACTCAATCATTGTGTGACTGAAATGTAATCACAAAAGTCTGTAAGTCTGTAACTATATCTCACAGTGATTCACTAAAAAATATGTATTAAGAAAAGAAAAAAGCTGGAGTCTGCGAAGGAGATGGAGTGGCGGGGAGTGAGGGAACTTGAGTTACTGGTGGAGGGACGTGACACTGATGATAAGTTAGGAATTGGAACACCGAATGCCAAAAACTTTCTACTCAAAGCTTTATCATTTTTTAAAAAAAAAAAAACTTTGTTTTTTGACTCACACCTGGCAATGCTCAGGGCTGACTCCTGGCTCTACACTCAGGAATCACTCCTGGGAGACTCAGGGGACCCTATGGGCGCCAGGGATTGAATTCAGGTTTGCTATGTGCAAGGTACTATGGATCTAGCCCTCTTACAAAAAAAAAAAAAAAACCTTTTTGGGGAGGCTGTAGCAATAGCACAGCGGGTAGGGCATTTGCCTTGCACCCAGCCGACCTAGGTTCGATTCCCAGCATCCCATATGGTCCCCCGAGCACTGCTAAGAGTAATTCCTGAGTGCATGAACCAGGAGTAACTCCTGTGCATTGCCGGGTGTGACCCAAAAAGCAAAAAAAAACCCCTTTTTTGTATGATTTGATTTGATTTTTATAGTTATTCACAATTTTTTATTACATTCAATATTCCAAATAAAACCTTTTAACTTTCTTATTGAATACCAAGAGATAGACCCTTACAAAGCTGTTCCTGATTGGATTTCAGTCACACAGTGTTCCAACACTCATCCCTCCACCAGTGTACATTCCCCTGCACCAGTATCCCCAGGTTCCCTCCCATCACCCCCGGCCCCTAACAAAGAAAACTTTTTATTTATTTATTTGCTTTTTGAGTCACACCCAGCGATGCACAGGGGTTACTCCTGGCTCATGCACTCAGGAATTACTACTGGCGGTACTCGGGGGACCATATGGAATGCTGGGAATCGAACCTGGGTCAGCCGCGTGCAAGGCAAACGCCCTACTCATTGTTCTATCGCTCCAGCCCCCCAAAAGAAAACTTTTTAAAGGGAGAAATTTGGACAGGTGCAGACCTTTCCCCTCCCCCAGCAGACACAGAGAGAGAGAGAGAGAGAGAGAGAGAGAGAGAGAGAGAGAGAATTGATACAAGCACAAGCCAAACTGTACAGAGGGACAAGTTAGTTCCTAACTCTATCCTCCACACATCCAAGTTCCCTATAGGAAACGGGTAATTTATGTCATTTCATACTTTTAAATAAGGGGAGGGGGGGAGGTATAGGGGTTGGACCACAGCACTGTACAGGGGCTTCTGCCTCTGTACCCAGGGGTAGCTCCTGACCGTGCTTGAGGGACCATGAGGAGCCAGGAATCGAACCATGATTGGCTTTGTGCGAGGCATGCACGTTAAGCCCTGAACTATCTCCCCGGCCCCGTACTTTTAAGATTTTCATGACAGAAAAAATTAGGGAAAAAAGAAATTATAAGTACAAAGCAACTAAAATTAGAGCGATCAAGCAGCCAAGAATAAAATGGAGGAGAAGCAGGAGAGATTTGGTCAGATTTTAGGAGGAATCCAAGCCAGCTGCCCATCTATTCCATCCCTCTCCTACCTGCAGACGTATTTACCTGGCAATATTCACCACATTATCTGCCTTCTTAGTTCTGGGATTGATTCCCTGCAGAAGCTGTTCTAAGGGAGAGACTATTAGAGCCAGCTGACTCTCTCTGAGGAGATCCATGAAGAGGTTTTCCTTCTGCAGCGTCAGGTTGAGGATTGCAAGGCAATGCTGCACTGCTTTCTCCAAGTGTTTCTTCCCTGGAAGTCAAAACCGCAAGTTAATCTGACGTGTACCCTAGAAACTTAGCCACTTCTTAGGAAAGCAAGGGAAAGGACAAGACAGACCCAGAAAACGCCCTCAAAGTTTCGAAATTCCAATAGGCACATCACAAGAACACCCACCCTTGCAAGCCATGGGAACTTCTGACAACAGTGCTTTCCCCCAAGGCACGTGTAATTCCTTCGGCCTCTTCCTACACAGCTCAGAGCAGTGTTTCAACCTTTACCTGCCATGAGGCCCTTCATGGCCCCCACCCCCTCATCTTACAGTTGGCTCTTGAGTTTTGTGCCATGCCCCTTCCCCCTGCTTTAGGCAAATTTTGCCAGTGCTTGGAATATTCTGGGGGCCCTCAGAGGCCCATGAGCCCTGGTTGATAAATGCTGATTCAGTCATGGTTCCCAGTGGCACTGATCTGCCCCCCCACCCCTTTCCCCCCATCCCGTGTCTAGAGACACTGCTGGTTGTCACAAACGGGAATGTACAAAAGACATCTAGGGGCTCGAGGCTTAAAACTCCCAGGATGGCCTCCAAAAGGGAGAACTAATTCAGCTCAAAATGGCAAGATTGCTGCAGCTGAGAAACTGAAGGAGAACAACAAAGCCTTCTGAACACTCTGCGGACATCTCTGCATGGGTGCAGCAGCTGTGAGCATGACGCCCAGGAGCAGAGCGAGACCCCCGAGTGGGATGGTTGGCTCTGCGGTTTGGGACGTCTAGAGCCACAGACAGGGTGGCGCCTCCAGCCTATCACACGTAAGCATGCGTGAGCACTCCTCAAGGGCACTTGAGCACCACGACCAAGTGTGAGCCCCCTGGTCACCACAGAAACAACAACAAAAGGGGGGCAGGGGCAGGGGAAAATGAAAAAGTGGAAAATACTGATCAGGATCACCTAAATCTCAACTGAATCACAGTGAAAATGAGAACCGAGAGCTGAGCTGCCTGAGTTCCAATCACAGACAGTAAATCCATTACTAGAAGGTACATGGGCTCCCAATCAGTGCTCAGGGGGCCTGGAGCCACTCCAGGCAATACTTAGCCAACAGGGCTGGCAGTTCGATGCTAAGGCCTGAGCATGGGGCACCGAGGATCTCAGGGCCACCCAGCGATGCTCTGGGCCTCCGGGGACCATGCGACGATGGGGATCAAAGCCGGGTCAGGCACACTCACTGCACGAACACGCACTGCTGGACTCACTCCTGGCTCCGTAAAACCATTTTGTGCATCAATTTCCCTACATATTAAATGGATCTCAGTAGAGATCCACTACGTAGAGCTTTAAACAAACTGAATGGGTGGAGTACTTTTAAAAGCATCATTAAGTATTCCGTGAACGGTAATATAAAGAAATATTCATCATATTCAAGGAAACTTACTGAACACTATGTGCCAGATACTATCATAACTGCTTTTATAAATACTATGAAAAAACAAAACAAAACAAATCAAAGAGTACCTTAAAATCAATCGCGTTAGAGCTGCTAAAGTGATACAGCTCATCACCTACCGAGGCCCTGTAAGCTGACGGCCACAGTGAAAGCCCTGGCACTTGGGGCAGGTTTCACTGTGACTATATTTTCATCAGTTTATGCCTCACTGAAAACACCACAGCAGAAACAGAACCGTGGTGTGAGAAAGAGCTTCAGAGATCAAACCTCCAGTTTCCGGAGAATGTCACAACTGTTGGCGGGGCGAGAAGACATCCCGGCACGTACCAGGGAAAGGCGCGTAGGTGTCCAGCTGCTTGACCCCTTCCTCCAGCAGGCTCAGGGACAGCTCCAGCATGGGGGACTCGTTCAGCAGGTGGTACATCAGGCTGAACCCTGGGGGCTTGTAGGCGATGATTTCTTCTCCTAAGAATCCAAGCAATGTGAGATTAGCATTAGGATCTCACCCTGCGTTTACACACAGCGTAAGGGATCTGTCAATTATATGGCACCAAAACAAGTGAGGTAGGTTTCAATGCAGACAACGTCACAAACTGTCAAAATTAAAATCAGTTTTAATTTCCCAAAAGGACAGATCTTCAGCACAGGGTGGTTCGTCACCGATTACATTTTAGCAAGTTAAAAAATCTTTAAAGTAGTGATCTTGCAGTTTCATTCTGTAAAATTTTATTTCTTCTTACACAGGTCAATTAGGGCTGGAGCGACAGCACAGCGGATAGGGCATTTGCCTTGCACGCAGCCGACCCAGGAGATCCGGGTTCAATTTCTCTGCCCCTCTCGGAGAGCCCAGCAAGCTACTGAAAGTATCTCGCCCACACAGCAAAGCCTGGCAAGCTACCCGTGACGCATTCTATATGCCAAACACAGTAACAAGTCTCACAATGGAGATGTTACTGGGCCTGCTCGAGCAAATCAATGAACAACGGAAGGACAGTGCAGGAAAGAAGACTAAAACAATCTGACAAAAGATTAAGTCCTAATTTATAAAAAGTAATTTTTTAAAAAAATTACATGCATAAAATTTATAAATGAATAAAGGTTATAAGTAGCTTTTAATGTAAATAACACCTTATATAAAAGGGACAGGATAAAATTACCTTGTAATTCTACAAACTGGTCTATAAAATCTTCAAGTTGAGGCTCGTAATCTCTGAGTAATTTATAAAACACCTCCAAGACCACCTCAGCCACTTCCCACTATAAAAAGACACAAGTATTTCAGGAACAGGAAAGCAGGCCCAAGGGGACACCCTCAACTAGGCGTCATTCCTCTCACTTTTCTCAAGAAAAGAACTCCTTTGTCTGTGATGCTAAGCAACACTGAAACCCAGTGCACATGGCTTGATTTTGTTCAAGGATAATGGTGTGGCTGACTGATCGAGGTAAAGCACAGTGAAAGCATTAACCTTTTATTTTTCCCTCCAAATAAAGATCTCTTGGGTAATACCCAGAGACGATCTGGTTGTTTTTGCTCTTTGGGTCACAGCTGGCAATGCACAGCGGTTCCTCCTGGCTCTGAACTCAAGAATTACTCCTGGTGGTGCTCAGGGGACCATATGGGATGCTGGGGATCGAACCTGAGTCGGCCGCATGCAAGGCAAACATCCTACCCGCTGTGCCACCACTCTAGCCCCGGTGATCTGATTTGTTCCTGACTGTTTAGGAGCCGCTCCCAGATTGGGGGTTGGGCGGGGGGGAGAGGGAAAGAGATTCCACATACTGCCAGGGAGTCTTTTGACAGATGACTGCAGTGCAAACCTGGAGTAGCAATGGAGAAAGCAAGTGCCGTGCTTGCAGCAGTCCCTAGCACAGCAGGTAAGGCACTTGTCGTGCATGTGGCTGATGGCCCTGAGCTTTCACCAGGAGTGATCCCTGAGCACAGCGGGAGGAGGGGGGTGGTGCAGAAACAAGTGTATTCACGTCTCTCTGTGATCAGTTATTTAAACAGAAAAGGCGCATCAACATACAACCAGAGAGGCTGGAGCAGTGATGTCTGCAAGGATGTCTACCTTGCACGATCCTACCCAGGTTCAATCCCTGGCATTTCATATCGTTCCCTGAGCACAGAGCCAGGAGTACCTAAGCACTGCAGGATGTGGCCCATAAACAAACAAAAAAAGATACAATCAGATGGGCCAGAACAACAGCATAGTCAGTAGGGTCTTTGCCTTGCACAGGCACCCAGGTTCAGTCCCTGGTGTCCCATACGGTCCCCCAAGTACCGCCAGGAGTAATTTCTGAGTGCAGGGCCAGGAGCACTGCTGGCTGTAGCCCAAAACCGAAATACAGACAAAAAACAAACAAGATCCAATCACAGATTTCAGAAGTCAAATACACACACCTCTCATACTCTGTTATCTCAATACAAAGCACTATCTTTGTGAGAAACTAGTGCTCTAGAAAACTAGTAAACGCGGGATAAGACTTGGAAATGAAGTAAACCACACCAAGGGGAATTCTGTAGGGTCAGCATGTCGGGTGGAATCAATGGCAGGTAGCCAGGAGCAGCGCAGACACAGCTGCACAGGCAAACATCAGGACGCTGAAAATCACGGGCTGTCTGACGCCCACAGCTCTCGGTCACAATGACCTTCTTATGAAGAGGCAAATAATAAGATGTTCAAAATGCATGTCCCGAAAAAGAGAACACTCAGTTGAAGGGATGACATCACATCCATCATTCAGCTGGAATGTCTTTTATTAATAAAGCACAGCTGGTAAAGTGTTCAGTCAGTAAGGAGATACATGTTCAGGAGTCAATTCTAGGGCTGAAATGAAATACGTGGACTCGTTCCTCCCCGGAGCCCAAATCATAAAGTAATTGAGAAAAATAAAACTTTTGGTTATTTGGGACAATCAGAAACAAACACTGTCCAATGACTGGACAATGAATGAATCATCACCACTAGATACAAGTAAATACTGCTTCACTAAACAGTAATGATTGGGGCTGGAGCCATAGCACAGTGGGTAGGGCATTCGCCTTGCTTGCAGCCAACCTGGGTTCGATTCCCAGCATCCCATATGGTCCCCCGAGCACTGCCAGGATTAAGTCCTGGGTGCATGAGCCAGGAGTAACCCTGTGCATCACCAGGTGTGACCCAAGGGGGGGAAAAAAAAAAGTAATGATTAAAGTAAAATTAAAAAAAAAAGTAAAATTAAAAACAAGACCCAATCATAGATTTCAGAATTGAAATACACATACCTCTCACACTCTGCTACCTCAATTCAAAACACTAACTTTTAAAGATTCCCAATGAATCTTTAAAAAATCCTAATGATTGGAAGTTTAGTAACCTAAAAGGATACAACTAATGCAAACTAATGATTTTAATTTATAAATATACACAGGAAAACGATACTTTTCTGAGCACAGATTTAAGAGAATTATTTCTTCTTGCATTTTTCTAGTTTTCCTAATAATCCCAAATTAGCACAAACTGTTTCTAAAACGTACGATAAAACTCAGTTAAAAAAGCAGCAAACTATAAAAATAGAGCAGAACTGTCTCTATATAGTAACTCAAGGGTATTATGTGAAGCAATAATATAGTTCACCACAGTAAATTACACCAGAACCTGGAAGAGTCTCTTAGATAGCCTAGTGCTTATGAGCCTGGATCTGGAATCAGTCCATCTGTAAAATGGGAATGTTAATAATACCTGTCTCACAGTAACATCGGAATTAGGTCAGATGCTAGGCTCGGCCATGCGTGTGTGACAGTCAGAGCAAACATGGGCATAAATGTCAGTACTCACTCAGCCTCTGTCCATGGCAAATATCCGAAATGGACCCTCAGAAAACTTCGGCCTAAGTCAAGACTACACAACCCAGAAGAGTTCCTAAGCCATGACACCGGAGTGCAAATTTAGAAAAGTCAAACCCTGACCTAAGTCTTCTCAGTAAACTGTGTGTTTTCAACTAACAAGATACATTTTTGGTTCAATTTTAAATCAAGAGTCTGTCAAGTCAAGGTAATTAAGTTACCAATATTGAAGTCAGTGCTTTTAAGGTCCAAATTATTTTTTTCTTGCACATAAACTAATCGGATCAGGGACATTTCCGTGAAGAAGACTTATTCGTTTTACTAACTTTCAAAAACTAAAATGAAACTAGAGCATCTTCTGCCTTTAATGAAAGAAAAACCAGCAATCAATAAATAAGGAGAAAAAAATTTCCCCCTGCACATAACCTTTTCAGCAGCTCTCCGGTAGGCTCTGGTGCGGAATCGGAGGAACACAGAATCTCTGAGGAACTGCAAGTAAGGGTCAAAGCCCGGGGGTCGCAGTCCAGCGCCCAAATTAGCAGGAAACGAACTCTCCACCAGGGTACTAATAAGCTGGCAAAAGGCCCGGGTCATTGGATATTCTTCATAGCGGGATTCGATTTCATTTAGTTCGACCTTTCCAAAAGAAAAATTTTAAAAAAAGAAGTGAAATTTGGTAATATCAAACTATCATCCAGGAACATCCCTGGATGCTGCAGAGACTGACTCATTAACACTACTATAATATCACATTAAAACATACATAAGCAATAGGACCATTTTTTATTTAAAGGAAGAGACGCAACATAAGTGTAGTGTCTACACAGAATTAAGACACAAAAATCTCAACCAGATGGAAAAATTTCAAGTCCCCACATACTGTTTCCAACTTCAAATTAATGTGTTTCTTTAAAAAGAAAAAAGAAAAGAAAGGGAGCACAGGAAAGAAAAGAAACTGAACCAATTCTCACCAATTAGGTTGATCAAGGAGGCTAATTAAATTGAGTTCAAACTGAACTTTCACTGTGGTTAGGTGTCATACAATTTTAAGAGGTTCTGGAATTTAAGAGGGGAAGAATAATTTTTTTCTTAACCTACCATTGTGTAAATGTGTAAACGGAGTATTTAAACCAAAAGGAAAACTTTACCTCAATACCAATTGCTTGTCTCTGGCTTGGAGCTCTTACGGTCTGCAGTATCTTGAACAGAAAGAAATAGACATTAGGGGCACTCCCAATCATCAATAAACAACACTGGCTTTGTAGTAAAATGGTCATATACCTCACCCCAGACATCAATACATCTTACATTCTGGACTAGAAATGATTAAAATGTCCCCAATGGACTTTCACTGGCGATTGTGTCAAGATCAGGTAAGACGCCCAATTGCCTGGACTTTAGGAAATGAGTGATATTTAAGTGCAGATAAGATGCTTTTTTTATCCCAGAAATTTCCTCCTGACATATTCTAGGAATAAATTTTCTGAGGATTTATGGGACAAACATTCATTATAGCTCAAGACATGCATCTGTTTACAACCAGCCCCTTCCCACTCACACCCCCAAGTCCCCAAGTCCCAACTGATGACTTGTGAATTTCACGCAAAGGAGAACATGTCTCCAATCAGACACCTTTGCTTCTACAATGTCACCAAGCTTCTATGGTGGCAGAAACAGGAGCAGAGTAATGGTACCTGTGTGTATTCCAGTGACTGCCACAGCGAAGCAGCAATTTCAGGAGAGCGTCCAAAAGCAGCAAGTGTCTTCAGGAGTTCGGCTTTGAGAACGGGGGGGATACTACACTGCAGCAGTCCCAGGATGACCACCACAGGCGTCCACTGAGGGTGCTCGCACAGGGCCAGGCGAGCATTTTCACTCTGAGAAACGGACACAAGGAAGCAAAACACACTGAGCACCTTTCACCACTGGGAAGAACAGACGGAGCATGTGCTCGGACACAGGAGCAGCAAGCCACATCGCTGGCACCCCACGGGCCCCAACCTCACCGCGCAGGGCCCCAAGACCAACCACAAAAAAGAGCTAGGAAAAGTGATTAGCAACTGTCCACACTGCTAATACCTACACTGAGTATTCACAGGACTACAAAAAGAATCCTGTGGCTTGGGACTACCGCTATCGGTGGGCATGATCTGTCATGGAAAGAATGGAGGAGAAATAGCCTTTGGAGGATATCTGAAAAACAACAGCAATATGAAAGGGAATATTTAGTCCTTTCTGGAGGGCTGGAGCGATAGCACAGTGGGTAGGGCGTCTGCCTTGCACCCAACCAACCCAGGTTTGATTCCCAGCATTCCATATGGTCCCCTGAGCACTGCCAGGAGTAATTCCAGAGTGCAGAGCCAGGAGTAACCCCTGAGCATCACCAGGTGTGACCCAAAAAGCAAAAAGTAAATAGAAATTTTAAAAAAAAATTCCTTTCTGGAACAATACACTTCACAGAAATTGATGCAAATGAGTAAGCACTTTATATATACTGAGGCAAAACTGGACATATAGGGGCCCGAGTGATAGTACAGCAGGGAGGGCTCTTGCCTGGCACACAGCCAACTTGGGTTTTATCCCCAGCACCACATATAGTTCCGCAGCCCTACCAGGAGTGATCCTTGAGTAGAGTCAGGAGTAAGCCCTAAGCACTGCTGATTGTACCTGCCACTCCAGCTCCCGCAATGCGTAATGATATCAAGTACCACTCCATTTTCATTTCTTGAGAAGTAATTATTAACTTTATGTTTTGCTGTTTGGGGCTGGAGCGATAGCACAGCAGTAGGGCATTTGCCTTGCACGCAGCCAGCCCGGCAGAGCTGGGTTCGATTCCTCCGCCCCTCTCGGAGAGCCCAGCTAGCTACTGAGGGTATCTCGCCCACACGGCAAAGCCTGGCAAGCTCCCCGTGATGTATTCGATCTGCCAAACACAGTAACAGCAAGTGTCACAATGGAGACGGCACTGGGACCGCTCGAGCAAATCGATGAACAACGGGAGGACAGTGACAGTGACAGTGATGTTTTGCTGTTTAATCATGCTATATACATCATTCAAAACACGAAAAAGTTGAAGACCCTACATGTACCCTTCAAAGAGAAAGTCATACCCAGCAACATGATCTTGCACTTGGCGAACAGAAATTACTAAGAGATAGGACAGCAGGTTGGGTGCTTGCTGTGCCTGCAGCTGACCTGGGTTTAATCCCCAGCATCCCAAATAGTACCCCAAGCCCACCAGAAGTGATTCCTGAGCATCGCTGAGTGTGGTCCAAAAACAAAAAAAAAAAAGAAAAAAAGAAAAAAAATCAAAAGTTACAGAAGGATTATTTCTAATTCCTGAGCAGGGACATTATGTACTAAAAATATTTTAACAAGGATTCGTTTAGTAGTAGTGGTAGCCAGTAAGGTGGTTTGGTGTAAGGTAAGGGGGGAAAAAGAATAATTCAATAAGTACCTTTCTATTTGGGAATTGGGAGGGCATGCAGAGGGGCAATACCCAGCAACATTCAGGGCGTATTCCCAGCTCTGCACTCCAGGATCACTACTGGCAGGGGTGCTGGAGACAAAAATTGGATCGGCTGCATGCAAGACAAACACCCGGCCAGCTATTCTTTTTCTTTTTTTTTTTTTTTTCCTTTTTGGTCACACCCAGCGATGCACAGAGGTTACTCCTGGCTCTGCACTCAGGAATTATTCCTGGCGGTGCTCACGGGACCATATGGGATGCTGGGAATTGAACCCAAGTCAGCCACGTGCAAGGCAAATGCCCTACCTGCTGTGCCCCAGTCCCTGACCAAGTACTCTACACACACACACACACACACACACACACACACACAGAGGAAACCTAGAAGAACATATATCCAAAACTGGACTCTGATTTCTGCTTGTCTTCTTTCAAGATTAGGCTATTATTCTCTATGACCCTATGGCAGTGTGAAGCGACTATGACGACAACCAACGTAAGGTGAGGAATCATCTTAAGAAGTAAATATTAGGGGCTAGTGCAATAGCACAGCGGGTAGGGTGTTTGCCTTACACGCGGCCGACCCGGGTTCGGTTCCCAGCATCCCATATGATCCCCTGAGCACCGCCAGGGGTAATTCCTGAGCGCAGAGGCAGGAGTAACCCCTGTGCATTGCTGGGTGTGACCCAAAAAGCAAAAAAAAAAAAAAAAAGTAAATATTATATGGATGCTAAATTTATTACACACAGGCTTTAAGCATTACAAGAAACTTTGGAGGTGCTCAAAATGCCAGTATGGGGCCAGAGTAATAGCACAGCAGGTAGGGTGCTGGCCTTGCACCTAATCAACCCTGGGTTCGATCCTAGCCAGCCCAGAAGGTCCCCTGAGTCCAGCCAGAAGTGATCCCTGAGTACAGAGCTAGGAATAACTCTTGAGTACTTCTGGTGTGACCCAAAAATAACAATAACAACAAAAAAATTTTAAATGCCACTGGGGGGGCCAGAGAAATAGTGCAAAAGGTAAAGCATTTGCCTTGCATAAGGCAGACCTGGCTTCAGTTTCCTACATCACATATATATATGTTGTTCCTGAATGCCATCAGGGGTAATTCCCTGAGCAAAAACCGGACGTGCCGCCCAGAACAAATCAAAAAACGCCACCATACTGGCGCACAAGTGGAATCCTCTGACACGCGAGGGGATGCATTACATACCCACGTAATGATGGTAGACGTGAGCTGCAGGAAAGCAATCAACCCGTCCTGCTCCTTCTGGGTGATGCCGCGCGAAGGGAGGTGCCGGTACTGGACACTGTCTGCGCTCGGAAGGTCCTTCCGGAGGTGTTCGTGGTACAGCATCAAGGAGTGGAAGAAATGCTCCCAGGAAACAGGGCTGCCGCCTGCTCCCTGGATATTTTCAACTGTAAAGAAAGAGAGGACAGACTTTTCCTACCAGAACACGGTAGGCATCTGCTTGGAAATAAGAGACCATAAGCTCTGCCTCTGTCCTAGGTGAGTAGTGTGCTATATGTTGTCAAGATACAGTGATGAAGACTGGTGAGAATCCTTCTGTGGGCGAGAACTCAGGATGAATTTTGCTCAGGGCAAGGACTGGGTAGTGGGTAGTGCCCACATGAATGTGAAGGTCAAGGACTTTGGACATCAGTTACCTCACGTCCAGGAAGGTTCCTGGTGTTGTCATCTAACGCTATAGGGTGCTTTTCCCACTAAGTAATTCTTAAATGTTGAGTTTATATTCCCAAAGAGAGAGCACCAGTCTAGATTTGTCCATTTAACTATACCATTATACTATAGTTATATTCAGAGACTGTGAGGGGAAACCAATTAATCCAAGACAAGCCAAAATAGCCTCTGGACCAAATCCCAGCCCAGAGCACAGCGCCACAGTTCAAACCAGGTTCAAACCCCAACATCCCATACGGTCCCCCAGAGCACCACCAGGAGTAATTCCTAGCGCAGAACCAGGAGGAACCTCTGTGCATCGCTGGGTCTCCCCTCTCCTGCCCCCTCCCCAACAAAAAATAACCCATAAGCTCTCAAAGGCAGGGAGATAATGAATTTAAGAATGTCACAACAGGGGCTGGAGCAATAGCACAGCAGGTAGGGCATTTGCCTTACACGCAGCCAACCCAGGTTCGATTCCCAGCATCCCATATGGACCCCCGAGCACCACCAGGAGTCATTCCTGAGTGCAGAGCCAGGAGTAATCCCTGTGCATAGCTAGGTATGACCCAACAAAAAAAAAGAAAAGAAAAAAAAAAGTCACAACAGACAACACACAGCATTTTCTTACCATGACTACTACCGTTGACTTTGAGCAGGCTAAAACAGTAGTGGGCACACTGGGGCCCGTTGGCCAATCCCTGGAGCATTTTCAAATAAGGAATATAAATCGTTGGAGGCAGCAGGTCACCCATTTGCCTAACAAACTTTGACAAAACAACCTGAAATAGAGAAAAGCCAATAGTTTACAGAGAGCACATCTTATCTTGATGGTAAAATGAACTAGCTAATATATGAATTAAAGTGACATGATTCAAAAACAAACCACCTTCCCCACCACCACCCTCCTGAGAAAGACAAAAATAACCTGGTATTCTATGTATAGAAAAACCTTGCTTTCAAACTTGTCCTTAGCAATTTAAAGCAATTATGTAATATCTATGTGGACATAAAACTAAATTTTTCTACAACGTTTTAATGTCATGGAAAACAAAGACTACTCATATACCTAAATGTGTAAAGCAGTTGGAGAATATTTTCAGCTAAAATAAACTAGCAAATTCAAAGATATACATAGACCCCAAAGTTTCTGAATCTAAAATTTAGCATGAGAACTTGGAAATTTGGGGGGAGGGGGTCCCAATTACTTTAAGAAATGATGCAAATGAAAGACTAAATAGATATTTTGGTATAACTCATAGAAAACGTAAAAAGTATCTTGGCGACAAGACACTCCCGTGCCTACGGAAAGCCCGCCGGGGCTTGTCACGAAGAAATACTCTGTCCTGTGGGATTAAGAGGCCCCATCTTGGACAATCTGATTATGCAATCACAGTTCTTTGATCAATTCCACCTGCTCATTCAGGTAACAAGTCTCCAGAAATTAATTATTTCAGTATGTGGGCCTTCCCAGGCTGTGCTCAGGGGTCACTCCTGGCAGAGCTCAGGGAAAGCAAATGTGGCGCTGGGAATCCAACCCAGAAGAGCTAGTGCAAGGCCAAGTGCCTTACCCTCCTCCCAACCCGAGAGGTGAATTTTTGTTTTGGAGTCACACCTAGCAGTACTCAGGGCTTATTCCTGACTCCCGGGATCATTCTATGCTCCGGGATCATTCCCGGTGGTAATCGGGAGACCACGATGGGGAGCAGGGGATGGAATTAGAGTCAGCAGCAGGCAAGGCAAGCGCCCCACCATGTCATCTCTCCAAGTCCTAGAAGTGATTATTATTATTATTTTTTTTTTTTTGCTTTTTGGGTCACACCTGGAAATGCACAGGGCTTACTCCTGGCTCATGCACTCAGGAATTACTCCTGGCATTGCTCGGGGGACCATATGGGATGCTGGGAATTGAACCCGGGTCAACCGCGTGCAAGGCAAACGCCCTACCCGCTGTGCTATCGCTCCAGCCCCTAGAAGTGAATTTTTTTATGGCAACCTAAATAGATTGTTTTGTGTTCACACCAATACTACATTACTACATGCCTATTTTGAATTTACTTCTTAGTATTTGTTTTTCCTGCATCAGTCTTAATCTATTACTGATAATTTGAAATATTATGCTGTCACTGTCACTGTCCTCCCATTGTTCATCGATTTGCTTGAGCGGGCCCAGTAACATCTCCATTATGACACTTGTTGTTACTGTGTTTGGCATATCAAATATGTCACGGGTAGCTTGCCAGGCTTTGCCTTGAGGGCTAGATACTCTCAGTAGCTTGCCGGGCTCTACGAGAGGGGCGGAGGAATCGAACCTGGGTCGGCTGCGTGCAAGGCAAAGGTCCTAACTGCTGTACTGAATTGGTATGTAGATCAAAAGAACACTACACATTTCTAGAAATTACTGTTAAGTCTGTTAGATATAAACGTGGTTTGTGATTGTATAGGTACAGATCCTTATTTTTTGTTTTTAGTTTTTTTTTTTTTATTTGGGGAGAGGTGTACACCCAGCAGTGCTCCGGGCTGACCCTTGGTTCTGTGTTCAGTGATCACTACTGATGGGGCTTGGAGGACCATATGGGGACGCTGGAGATATAACCCTAGTTGGCCACGTGCAAGAGAAGTGCCCTACCCACTCTACTATCGCTCTAGTCCCCACATCCCTTTTTTACCCTGGATCACACCCAGTGATGGTCAGGGGTTACTCAAGGCTCTACACTCAGAAATCATACCTGGCAGTGCTCAGGGGACCATATGGGATGCCAGGGATCAAAACCGGGTTGGCATATGCAAGGCAAGCAGCATACCTACTGTCTCTCCACAACCACCCCCGCCCCCCATCCTTATTTTAAAAAGAAATATAAACTTATTCAATGAAAAACAAAATATTATATGGCATACAATCTTATTTCATAATACGCCAAAGAAACAAAAACTATAGTGCAACAGATGGGTCCGCTTGCCTAGCACACTGAGCTGGGTTTGATCTCTGGCATCCCATATGGTCCCCAGAGCCCACCAGAAGTGATTTCTGAGCAATGCCAGGTGTGGCCCAAAAACAAACAAAAAAAAAAAAGGAAGAAATGAAAGCAGTTAAAATAACAGAAGATGAAGCAAATATAGCAATATATTAGCAGTTGTTCAATTAAGACATAGGATGTTTATTATAATTACTCTCCTCTTTTTCATCATAGAAATTATTTTTAATCTTTAAAATGTTTGAGCAAATTCTTCCCCAAATGTTTCTCAAATGAGGAATTAAGTAAATATAAGAAATGCAATTTAAAAAAAGGCAGTCAAGATTATAATTGTTACTTTGGAAAAAAATAAAATGTAAAAGGCATGAAAGATTATAAAAGAGGAAATCCTGGAGTCAGACCCACATGGCCGAGGGCAGGGCATTTGCCTTGTACGCGGCCAGTTCAATTCACAGCACCACATCTGGTTCTCCTACCAGACAGGAGCGATCCCTGAGCAGAGACTGCTGTGTGTGATCCAAAACCAGGGGAAAAAAAAAGAGGAAATCCCAAAAAGATGAAGATATACACAGCAGTCCATCTTACCTGCTCTCGCGAATTATACTTTACATAAAACAAATGGACTTTGTGTTATACTATCAACTGACCGAGGGGCATGTTGTCATCAGTTCTAACACCTCAGCCGTTTTCTTTCGCACTTTTACCTCCGTTTTCTCCAACGATTTCAGAATGACGTACACAGGTTACTGCTGTGTCCGTGCAGAACTAGTCAATGCTGATAAATAATTAACACATAAAGGGACAAGACACTCTTCTGTCTCCAACAACTCAATGTGTCAATAACCTTAGTTCCAAATGAATGAGACCTTAAATTTAAGAGATTTGCACGCTCCTTTAACTAAAGTTTATAGAGTGGTCATTTATGTGACGGGCAAGAAGGAACTCAGAGTTACTGTGCTGGAATAAGGAAGCAGAGGAGGGGCTGGAGCAATAGCACAGCAGGGAGGGCACTTGCCTTGCATGCGGCCGACCCAGGTTCTATATGGTCTCCCGAGCACCGACAGGAGTAATTCCTTGAGTGCAGAGCTAGGAGTAACACCACAGCATTGCCGGGTATGACTTAAAAAAAGAAAAACAAAGAGAAGCAAAAGGAAAAGCAAGCAGAGGAATGAAGAGCTCACCTGGCGTTGAGGGGGGCGCTGGTGAGCCACCCCCAGGTAGGAGCCCAGGATAGTGGACGTCTGAAGCGGCTCGGAGGGGCACCAATATTCCAGAGCAAGCTCCAGGTTGAAAGGGTTCTTTCTATACAGCTCACCAATCTGCGGGCAGGAGAAGAGGGAACGATCTCGAATTCAAAACTAACTTGAACGACTTCAATGATTAAGTTTCAACCACACAGATTTTTGACCGAAAAATCCCCCAAGTTAGGGGATAAATAATGGGAGGAGCGAGAAAGCAATTCAATCCTGAAGCTTACCAAGAGCATTAAGTGTTCCAGGTCCCTTCGGAGTGAAATGGGGGGTTCATTTCCCATCTGCACGCTCATGTGAATCATTCGAGCATCTTCATCGGCCCGATTCCGCAACTGTTTCACCTATCAAGATAATTGCATTAATATGTAATATATTACATGAGTTAAAAACAACAAAGAATTCTCGGGGCCAGAACGATGGTACAGAAGGTAGGACGCTTGCCTTGCATGAGGCTGACCAGGATTTCAATCCCTGGTAATCCACATATTTCCCCCAAGCTCTGCCAGGAGTGATTCACGAGCAGAGCCAGGAGTAATCCCTGAGCAGCGCTGGGTGTGCTCGAAAATCACGATCACGATCACGACCATCCTGTTGTTCGTTGATTGCCTCAAGCAGGCCCTAGTAAAGTCTCCTTCGTCCAAGCCCTGAGATTTTTTAAAAAGTGCCATATTCAAGGCTCTGTTAGGGTTAGGAGAATGAGACCCATCATTGTTACTGGTATTTGGCATATTGGGTACACCACGAGGAGTTTGCCAGACTCTGCCATGTGGGCAGGTTACATTTGGTAGCCTGCCAGTTTGTCAAAAGTAGGAATGAGATAATAAGATGTTGTGCGGCCGCGCGCTTCCAGGAACTGGGTTTTATAGTCTCTGCTCGAAAATAAAAAAATCAAAACAGCAACAGCAGCAACAACAAAACACGGTATCAGGCAACTGTCTAGAAGCAATTAAAGAAAAATCTGTCCAAACTATTTCACTGCGATGACATGAATATATGATATGCTAGGATTTTATTGCACTGAATCTGTATCTTAAAATATGAAAGCATTTTTCACTACAGAGAAGTTGATTTTTAACCTCCATGTTTCTCAATTACTGACATTTGGGGCGAAACATGTATGTCTTCACTGGGTTGGCTAATTCCAAACACTGCAGGAGATGTCGACTAAGCACCACTAACAATGCTGTAGTTAACTAAGCAACAAGCTAAACTGGCCTCACTCATTTCCCAAGCACTCTCTGAAGGACACTGCAACTCTGGCCAAGAATCGCTGCCTCAATGCACTGTGTCAACTAAATGCCAGCTGAGGAAAAATTCCTTTTCCTTTCACCAAGAAATCAGAAGCCCAGAGGAACAGTGCAGTGCCTGGGAGCAGCTGTCTGCGACCAGCGACCCAGGATGGAGAGGGGTCACCAGTCCCTGGACTGCACAAGGCCAGTCCGCAGGTGTAATGTGGTTGAAGAACACTGGCCTGGAGCAAACAGGGGACAGTCACAGGCTCAGATGCCCAGTGAACCACCGCACTTGCACAATCTGGAGAGCCCAGCGATGAGAGCATTTTCAGCTACAACATGGCCCAGCATGCGTGCACACAACGTAGGGTGAATCACTGCCTGTGGGGAGCAGAATGGGACACCTAAGAAGATGTCAGAGCACCACGGCCAGGAAGTGCAGGTCTGAGTGAGTGCATGTGTGAGCAGCTACCCTGGTGAGTACCACAACTCAAAGGGCAAACCTCAGGGAGCACTATGACCAAGAATACAAATATCACACTTGATGTGCAACCCCCACTCCCTCCCGCCCACCCCCCCCCACACACACAGCGATTTGGGGGTGGGTTCTGTCCAGGCCACACTGGGTGGTACTCAGGACTTACTCCTGGCTCTGTGCTCAGGCATGTGCAATGCCTGGCAGTGCTTAGAGATCATAAGAGGGGCCAGGATCAAACCCAGGCCTGCTGTGGGCAGGCAAGCATCTTTCTTCTCTCCAGCTCCAAACTCCACAGCTTTACAAACAAAATGTGTGAGTACAACAGACAATCTAGGTACAGAACCAGCTCACTGCAATGATGACAAAGAGCAGAGAAGGAAGTAAAGAAAACAGACGAGGGCGCCAGAGGGGTAGTACAGCAGGGAGGGCATTTGCATTGCATACGGCCAACCTGGGTTTGATCCCTGGCATCCTATATGATCCCCTGAAGCATCGCGAGGAATAATTCCTGAGGGCAGAGCGAGGAGTAATTCGTGAGCATCGCCAGGTGTGACACAACGAGGGGAAAAAAATAAATAAATAAAAGAAACAAAACAAAACAAAGAAAAAAACAGACAAATCCACAATGATTGGAAATATCAGCAGTCTTCCCCCAAAATACAATACAGCAAATCCAGAGAAAAATCATTAAGAACATGACAGACTCAGGTGCAAGCAACCAACCTCACAATTTGAATAGTTACAGAATACACAAGAGCAGCAGGACATAGCCTCGTTTCCTGAGCACATGGACCAATCAGCAAGACGTGCTCATATTTTTGGTCATGAAACCTTTCCTAACTTAACATAACGGAAGTCCTAAGAGCAATACTCTTTCTACAAACTCCAATAAACTAGGAATCAGTTACAGAAAGATATCTGCAAGTCCTTCTAACATTAGGAAATTAAGCCATACACCTTTAACTGAAATGATAAAGTCACACTGAATTTTACAATAAAACACTACATATTGAAATTTGAGTGACACAGCCATACCAGCAGAGATAAATTTATAACATGAAATGTTTAAAAAGAGAAAGAAATGGAGGGAGGGAAGGAAAGAGGGGATTAGGGAGACAGTTCAAAGAGAGAGGACAGAGCAGTACAGTGGGGAGAGCGTTTGGTTGCCTTGAACGCAGCAGATGCAAGATTCAGTCTCCAGCGCCCCATATGGTTCCCTGAGCACCACCAGGAGTAATTCCTGAGCAGAGAGCCAGAAGTAAATAAACCCTGAGCAGCACTGCGTGTGGCCCCTCAAAAAGGGTAAAGAGTTAGCATGCTCTGGACATGGGAGCGCTGGGTTGGACCCCTGGTCCCACCTGGTCCCCTGTGCATAGCTGGGAGCAACCCTGAAGCACACCAGGCCTGCTCCCCAAAAAAGCAAAGCAAGTTTCAAGTCAATAATGCTTCCACCTTAAAAAATCAAATTAGGGGCTGGAGCAATAGCACAGCGGGTAGGGCGTTTGCCTTGCACGCAGCCGACCTAGGTTCGATTCCCAGGATCCCATATGGTCCCCCGAGCACCGCCAGGAGTAATTCCTGAGTGCATGAACCAGGAGTAACTCCTGTGCGTCGCCGGGTATGACCCAAAAAAGAAAAAAAAATCAAATTATGTGAGCACACTGAAGTTAAGGGAAGAAGATAATGGAAAGAGAAATTCGTAACGTGGACTAAAGAGATAGTGCGTTGGATGAGGTGCTCGCCTTGCATGCAGCTGGCCTGCTTTGTCCCCCCAGGCTCTGCCAGGAGGTTGCTGGAGCACTGCAAGTGTGGCCTCCAAACCCAAAAGAGTAAGAAATTTATAACAGCAAAAATATAGAAAAGTCAATGAAGGTGCTGGGGAAACAGCTCAAGTGGCGAGAGAGTGAATCATCCACATGATTTCGTTTTCGTTATTCACAAACTTACAAGTTGTAACACAACTACCATCAAATCTTAATCTGTAATAAAAAGGTTTTATTAGTTCCAAAACATTAACTTAATTGATCAACTTCTAATTACCATATAAAACATTCACCTAGGGCTGGAGCGATAGCACAGCGGGTAGGGCGTTTGCCTTGCACGCGGCCGACCCGGGTCTGATTCCCAGCATCCCATATGGTCCCCCAAGTCCTGAGTGCAGAGCCAGGAGTAACCCCTGTACATCGCCAGGTGTGACCCAAAAAGCGGAAAAAAAAAATCACCTATTTTGACTACACAATGTCACACTCACCTTCATTGGCATAAGTGCAAGGAAGTCTGTGATGAGGTTATGAATTCTACGGATATAAAACTCCTCCTGGTAGAAGTTTTCTGAGGCCACGACAGATTCAGTGAGGAACAGGAAGACATTGTCAGTGATAGCGAGCTCGGCCATCGCCTCATCTGCTTCCGTGAATTCAGCCAGAGCTGCAAAGAAATTTGGGAAAACGACACATGATCAGAAAGGTGCTCATTGTAGTGTCTCCAAGTACTCTGCGGATCTTCCCCTATCAGCGCTGTTCTCCACCAGCTGGTCTCTGCCACGTACATGGCAAGAGTGGGTAACTGAACTTAGCGCTCAAAGCCTGAAGAGCTAGTGCAAAAGTCCATTAGAGAGACAGGCTCTTGACACGGCCACAAGCGCTACTATCAATCAGACGAAAACAGTCAAGTTGGTTCTTAATTTCTTCCTTTCTCTTTTGCATTTTGAAACAGAGCCTGCAAATCTACCATACAAGTTCCCTGAGAGTAAGATTTCCTTGATTCCTTACTATGATTAATCTTATGCAAATTAAATGATTAATAATATTAATTCAAACATTCGCTTGAATTCAAAACACCAAAATTAATATTGCATGAATTTTGAAGACAAATTCAACAAACTTTTATTTATTTATTTTCACTTTTTTGGGTCATACCCGGCAATGCACAGGAGTTACTCCTGGCTCATGCACTCAGGAATTACTCCTGGTCGTGCTCAGGGAACCATATGGGATGCTGGGAATCGAACCCGGGTCGGCTGCGTGCAAGGCAAACACCCTACCCACTGTGCTATGGCTCCAGCCCCTCAACAAACTTTTAAAACACATTTTTTGGGAGGGGGTGGATTTAGAGCCACACCCAACAACTCTCAGAGCTTGGCCCTGGCTCCGTGTTCAGGGATCACTCCTGATGGGCTCAGGAAACCCTAAGAGGTGCTGGGAATTGAACTCAGGTTGGCCACGTGCAAGACAAGCGCCCTATATACTGTACTATTACTCTGACTCTTAAAAAACATTTTTTATGAAATAATGTAATACACTGGATAAATGTTTCAGACGCCTAGAGAGTAGAAACTCATTATTCAAAATTGAATTCACTGTCAAAATTTGCCTCGGCTGGGATGGTAGTTCAAAGGGCTAGAGCACATTTGCAGGCAGGTGACCTAGGGTCAGTCCTGGATCACCTGATCTCCCAACCCACATGAGCACCACCAGGTGACCCCAAAATGTAAAAACCAAAACAGAAACCCTGCCCTGATTTCTGGACCCCTGCTAAGATACCAATTATAGTTCTCCCCCGCACACCTTACTGTGCATCTTTCCTCAGTTTCAGATACCTAAAATCAACTTTGGTGAAAATACTATGAATATTTTATATAACTTTCCATATAATCTATTGTTATACCTAATGTTATGATTAGTTATTATCGTCCACCTCTTAATGTGTCTAATACAGAAACTAACTTTTAGCATAGATAAACACACACAGGGAAACATATCTAACATATACAGGATTCAGTATATACTATATTTTTTTAGGTATTCAGAGGGGACCTTGAAACATATTCCCAGCAAATGAGTGGGAGTTCAGTAACAGAAAAATCTTTTATAGCAAAAAATGTTCAGTGGGGCCAAAGAGACAGTATAGGGTTAACTCGCTTAAATGCAGCCTACCTTGCATGCATGCAGCCTACCTGAGTTCAATCCTGTGATCCCAAAATCAAAATAAATTAGAATATCCACTGAAATATGTTATAATGTAAAATTAGTTACCAAAGCTTGTTATAGGATATAAGCATATAACGCCATCAAGATTCAGTAGTCAAAGATATGGGACTTGAAACTACATCTGAATTTCTAGTCTATTCTTCTATACTACTCTGGAGCAAACAAGAGCATACTCTAATCTTGCTCACAAGGCCACAGTAATAACACAGTAAATTACAGTATACAAATTTGATTAACTATCACACAACCCCTTACAACTTTAGAAGGCAATTTCATATTGGAACAGTACTAAACTAAGACCTGTGAAAGAATACAGTGCACATATAGTGCAGAACAGAACCTGTACATGAATATAAACATCTAGTTAGCCCATATATATGAGATTTTTTCCATAAAATCGTCCTAGATTTACCATGAGAACACTGACAGGGACTCACTTTGCTACAGTAAACCACCATTGGGACACTAAGTACATGGATCTGGACAGCAGAACAGGACACACCACGGTGGGTTAAGAGCCAGGCTTCTTTTGGGTCACACCCGGCAATGCACAGGGGTTACTCCTGGCGGTGCTCGGGGGACCATACAGGATACTGGGAGTTGAACCTGGGTCAGCCGTGTGCAAGGCAAACGCTCTAACCGCTGTGCTATCACTCCAGCTCCCTTCACATTCATTCTTTTTTTTTTTGAAAGGATAAATGATAGTATATAATAGTTACTTGTTCATACATTACATTGGGTACTTCTGAAGACCGTTTTGGAATTTTCCTTTGTGACTTGGGCATTAAAATATTCTTGGGGGCTTAGGGGTACTTGCCTTGCATACTGCCCACCTGGGTTGGACCATCAACTTTCCATATGTTTCCCCTACCTACCCAGAGTCATCCCAGACCACAGAGAGCCAGAAGAAAGCCTTCAGCACTTCCAGATGTGGCACAACGCTCCCAGCCCCACCATTCACATTCATTCTTGATGGGTCCAAATATCTCCTTTTTAATAAGCCGTATTTTAAAAGTTATTCTAGTTTTTATCTTTTAGCTTTTATTTTCTTTGGGGGGAGTCAACCGAGTCATACTCAGAGGCCCAGCTCTCTCTGCTCGGCGGTCACTCCTGGTGGTGCTAGGGGGACCAAGTGTGCTGGGGACGGAATCTGGACCACCCACACGCCAAGCATAGGCTCAACCCTGGAAGGGATCTCTCCAGTCCTTTATTTTAAACTACCAGAGCAATGGGACTCACTCCATAAAGTGGAACATTTTAACCCAAATTCCTTGGGCGGGTGCTGGTGGAGGGGCCCCTACTTCACCTAGCAGTTTCATTTACTACAGCCCTGGATATCATCCAATGCTCTTGCTCTACCTGCAAGGGTGCAAGTTCCAAAACAAAATGCTGACATGCTGTTTCTCATGAAAACACTACCTACAATCAATTCACCTGTCACATCGGGTAGCTGCGATATCCCCCTCAGAGCCAGTGCCCAGGCGAGTCGAACAGTGGCTTGAAGCCCAGGGAGCTTCCATGGCTGGGAGTCTTGGAGACGAGAGTGAATCGTTGCAATGTACTGTCGCTCGGTCAACAGGGGAAACTGATGAATCATATCTGAAACACAGAAACCGAACACAGCAGCAAAGATGATCTCACTTGATACAAAGGAATGATGTTTAAAGATCAGAGAACGTGGGGTCAGGACAACAGTATACATCAGCGAGGGTGTTTGCCTTGTACCCAGCCAACCAGGGTTTGGTCCCCGACACCCCATATGGAACCCCACGCCTGCCAGCAGTGATTCCTGAGAGCAAAGCCAGGAGTAAGCTCTGAGTACTGTCAAAAACTTAACAATTTTTTTTAAAAAAACAGAGACAAAAAATAAAAATAAATTTAAAAACCAGAAAGTATTCCTATGAAAGAATTATGAATAACATTACTGTTAATATGTTAATAAACCAAAAGTACTCAACCTTGCTTTAATATAAACTAAAAAAAACATAATGGGTAATGGACAGTAATTCTAAGTTTTAATTTCATTAGTCAATGGTTTTTATTTTTACTGGGGATAGGGGGGTCGTTCACCCAGCGGTGCTCAGGACTTACTCCTGGCCCTGCACTCAGGGGTCATTCTGGCTAGCCAGAATGAGTAGGGCACCAGCTGGAGTGCCAGCAGGTAGTGCATATGCCTACCCACTGAAATATCCCTCCAGCCCCGAGTCACGTTTTTTTATAAGTATACTATAAATAAGATTAAAAAAAAAGAATCCATGCTTTCCACTATCAAAAATGACTGAATGTAAAAAAATTAATCCGAAATTTAAGATATCTAACAAAACCTGACCAAAAGGATGAAAACTGCAAATAAGTGTCAATTCTGATTACAAGATGAATGAAAGGATCAGTAAATAAATTTCAATGTATAGTTAAATTACACCGATAATTTAATCTACACTTAGGTACGTGAATAAATGCGAAAGAACAGGAAATATCACTCTCCATCTAAGAACTTCATTCTTTTTCTTATACATTTTTGGATGTTAATTTGTGAATATTAGTTTACTGACTTCCAATCTTGAAGCACAATTTAATTTCCTGTATTTTGGGGGCTATAGAGATAATACAGTGGGTAAGGTACTTGCCTCGCACTCAGCTGACCCAAGTTTGATCCCCAGCCTCCCATCTTTTTTTTTTTTCTTTTTGGGTCACACCCGGCGATGCACAGGGGTTATTCCTGGCTCATGCACTCAGGAATTACTCCTGGCGGTGCTCGGGGGACCATATGGGATGCTGGGAATCGAACCTAGGTCAGCTGTGTGCGAGGCAAACACCCTACCCACTGTGCTATCACTCCAGCCCCCCCAGCCTCCCATCTGATCCTCCAAACACCATGAGGAGTGATTCCTGAGTGCAGAGCCAGGAGCAAAGCAAAGCACCTAACTCACTATACTACCTCTCCCCTGAGTGTTACTGGGTGTGTCCCAAAAACAAACAAAAAATTTCCTACATTTTTAAGTTTCTTCCTACGATGGTACATATATGTATGATCCACTACTTCCTTTACTAATATAGGATAAAAGTGTAAAATATGCACATAACTTTTTTGTTTTGTTTTGTTTTTAGGCTACATCCGACCATGTTGAGGGGTTATTCCTGGCTCTGCACTCAGGAATCATTCCTCGTGGTGCTCGGGGAACTATATGGAATGCCGGGGATTGAACCTGGGTCAGACACACACAATGCAAGCACCTTACTCACTGTACCATCTCTCCCGCACAAAATATTTTAATATTAAAATATAGGTAATGACTTACAAGCAACTCTAATTAAAATGAGTCAACGTAAGCAACCTACATTTACAACCGAAGGCTAAAAATCTTGGATCTTAGATTCTAAAGTGTGTTAGGCATTCCATTTACTTTGAAAAAGGCCCACCTTAAGAACTTCCACTTTACATGATCACTCTGGACAAGAACTGAGCGCTGAAAGTAGGTAAAGGGATAGACAGGAAAACCTGTCAGTACCTGTATTACAAACCATAATGTGAGAGAGAAAGTGAGAGAGAGAGAGAGAGAGAGAGAGAGAGAGAGAAGAAAAGTACCTGCAATAGGCAGACTGGCAGTGCAGGTGGAAGAAGGGAAACCCAGGACACTGGTGGTGGGAAATGTACAGTGGGGAAGGGACCAGTGTTGGAACATGTATGACAGAGAACCCAATCATGAACAACTTTGTAACTATGTATTGCAAGATACAATACAAGGTTTAATATAACTAATCGACTTTTAAAAAAAAAATCCTCCCTTTGGGCACAGGGAGGAATTGGGGGGATGGGGATGGGGCCCAGACACACTGGAAGAGGAAGAGGTGCTGGGGTGTATTAGCATGAACCCCTATCGTTCACGGTTCTGTAAACCAAACAGCGCCTAGAGTAAAATTTTTAAAAAATAAAAAGTAATAACTTTCAGAAACAAAAACAACTTTCCACTAGGAGCCAGAGACATGACAGGGGCTAAGGCGCTTGCTCTGCACATGGTTGACCCAGGTTTGCTCCCCAAAACTACACGTGGGCCCCCACGACTACCAGGAGTGAGCCCTGAGCAGTTGAGTATAGTACAAACTACCTCCACCCCAAAAAGTATGAATACATATCCACAGAACTATGGAGCGATAGCACAGCGGTAGGGCGTTTGCCTTGCACGCAGCCAACACGGCCGACCCGAGTTCGATTCCTCCACCCCTCTCGGAGAGCCCGGCAAGATACCGAGAGTATCTCGCCCGCACGGCAAAGCCTGGCAAGCTCCCCGTGACGTATTCAATATGCCAGACACAGTAACAACAAAGTCTCCAATGGAGATGTTACTGGGCCCGCTCGAACAAATCGATGAACAACGGGAGGGCCTTTAATTTAATTAATTTAATAATTATGTGTACATATATACATATGTACACATAATTATTAACATATATATGTACATATATACATATATATGTATATATGTATATATGTACATATATATGTTAAAAGAGCATAGCCCCTTTTAAAACATTCTCTTCTGGGGGGGTAAAAGGGGGCATCACACCCAACATGTGGCTGGGCACTCAGGGATCACTCCTAGGAGGCTTGGGAGAACATACGGGGTGCCAAGGATCGAACCTGGTCAGCCGTGTACAAGGTCAAGGCCCTCCCCGCTGCACTACTGCTCCCGTCCCCAGCTTCACAACTCAAAATCTGGTCTTTCAACAAGAAATGTAGAAACAGCTGTAAATCTGCGTACCGTCTCGTTCCTCGGTGCTCTGTTCCAGGAAACTGATATCGAAGCAGTAGAGCAGCGCCATGAGAAGAGCCAGGTTCACAGCATCCAAAGAGCCGTTGGCTTCAACAGTCACCCTCTCCAGGTGGCCAATCAGGAGGAGCGTGTCGTCTTTGCCCAGCGGTGACTGGCAAGCCCAGGCAAAGAGGCTCTCGGCCAGGGACTGCCTGCACTCCTTGATGAGGTCAGACACCTAGAAATAAAAACGTACAGTTACCAGAAGGAAATTACAGTGAGGCCGAGCCTTACCGCAAAGCGTAAACTATCACCTATAAGAGGGGGTTCAATAAATCTATCTGAATCCGGAGCTGACCCTACACTCTCACTCTGGAATTCTAAATAAGCTGTTTGTTAATGCTTTAAGGTCTACGCTCCATTAGGAGATGACTGCTCTGCTGAAGAGTTTATTCCAGAAAGGCACAAAAGAGGCTGGAGAAACAGCACAACAGGTAGGGCACTTATCCTGCACATGGTCAACCCGGGGTCCGAACTCTGGCATTCCATATGGAACACTGAGCCCTGCCAGGAGTGATCCCTGAGCACAGAGCCAGGAGTCAGCCCTGAGAACAGCGGATTTGGCCCTTCCGCATGGCTCCCTCCCCCCACCCCAACACCAGAATGGTACATAAATCATTAGAAAGAAGCTAAAAGAACTGCCAGTCCGTTTCGTGGGCTTAGACACTGCAGCGTACACCATCAGCCTCTCTCTGCCTGTAGTACAGGAACACGCAGACTCTGACCCACACAGCCCACGGTTCACCCCTGAACCCTTGCCTCTTTGCGATGCTTCTCACTGCCCAGGCCTCTCTCCCGCTGCAGTTTCTCAAACTCATTGTTCACATCAATCTGTGACACCAGACTAAGAACTTTATAAGTCAACCCTTGCTCCATCAGTTCGTCGGTGAAGTGTGTTGTCATGGTCACCAGCTCTGGACTGTAACGAAAAGAAATGAAGAGACAAAGCTATAGAATACCTGGATGCTTATCCTCTTCATCATAAGCAAAAAGCTCTTCAGTCGGGTGGGGGTGGCAGGGGATTCACTGACCAGTGCTTAGGGGACAAGCCCAACAAAGCCAAGGATGCACTCCAATCTTCTGAATTACCACCTAAGCCCCGGGAAATGTCTTTTGACAATACGCCTTACTGGAAAAAAGCTAGGATAAACTGAAACCTAGGTATTTTATCTTTTCTAGAATCACTGGGCTTCAAGAAACTAAAAATCACTGATTTTTTTTTTTTTTTTTGCTCTTTTGGTTCACACCCAGCCAGCCATGCATAGTGTTAACTCCTGGCTTTGCACTCAGGAATTACTCCTGGCAGTGCTCAGGGGACCATATGGGATGCTGGGAATTGGACCCAGGTTGGCCGCATGCAAGGCAAAAGCCCTACCCGCTGTGCTACCACTCCAGGCCCACTGAATAATTGCTTTGTGGGAAAAAAAAAAATCGTGTGAATGCCTATTGTTGACAGAGTAAGAAAGAATTCAACTTCTACATCTAATTCATCTATCTATCCGAGGAAGAAAGTCTTGTTGGTCTAAAGTTCTAACTGCAGGCACAAAGCTGATGCAGATACTGGCACCGGAAAGCTCTCCGAGCTCCTGCAGCCACGCTGAGCCAGGGGCAGCCTCCAGCCCTACCAAGTCTGCAGTCAAAGCACCCATCCTCCCCACCACCACAAGGAAAAAGAAAGGATGAGAAATCCCAGAGTCATTTCTAACCACCCCCCGAAATGCTTCAGGAGGAGCAAGCAGACCTGAGCTCGAGGGTCCAAGTCTTCCCTCGTCTGGACTGGACCAGCGCCTTCAGGGAGTTCGCGATGCAGCGCTTCCCATCCCAGTACAAGAGAACAGCCACCAACCCTCTGGTGAGGCCGGGAAAATGCGGCTGCTGGTGCTCGCCTACGAGACAAGGTTGAAAACGAAGGTAGCAAGTACACGCGTTTACTTATGAAACGAAAAAAAAAAAATCACACTACTACTGTCCCCCTTAAATGCACCCTGATCTCATCTGACAGCAGAAGAAATCACCACGCCCAATACTCTCTTCACAGAAATCCCAGCATCGCCAATGTTGGGGGGGTGGGGGGGGTCTCCAGGTCCTCTACTTCAAACGCCCACCCACTGTTTTCCTCCATCCACAGCAGATTCGAGGACCGCATATAGGGTGAGGCTGGAGCACCACTGACAAATGCAACTCGGATTTACCAGTGCAAATCCTAGAGAAATCCTGCCTCCAGGATTTCTTATGCCGGGAGAAAAGCTTTGGTGTCACACTTCGGCTCTTTGCTCTCAATAGAAATTTTGGAACGCTCCCTAATATTTATAACGTTTTTTTCCCCCCAAAGTCGTCTCTAAAACTTAAATAACAAAATGTGTAGTTTAGACAACACGATTATAATAGTGTTCATTTTTATGGTTGTAGGTTTTGTTGGAGCTCTCTTTTTATTGGGGGGCCATACCCAGCAGTGTTCAGGATCTACTCCCCCGTCTAGGCTCAGGGTTCGCTCCCAGAAGTGCCCAAAGGACCAAACCCAGGCTTCCGGCATGCAAAGCCAACTGAGCATGCTCTTAGCCTGTTGAGTTCCGTGGCCTGGCGTTTATGGCTTTGATGCACTAAGTTACTACACCTTCACCATCCCAACGAAATGCCTAAGACCCTCCACCACCACCCTGGGTTACTTCTAGCCTCTCCTCCTTTGCCCCAGCTCCCACCCACCCTCAGCCCACCCCCACTGCTCGGTAATCTCAATTTTGTCATCAAATTCTAAGGGTTTGTCTTCGATAGATACTATCTATTCCCTTGCTTGGTTACTCAAGACACCACAAGCGAATGAGATAATTGGGGTTTGTCTTCCTTCTGATTTATTTCGCTTAGCATGATCCCCTCCATTTCATCCACATTGCAAGACCTCATCATCAACTACAGCTGCATAAAATTCCACTGCATAATATGCATAACACATTTATGTTGTTTCCACATCCTAGCTGATGTACTACATGCTGCTGTGTATGGATCTTTTCGAACGAGTGCTGGGTCTCGGGGACAGATGCCAAGAAACGGCATCACTGGGTGACACCGAAGTTCTACTCTCACTTTCCTGAGAAGTCACCACATGAGTCCTGAGCACCACAGTTGTGGGCCCACCTCCCCACCCACATCCCCTGCCAAAAAAAATAGGAAAGAACAGATTTTGGTGAACCAGGGTTATGGCTCATTGGTGGAATGCTTTGTCTTGCATGTGTGAGGATTCAATCTGAAGCAAAATAATGAAAGCGGGAATCTGGGTGGTTATCATTTATTTTTGATTCTGGGGCTTCCCAAACAATGCTCAAGGAAACTGGGGACCCTCCACAATACCCAGCCCCGAGCTCAGGCTCAATGATTCAGAGTCGCTCAGGCTCAGTGGCTCTGGGCCACCAGAACCACTCCCAGGGGTGCCAAGGGTCCCCACAGCTCAGTCAGGCCTCCAGCACTGGGACCTAGCTCCTGGACCCAACCTCTCTGTTCCTGTGTTTTGTTGTAGGCTGTGCTCAGGGCTTACTCCTGGCTCTGTGCTCTGGGATCACGCCTGACCTTGCTCAGCAGACCATATGCAGTGCTGGGACTACACCCAGGTAGGCCGAGAGCAAGGTAAGTGCCTTAACCCATGGACAGTCTCACCTGCCCTACGATCCTTAGGCATATCAGACTTTCTTTAATGATAATGCCCAGAAGCCCACATTTCTTCATGTGAATCCTGTTACAATTTAAATTTCCTTTAAAAAAGCAAACAAACAAACAATCTTTTGGGGGAGGGGAGGAGGGACATATTGAACCACAACTCAGGGCTAACTTTTCAGTTATTTGTTTCTGTTTTGGGGTCATACGTGACTCACTCGGGGGTTACGCTATGCTCAGGAATTATTCCTGGCAGTGCTCAGGGGACGATATGGGATGCCGGGGATTGAACCTAGGTTGGTTGTGTACAAGACAAATGCCCCATCTACTGTACTATCTCTCCAGCCTCCAATTACAGGGGGGAGAGGGAAGGGGGGGTATGAGGGGTGGGGCACAAACTGGGATGGGGGGGTTCACACCCAGCAGTTCTCAGGGCTTACTCCTGGCTCCGCGCTCAGAGATCACTCCTGGTGGGTCCAAGGGAACATATGGGATGCCAGGGATCAAACCCAGGTAAACAGCGTGTACTATCTCTCCAGTTGGGCTAACTCATTTTGCCTTGATTTGGTTCACTTTGGTTTGGGGACCACATCTGATGTGCTCAGGGTTTACTCCTGGCTCAGCACTCAGGGATCACTCCTGGCGGAATCAAGCGACCATATAGGATGCTGGGGATCGAATCCGGTCAGCCATGTGCCAGGAGAGCATCCAACCCACGATACTATCATTCGGTCCCAAGCAGTTGTTTTTAAAATAGAAGAGTTAAGTAACCTGGAAACGTTTTTCAGGTGAGTTCTTCGGTTGCTATACAGAGAAAAGATATACATTTCCATAAAGGGAGAGATTTCGATTAGCCTGAGGGGTCGAAGAGACAGTACTGCAGGCAGGGCACCTGCCTTGCATGTGGCTGACCGGGGTTTGATCCCTGGCACCCCACAGGTGATCCCTGAGTGCAGAGTCAGGAGTGAGTGCGAGCAGAGTGACCCAAGGTGTCCCAAAAATTGACTAAAATTAAATGTCACCCCCCAAAAGGAATAAAATTAACATCCAAACCACTGCTCCTTGTAACTAGAGTAAAATTCAAACCATTTTCTCAGGGCCCGGAAGATTATGTATGATCCGACCCTGCCCTACTCTCGTCCTCCCTCACTTTCCCTCATCTCCGATGCTCCAGCCACAACGGTGTTTTGGCAGCTACATGCCTTCGCTCTCCCCTCAAGCGTCCGCGTTTGCTCTGCTTGGAGCAGCCCTCCTACCGGCTCTGGTGCTTGTCACCATGCAGGTCTTGGCGTGGCTGTCCCCATGTCAGGCGATCTCAGCTAAGTTCCTAGTTGAAGGATCTTCCCTGTCAGAGCTCAGCTCAGGGTTGAAATTATCCTGTTTCTGTGTATGTGTGTGCACATGTTTTTAATTTGCAGGACCACCCCAGGCGGTGCTCATAGGTACTCCTAAAACAGTGCTCAGGACCCCTCACAGTATTTTGGTGACTGTGCCATGCTGTGCCAGGGATCAAAGCTGGGATTCAGCAAAAACTCCAGCCCTCTGAGCCATCTCCCAACACAAACTAACCTATTCCTAATCTGAGTCACCCCCTCAAGAAGCAACTAAAACAAAAAAAGGAACGAAGAGATAATATAGGGGTTAAGGCAGCATATCTGCTCCCCTTTGCACCATCAGGAGTAACCCCATACGTGAGCACTTCCAGGTATGGCTCCAAAATTAAAAAAAAAATTAAAGCAAAAACAATCTTCCCCCTCTTAATCACTGCATTAACTGCTTTGTGCTGTATGTCTGTCTAAGCTGTAAATCCATGACCCCCTGAAGACCCGTTCGGGAATCTCAGATGCGTTACGATGCTCAGCTGGGGTGACTTGTTTGTGCTTCTGTCCGACCTTACCAGGCGCACAGGGAAATGCCAACCTACCAGCAAGGAGCAGCTCAACAGCTGCCAATTCCCCGATATCAAAAAGGTCACTGAGGATAAAGGCCTCTTTAATGAGCTGTTCAGGAAGAAGACGCGTGCCCTGCTGGCCCTGGATGGCGACGCCCTCGGTACTGGCTTTCTGGACCTTCTCGTGTTGCTGAACATTTTTTGGCTGCAATGGTGGAAAAAAATCGGTCAGATAACGTGATTAAGAACAGAATTATCACAGGCAAGGGCTTTGCAATTCAAGAAAATGTTATTTCTTGAATAGCTATAGCAGCTTGGTGGTAGCTATGAAAGACAGAGAAACACTTCGTACCATACAACTGAGAATCAGACCTTCACGAGGCAACAGTTTGCAATGGTTTCAACTTTTTAATTCTCTTACTACCTCCGCCCACTGCCTCGACTCAACTCTAAACTACAAAAGGTTGAGAAACTGTTTTCTAAGGAACTAAGAAACTAAGCTGCTAAAGAAGTTTTCCATTGAGGTAGGTATTAAATATCTTAAAAACAAAGCAAAACAAAAAGGGGACCAGGAGCTGCAGTGATAATACAGCAGGCAGGGCACTTGTCTTGGACACCGCCGAGCCAGGTATAATCCTCAGCATGGCATATGGTGCCCATAGCCTGCCGAAGTGATCCCTGAGCACAGAGCGAGGAGTAAGCCCTGAGCACTGCCAGGTGTGACCCAAAAAATCCAAAACAACAAAAGTTAAGTCTCCAAAGGGAAAATAACAAATGAATTTGTGAACTGGTGAGTTAATTAGCAAAGTTAATGATAGTTTATTAATCTTGATTCCTAATGTAGTCTGATCCCCCAAAAAGGCTTTATTCAAATATTTAACAAATGACTGTAAGAAATTACTTGATGGATCATAAAAAGCTTAGAAATAAATACCTTGAAAAAGGCCACAAAGGACCAGAGCAATAGCATTAGCACAGCAGGCAGGGCGCTTGCCTTGCACACGGCGGACATGGGTTCAATCCCCAGTACCCCATGTGATCCTGTGAGCCCACCAGGAGTGATTCCTGAGCACAGACTCAGGACTAAGTCCTGAGCAAGGCCGAGTGTAACCCAAAAACCGGAAAAGAAAAAAAAAGGTAAAAAAAAAAAAAAGAGGTCACAAAGCACATGTATTTTATTTATTTATTTAGTAGTAGTTTTGGAGAATCCACTCAGCCCAGTGATGCTCTGGGGCCACTCCTGGCTCTGTGCTCAAGGATTACTCCCACAGGCTTGGGAGCTAGAGGCAAGAGATGTGCTCAGCCCACATCTCTCTCTCTCTCTCTCTCTCTCTGGCTCCACCAACTTTCCTATAAACAGTAGGGAAAATGGAAGCCAAAAAAAAAAACCAAAATTACTTAACTGTGACCGCACCACCTAAGTGGTAAAGTCACACTGGATCACGACCACTAATGGATCTTTTTCGAAGGAAAATGAAAAAAACTCTTTCGAGTGAAACAAGCCCATAAATAGTTCTTAGATGACCTTGTTAGTCTAGACAACTGTTTAGCAGCAGGAGGAGTTTCTAGATATGCCTCCCTTCCACGTACACGCTCTACTCCTGGTTGAAAAGGATTTCAGGATAGAGTCACTACTGATAAGCAAGAGTTAATTTGGTTGGCTTACACAGGATTATAAAGGAATTAAAATAGTCAATATTACCGAGTTCAGATGTATTAAATAATCCAAGAAATTCCAAGGCTTGTATTTCTGGAATACACTACACTTCCAAATTGTAATCGAACATTACAGTATTTCCAAGCTAGAGGTAAAGGCAATATTAGCATCGATGGAACTCGAAAGGAAGATAATAACTGTCCGTAGGAAAAAGTTAGACTTTTAGAGAAAACTTGGATCAAAAGACTAGGGCAAGCAAAACACTTCATTCACATGCATTAAGAGTATACTTGTTTCTTCAATCTTTTTAAAACAGCAAATCCAAGAAGCAAGAAAGAAAAAGTTCCTACTGGGTTTCTGAACAGTGAGATGAAGTCAGGTTTGTGTTTCTTCAGAATCATGTCGAGAAGGTGGACAGCTTCAGGTTGTCTTCTCCAAAGGGCATTTCCCACCGTTTGCCAAATGTCTTTGTAAGGACCCCACAGGCTAGCAGCTTAAAGGAAAGACAAAACCAGCGTCAAACAAAACGTAGATTTGAATGTAATGGAAAAGTATTGCCTACACATTTTTAGTGGTGCACCTGGTTACTTTCAAATATACTGAGTCATACATACAAACCAAAGAATATAAAAACATACTTAGAATTATCAAGCAATACTATAAACATCATTTTATCTAACTCCGTTTGGCATAAATACTGAGCATGTTGAGGATCGCCTGAATCTGGTCTTGTTACCACACACAGCTGGTTTTAGCTGGCTGATACGGAGAGAGGAACTAAGTTTTGGAAGCAGAGAGATAAAGGACAGCAGGTAGGCCATTTGCCTGGCACGTGCCAAGCCGGGTTCCATCCCCAGCACCCCATATGGGCCCTCGAGTCTGCCAGGAATGATCCCAGGAGCAAGCCTTGGGCACTGCTGGGTGTGGCCCAAAAACCAGAGGGGGGGGGGGGTGAGGGGTGGGAAATAAGACTTTAAAAATTTAAATTTAGGGGCCAGAGCAATAGTACAGTGGGTAACGAGTTTGCCTTGCACACGGCCGACCTGAATTCAATCCCCATATGGTCCCCTGAGCTCTGCCAGAAGCGGTCCCGATAGCCAAGAGTCAGCCTGTTGAGTGTGGTCCAGAACCAAACAAAAAATTTAAGTTTAGGGGCCGAGGAGATAGCTGATGGGCTGAGCACAGCTCAGCATGCAGGAAGCCTGAGTTTGAGCCCACAGGACATGTTCCCAAGAGTAACTCCTGAGCACTGCCGGGTGTGGTCACTAACATGGAAAATAAATAAAGCTTTAAAGGTAAGTTTGCTGGGGTAAAAGAGATAGCTCATGGGGCTCGACTGTATGCCTCGTATGCACTACAGACCCCAAGCTCAGTCCCTGGCTCCGCATGGCAGCCGGGGCACTGCCCAGTGAGCCCAGTGTGGCCCTGGTGAGTCCCAAGCACTGGAACGATGGTACAGCAAGTAGTTTGCCGTCCACAGCCAACATGGGATTGCTCCCTGGCCTCCCCTGAGCACCACCTGGCGTGACCCATGAGTACAGAACCAGGAGCAGCCCCTGAGCATCACCGGGTGTGGACCCCCAGAAAAAAAACAAAAGCCACCACCAACAAAGGCGTCAAATGATAAAATAAAATCGGTGACCAGGGGTTGGAGTAATAGCACAGCGGGTAGGGCGTTTGCCTTGCACGCGGCCGACCCGGGTTCAATTCCCAGCATCCCATATGGTCCCCTGAGCACCGCCAGGGGTAATTCCTGAGCACAGAGCCAGGAGTAACCCCTGTGCATCGCCGGATATGACCTGAAAAAAAAAAATCGGTGCCCAGGAGGATGATGTGACCAATGGATTTGCTAGAACTGGGAAGTGTCAGGAACTAAGATGATGGAGAAGCCAGTGCAGACAAGGCAGTCGCAGAAAGAAGAGGGCCTCTGGGTGAGTGGCGGGTACCCTACTCAGGGAGCGCCAATCACCTGCCAAAGCAAACCCGCCGTGCGGAAAAGCAGTAGCTGATGGGCACTGGTTCTTCCTTAAGAACTCGTAAAACTCCTGGGTCTATACAAGTGAGTTTGAACATGCTCTGCGAATTTGAGAGGGAACACTATGACCCGCTTGGCCTTTTTGGGGAGCAGCCGTCAATATCAGGTCAGAACCCCTCATACCCGCAGACAGACTGGCCTCCTGGGTTCATCATTAAACTCAACATGTCACATCTGCAGCAAAATGTGTCTCCAGTTCGTTTGGCTGGTGTTACTAATTACAAAAGAAGCGAGGCTGTAATTTCCCCCGAATTACTAATATGTGTTTTGCTTAAATCTCGCAATACACCTCATTTTCATTACAGCCACTGAAAGAAATGCAAGCTTGTCATTTTCCTCTTAAAAGTATGCAGACCGTTGCATTTCACATGAACTTGTTGTGCATGCATTACTTGCAAAAAATGAAAATACCATTTTTATAAAGAAGATAAAGTAACACTTAAAAAGTTTGGTATGTAATTTTTTTGGTTGACATGTATTTTTAATGTCAGTGATTTCCTTAAGAAATACATTTCTTGGGGGCTGGAGCAATAGCACAGTGGGTAGGGCATTTGCCTTGCACGTGGATGACCCAGGTTCGATTCCCAGCATCCCATATGGTTCCCGAGCATTGCCAGGAGTGATTCCTGAGTGCATGAACCAGGAGTAACTCCTGTGAATCGCCGGGAGTGACCCAAAAAGCAAAAATAAATAAATAAATAAATAAAAAGAATACATTTCTTGGAGTGATAGCACAGCGGGTTGAGCGTTTGCCTTGCACACGGCCCACCCGGGTTTGATTCCCAGCATCCCATATGGTTCTCCGAGCACCGCCAGGAGTAAGGAGGAACCCCTGTGCATCGCCAAGTGTTACCCAAAAAGCGAGAAAAAAAAAAAAACTATTTCTTTTTGGGCCAGAGCAATAGTACAGCAGGTAGGTCACTTGCCTTGCCTTGCACAGGGCCAAGCCAGGTTCGATCCTTGGCACCGCATAGATCCCCCATACACTGCCAGGAGTGAGTCCTGAGTGTAGAGTCAAAAGTGGCCCAAAAACAAATGAAAGAAAAAGAAATACATGTCTTTGCCTTTATGTTTAGGGCTACCTCCTGACTAGTCCCACTTAGTCCCTTGTTCAGCTCACGGTGCAGCGAGAAAGCCTCTGGGCACAACACCACACAGGAAGGGGAACATGCATTTTGGTAAAAGCGTCGATGAATGTGAGGTGTCACGGATGGAGGTCACAAAAGATGGGCGGGGAGTGGGGGGGGGGAGCCAAGGCCTATGAGAGGTGAAGGGGGAGCAGATGCACCGTGGGGGAGACCGGCTGCAGGGGGAGGCTGTCTGCAGGGGGAGGTTAAGGGTGGGAGCGGTGGACAGGCAGGCAGTGCGCGGGTCCCCGCGACAAGAGCGGGCAGTGCGCCCTGCGAATGGAAGAGGCGGATGGGGCACGCGCACAGGGAAGGACTGGGTCCCCAGCCCTTGCTCCTAGCTCAGGAGGCGGACCTGCACCTGAAGACACCAAGGGAGAGGGAGGCTTCAGATGCCTGCGGATCTGAGGGAAGCAGAAAATAAGCCCACATGCTTACAAGCGCTCGGGCAAGGACGGCGCAGCACAGAGCCACTGGAGGAAGGGCGGTTTTGCAGAAGGAGTAAGTGGGGTCAGGGAGATGACTCGGAGGAGGGTGCTCTATACATGGGCCGCCTCGGTCCGACCCCTGGTGCCACATGCGCCTCGCAGCAACTCACCAGGGAGCAACTCCTGAGCACTGGAGGGTGCTCCAGTGCAGTCCAAAAATAAAGAGAAAGATGAGAAAGAGGGGAGGGGAGGAGCGGGAAAGGAAGGGGAAGAGAGGAGGATTCTAAACTGACAGATCCGGATGTTCTGACCTCAGCTGGAGCTGAAGCACGAGATCAAGATCCAGAGAAAAGGGGAAGGGAAAAAAAGGGTCAAAGAGGTAAACATGCAAGGGGGATAATGTGGGGAAGGGCATGGAGGGTGGGGTTTACTTTAAAAAAGGAAAACTCGGGCTAAAGTGATATGGATAGGGCGTTTGCCTTGCACACGGCTGACCTGGGTTCGATTCCCATAGGGTCCCCTGAGCATGGCCAGGAGTAATTCCTGAATGCATGAGACAGGAGTAACCTCTGTGCATCGCTGGGTATGACCCAAAAAGCAAAAAAAAAAAAAAAAAGAGGAAAAGACTGGTGGTGGGAAGGGTGGGGGGTGCTCAAAGGCTTGGGTCCACGCTTCTCATGCGGGAGCCCTGGGTTCCATCCCCAGCACCAAGGGGCTGGTTCAGGACCATACCAAGAAAAGGAAAGACATAGGAACTTTGATTCAAAAAGTGCAGATAGGGGCTGGAGCAATAGCACAGCGGGTAGGGCGTTTGCCTTGCACGCGGCCGACCTGGGTTCGATTCCCAGCATCCCATATGGTCCCCTGAGCGCTGCCAGGGTAATTCCTGAGCGCATAGCCAGGAGTAACCCCTGTGCATCGCCGGGCGTGACCCAAAAAAGCCAAAAAAAAAAAAAAGTGCAGATAGAACAAGGTCTGTAGGTTTGCGGGTGAAAACCCCATTTGTGCCTGTGGTTCTCTGTTCTCTAAGAGACAGGAGTCCGAAGAAGGCTGGCGACATGGGAATCAGGAAAGAGGTCTGGAAGAGCCAAAGCCATGACAGTGTCAGGGATTGTACCAGGCTTGGCCTGGTGAGAGCCAAGTGCCTTAACCCCCTGCACGATCTCTCTGGCCCCTAAAATGTTAAATTTTAAAAGAAGCTTCTTGAGTCTAACCATTAAAAATTGTTTCCCGGGGCTGGAGCAATAGCACAGCAGGTAGGGCGTTTGCTTTGCATGCAGCCGACCCGGGTTCAATTCCCAGCATCCCATAAGGTCCCCCTGAGCTCCGCCAGGAGTGATTCCTGAGTGCAAAGCCAGGAGTAACCCCTGATCATCGCCGGATGTGACCCAAAAAGCAAAAAAAAAAAAAAAAATATTGTTTCCCAAGGCCCGAGCGATAGTACAGCAGGTAAGGGGCTTTCCTCGCACACAGCCGACCCAGGTTCGATCCCTGGCATCCCAGACGGTCCCCTGAGCACTAACAGGAATACTTCCTGAGCACAGAGCCAGGAGTAACCCCTAAGCATTGCCGGGTTTTGGGTCTCCCCCAAAAAAGAATTGTTTTCTTTCTTCCTACATTGCTAGTCCTGCTATAAGACCTTAAAATAATTATACTTTTGCAGGAGACAGTATCCCTTTCCATTTCCCGTGACTGGCTTATATCTAATAACAAAAACCTGTGATGGGTATATCGTCCAAAAAAATGTATATACGGATCCTGGAGAGATAGCACAGAGGTTATGCATTTGCTCTGCGTGCCCCTCCCCCAGAAAGAAACAAAAAATAACCTTGCTTATACATTTATATGGCAGAGGAAAGATCAGCCATACTGAGAAAGTTAACTCCAGCGCTAACACTCAGTCACGTGAAATTTTTATGCAATAAAATGAATTAGACTGTCCTTAAGCAGTACAAGTCGAAGCATTTGAGAGACGAAGGGATGTGAGAGATAGATGCAACAATCAGGGCATCAGCTTTGCATGCAGGAGGCCAGTACTCAATCTCCAGCAATGGCATCCCATATGGTACTTGAGCATCAGTCCACCCCACCAAAAAAAAAAAAAAAACCCACAACTAAAGAAAGCCTTGAAAAATCAATCAGTAGCTATATAACCCTGTGGGAAGCTAAGTAAGCACTCTGTGCCTTGTTACCAAACATGCAAAACAGCATATTGAATAACAAGTCATACCTCAGGTTTATAACAGGGACGCAATGAGAGTCTAGACCTACGACCTAATAGGTGCTCAATAAACATCATCCTTCACATTTTAAAATCATTTATGATAGAACACGGCATGACTTGGAAAAACTCAAGATTCAGAGACACTTTCAAGAATATTAGTCCTGGGGCTGGAGCAATAGCTCACCGGGGTAGGGTGTTTGCCATGCACGCGGCGGACCCAGATTCGATTCCCAGCATCCCATATGGTCCCCCGAGCACCGCCAGGAGTAATTCCTGAGTACATGAGCCAGGAGTAACCCCTGTGCAATTGCCGGGTGTGACCCAAAAAGAAAAAAAAAACAAATTAGTCCTATGGAAAGTTGAACCAGACCAAAAGCAGGTACATGTGTGGGGGGGGGGGGGGGCGGGGGGGGCTGGCATATTTTAAAATACAAAAACAAAACAAAAAAAAAACATTTTTTTTTCTTTTGCTTTCTGGATCACACTCGGCAATGCTCAGGGGTTACTCCTGGCTCTGCATTCAGGAATCACTCCTGGTGGTGCTCAGGGGACCATATGGGATGCTGGGAATCGAACCTGGGTCGACAGCGTGCAAGGCAAACGCCCTACCCGCTGTGCTAGCTCTCCAGTCCAAAAAAAAAAAAAACCAAACATTTAAAACAAAACAAAAACTACCACTGGCACCTGGAGCTGCCAGTGGTCTGGTTTACAGGACTGTACTGCAGCTCTTCTAGAGCTGCTCTCTGAATCGTAAGTGTGAAAAATGTAGAACGCAGGCATGCCTTTTAATGGTGCCCAGGAAATTACTGGCACCCCATAGGGTCTCGATGATGATGATGATGATGATGATGATGATGATGATGCTGCTGCTGGGGGTGGGGGCGTTGCCTGCAGCACCTCGCCCTCCCGGAGCGGAGATGTTGGCGTTGTCCCCTGCCCCGCCCACTAAGCGCCAACAGGAATTGCACCAGCCCAGACCCACCCATTCGGTGCCCCGTGGGAGAAACCACCCCAGAGGACGCCAGATCTCCCTTTTTCGAGACCGCCTGGCTTCCAGATCCGGTTCCGAAGGGCGCAGGAGCAATCCCGGGCCGGACCGGGCCGCAGCCGCAGCCGCAGAGCCGGGGTGGGCACCCGCCGGGCCCACCGCCCCGCGCTCCCGGTCGCCCTGCAGGCCGGCACGCACCGGGCCTCGCTGCCTGCCCGCCAACCCCCGGACAGGAGCCCCGGCGTCCGGACCGGCCCAGCCCCCAGCCCCGGGTTCGAGCGGGACGCGGCTCCCGGCCCCGCGGGGCCCCCAGCCGGGCCGCGGCACCCACGCGCGCCATTCAAACTGCGGCGGGCTCCGGAGGTGGGGAGTGGATGAGGGGGAGCGGGCGGCTCGCGTCCCGGCGGCGCGAACTCGGACGGCGCGGGGCAACACGCGGGGTCCCGAGGGGCCCGCGCCGCTGCCCCGAAAGCCCCCTCGGCGCCGCGGGCCCGCCGCGCCCCGGCCACCCCGGCCGCGCTTACCCGAATTTACCGCCAACAGCGTCGCCATCTTGGAGGCGCACTAACGGGGGCCGCGGGCCGCACGGAGGCCCCCGCCGGAGAGCGCGGGGCTGCCCGGGACGATGCCTGAGCAGAAAGGTCCGTCCCCTCGCCGGCCGCCTCCGGAAGGCACCGCCGAGGGCGACTAAGGCTCGGAGTCGGCTCTCGGCCGCCCGCCGGCGTCAAGGCTTGTCGGGATCAGGCTCCCCAAGCGGGCGTGGAGCCGAGCCACTTCGGAGACGCGGGGGGCTTTGGTTTGACTTTCGTCGCGCAGTGCATCCTGGGACTTGTAGTTTCCTTGAAATGATGCCTGTAAAAAAAGTGTAAAGCTTCAGGGAACCGAACGTGATGAGAATGATGATTGAAAGGGATGCTCCTTCTCCTGCTAAAAGATGTCCTCTCAGATGAGCCCATTTCAAGTTACCTGTCACTTGCATTCGAACACTTGGGAAGTGGAGTGTAATCTGGACACCTCAAAAAGCCATTTTAAGGCGATACAATGTTATTATATATGTCAATTGCCAGTGTCCATAACCGTTGCATTTAGTGAGGGAAAATAAAATAATCACTTTTTTTTTAAACGGGAAAATACTTAGAAACTGTACATTTGATTAGGGCTTTGCATTTAAAGTATATAATAAGAATGCATAATCAGGGTTAGGGAAATGAGATCCATTTATTACTGGATTTGGCATATCAATTTGGTCTATTTGGCATAGATCACGGATAGCTTGCCAGGCTCTGCCGTGTGGGTTGGATATTTAAGGATATTTAAGGTATCCTGAAAATTATTAAATAAATAGTCTTATTTATTTATGGTTTTTTGTGGTTATCTCTCTCTTGGCATTCCTTGCACAATCATGGAGGTGCTGAATCATTCGATCGTATTAAATTAAATAAAAATTAAATTAAATAAAAATAAAAAATTAAATAAATCAACTCCCGGGAGCTTGTTGTGATAATCTTTGGATCCTGGCCTTTGTTGGGGTTACACGGCAGTTGGAGGGTGTAACTGTCTAGCTACTGACAGGTCCAGTCCCAAACCGTGCAGGCTTAGAGATCTCAGTCCCGGGTCCCACACACCTGGGTTCCTCTGCCAGTTCGGTTATGTCTGAGGCTTATCCAAGTGTGTGGAGAGTGGCTCCAGTAAGGCCTTGGTTGGGGCCTGGAAGTCTTCAGCTGTTGGGCCCTGGCGAGGATAGTCAGACACAGGGTAGGAGACTCTGCCTTGTGTTCTCCCGGGAGCTTGTTGTGATAATCTTTGGATCCTGGCCTTTGTTGACATGGGAGTCTCCCGATGGACGGTTCCACAATGAAATAGACCACATCATATTCAATCGGCGGTTTTGCCTAACCGATGTTGCTGTTGTCCCAAAATTCCAAACGGGATCAGACCACCGTCTTCTTCGTGCAAAATTCTACCTCACAGAACGAGGAGAAAAGAATGCAAGGTTTAAGAAGAAGACTCCCAGAACAACCACCAACTGGGAACTCTTTGGCTCTGTTGCAGCAACATGGGAAGATGCCGTCATTGACAACATTGATGAGGAATACGATCGAATGATTCAGCACCTCCATGATTGTGCAAGGAATGCCAAGAGAGAGATAACCACAAAAAACCGTCTTTCTTCGAACACTCTTGAACTTATTCGCCAACGTGGCGTGGCACGTGCCTCAGGCAACCACAAGCAAACGTCCGAACTGGCAAAACAGTGCAGAAAAGCCATCAAGGATGACCTCAAAAACAGGAGAGCAGCAGTACTGGTAGATGCAGCAGAAGCTGGGAAAAACATTCGTAATGCCCGCCTGTCCTTCACCAACTACAAAACCAAGATGACTGCCCTCCGACATCATGATGGATCTATCACATCTTCCAGAAGGGCAATGGAGAAGATTATTCATGACTTCTACTCAGATCTCTTTAATAGCCACATCCACTTGCCCACATACCACATACCACATGATGGATATGTCGTTCCCAATGTTCTCCCTTCCGAAATCCAACATGCCATCTCGTCGGTAAAGAAACAAAGAGCACCTGGCCCAGACAAGATCAGACCTGAACACCTGAAGAACTTACCATCAGTACTCATCAATACATTAGCTCGACTCTTCACACGCTACCTGTCTGAATGCAAGGTTCCATCCCAATGGAAAACCAGCAAGACTGTACTACTATACAAGAAAGGAGACATCCACGACATTGGCAACTATCGCCCAATCTGCCTATTGTCTGTCATCTACAAACTATTCACTCGAGTCATCCTGAATAGGATTAGCAGAACACTAGATGAAGGACAACCATGTGAACAAGCTGGATTCCGAAAAGGATTCAGTACCATCGACCATATCCACACAATAACCAAGCTCATTGAGGTATCTCGGGAGTTCAAGATGCCGCTCTGTCTAACGTTCATTGATTTAAAGAAGGCCTTTGATTCTGTTGAGACGGAAGCGGTCATGGAAGCCCTAGCCAATCAGGGCGTACAAACTCAATACATCAGGATCCTTCGTGAGCTCTATTGCGGATTCACTACCAAGATCTCACCATTCTACAAAGAAGTAATCATCCATATCAAGAGAGGGGTTCGGCAGGGTGATACCATTTCACCAAAACTCTTCAGTGCCACCCTCGAGAACATCATGCGACGACTAGAATGGGAAAACATGGGAGTGAAGATAGATGGTCGGCAACTACACCACCTCCGCTTTGCTGATGACATCGTTCTAATAACACCAAACATCAGCCAAGCGGCACAAATGCTTGCGGACTTTGACCGTGAGTGTGGAAAGGTCGGACTACAGCTGAATCTTACGAAGACAATGTTTATGAGAAACAGCCTTGTTCCTGATGCTCCATTCGCTCTCAACGGAACCACCATCTCCGAATGCAACAGTTATATATACTTAGGTCGAGAAATCAACATGATGAATGACCTGGCACCTGAGTTACGCAGGAGGAAGAGAGCGGCTTGGAATGCCTTCAAGAGCATTGAAGAAATAACTAAAAGGACAAAGAACCTCCAACTACGAGCACATCTCTTTGATTCCACTATTCTTCCTGCATTAACATATGCCTCAGAGACCTGGACCCTACGAAAACAGGATGAGAACACTATTCGGGTCTCTCAAAGAGGAATCGAAAGAACTATGCTTGGAATATCACGATTCACTCAAATGAGAGATAGAATCTGGAGTTCTGATCTTCGTCAACGCTCAAGAATCAGGGACGCTGTCTCATTTGCCAAGACATCAAAAATCAGATGGGCTGGACATGTAATGAGGTTTACAGACAACCGCTGGACTAGAGCCATTACTGATTGGATTCCACGAGACATCAAAAGATCACGTGGACGCCCACCTATAAGATGGTCAGACTTCTTCGTCAAGACCCTAAATGATCGGTTTGAGGCTCTACATGTTCCTAAAACAAACAGATACCATTGGGCTACGCTAGCACGCAACTGGGATGAATGGAGACGTTACTGGCACCCGCTCGAATAAATCGATGAATAACGGGGATTAAGTGATTAAGTGATAAGTGAAATAAGAATGCATAAATCAATACTAAGAGGGAGCAAAATGTACTAGTGATTAGAATAGTCCCTCTCCAAAGAAGTTATACAGATGACCAATAAAATTATGAAAAGATGATTGGCATCAGGGAAATGCAACTGAAAACCACAGTGAGGGCTGGAGTCACAGTAGTGATTAGGGCAGTTTCCTTGCATTCTGAAGACCGGGATTCGATTGCCAGAGGTGAACCCTACCTATTTTCTTGAAACAATCCTGTTACGAAGATGATATCCACAGACATTTATCTCAGAGATATTCCATTTGCTCGAGCGGGCCCAGTAACGTCTTCATGTGAGACTTGTTGTTACTGTGTTTGGCATATCGAGTACATCACGGGTAGCTTGCCAGGCTTTGCCGTGCAGAGGAGATACTCTAGGTAGTTTGCTGGGTTCTGCGAGAGGGGCAGAAGAATCGAACCCGGCTCGGCTGGGCCAGCTGCGCACAAGGCAAACGCCCTAAGGCTGTGCTATATGCCTTACAAGTTCGCCTTATCAAAGATTCCAACACCTTATCAAGAAGCCACCATTCTGAGGTTGGAAGGAAATAGAATTCGCATTTCCCCGTAACTGTTGAAGGTCAGATTAAATAATTCAGATTAAACCACAGAGTGTGCTGTAAAGAATAACTGCATAGGGGTCAGAGAGATAGTACAGAGGTTAAGGCTTGTGCCTTGCATGCTAACAACCAAGGTTCAATCTCAGGTGTCACATGTGGTCCCCAGAACACCACCAGGAGTGTCCCTTGAGCAAGAGCCAGAAGTAAGCTTTAAACACTGCTAGGTGTGACCGAAAAAGAAAAAAAAACACATTGTTTTAAACAAACAATAATGAGTGACATGAAGTACATTAAGTAGAACATAAAAGTCACCGGTGATGTTTTAAAAGGTCATTGCTACATCACGACAGATGCCAGACTACAAAGAAAGTGGTTTTAGGGAGTGAAGGGAAGAGAGAATAAAAAGGCAAAGGGTTTTTCTCAAAGTTTGGCAGGAAGGAGAGGAGAATTTTAAGCAGAAACTAGGCAGGAAGTGGCAATCAAAGATTTTCTTTCTCAGCAGAACTATTATAAGCCTTCCCCCACACATAGTCTAGGAGCCCACACACTTCCCTCTCAGTAGATTACTCTGCTTTCTATGAAGAAACTTTTAACTTCCTGCGACTCCCCCTCACCCGTCATCACCCTTACAAGCATTGTCCCACTGACTCCTGAGTCCTAGGAGTTGAGATTGCCATCCTAACTCCTCAAAAGCTGCCCATGGCACACTCACCAATCATCAAGTGTCAAACCTATGTTCACTTTTCTACTTTTCTTTTTTTAATACTTGGGGTCACACCCAGTGATGCTCAGGGACTATTCCTGGCTCTGCTCTCAGGAATTACTCTGCCTTTGCTTGGGGGACCATATGGGATGATGGGGATCAGACATGGGTCAGCTGCATGTAAGGCAAACACCCTACCTGCTGTACTATCGCTCTGGACTCACTTTTCTAATTTTCTTAAGAATTCTTTTCTCCCTAGACTGGTG